AATGTCACGGCGAACGCGGGTGCTGGTTTCAACGTGCAGCTGCAGAGTGGTGGATTTGGATGTGATGGCCAGACACCAATTCAGCGACTCAGTGTAGCGAGCAGCGCGTATGGCAGCATGAACGGCAGTCCTGTTGTTCTGAGAATTCTGCTGTCGGCTTACACCGCGATGGGGAATAGTCAGTTCACTTTGTCGAAGATTGATGCGGTTGCGCTGGAGGGCTTCAGCGCTGAGACATCGCAGTATCTCATTCATTGTGCGTATTTTGATAATGGTGGAACGAACGGTACCGCGGCGACGAATGGTACCGCGGCGATAAACGGCACTGCGTCGTAGATGTTGTTTCTAGCGATTTGAATTTTGAAAGTCTTTTAGATTTACGATGTACCATAACTGTATCCTAATTTATCAATGAGGTTATATCTATCTGAACAACGTATCAAAGGCTAGATATTGAGCCTAATGCTCTCGTGTTGTCTTGCAGTCGCTCTACAAGTCTTGTGAGGGGCGAATTCCTACAACCGCCAAGGACCTATTCGCCAGCCATAACGCCATGCATATGCGGATGTTTCGATACGATCGGTAAGTCACAGCCGTCCTATGAATACTGATAGTACTGCTTGTACTCCAGCGCCCGACATCTCGGTGTGAACACGCAAGAGATGATCCAAGATTGAGATGATAACTCACAGATGTAAAAAGGGCGATGGTCACGTCAATCACAAGCAGCACATATGACACGACACCTAAGGCTTTATTGTTCTTAACTCCAATAAGGCAAGAAAATTCACATCAACCAGAGCCTCTATCAATCACAGAGAATGTCGTGACACGAACACAGTATCATTTCTTCCTTCAAACTAATCCAAATTCGTATTGTGACTGTTCCATGTAGCGACAGTAAGTTTACCAAACACACTCGTCCTCGCGAAGCAGTCTCGCGACAATGATCCCATGCGTACTTCCATCGTCCCGAGCACTCTCCCTCTGGCCCTACCTCCGTCCAGATTCCCAGTACGAGCACGTGTCCTTTATCGAATGGTCAGCGTTGATCTCTCAACTGAAACTAGTGCGATTTCTTACCGATACCGGCTATTGTCTTCTAGAAAGCGGAACCTCCGCGGCCACCTGGGTCTTTGCCTCTGACAATTGGATCGGGTCCGGCATCACGAGCGAGAGGGCAGTTCGGGCGATGAATCTGGGGGTCGGCATCGGCGTCACGAGCAAGCCGACAATTGGGGCGAGTGAGCTGAGGATCTGGGACTGGGGAGGCAAATGCCATGGCGACGAACAAAGAGACAAAGATGGGCGTAAGCTGCATGGTAATTGATGGCAAGGTCTGCTCGAATTCTTGAAGCTGTGATTGATGGTTGTGTGTTATATGAGCTGGCTTTGCGATGCTCTTTATACACCATTTGGTTCGGCCATCTCCGGCGAATCGTGTTGTGGAGTCTTACGTGAGATGGTTGATGGTTGTTGTTGATAACCGTGAAGGATTCCGGAAGGATCAGATTTGCCATGTTGACGATACAAAACTGGCTACTTGTCGCGAATTTCCCCACCCGGGCGTACAAGAGCGTGAGCACGTTCTAACATCGAATCGCAGAGATAGTCAGTCATGGCACATCGAATGCATCAGTTTAGTGGAATCGGTCAGGCGGCATTAATCAAATGGGTGGTGTTTGTTGGGTCATGTGAATTTGGCGTATTGCTTTCATCATTCTACATGGCGGAGTCATGAACTCGCGCGCTTCATTGTGCATGTCGCACATTTGTTTGCCATCTCCGGTACGTAATAGCAGAAACGACAGTCATCAGCTCAACAGATCCCGTGTACAACACTAAGAGTCGCAAAAGCCCTTCAAGACGGCTGGTAGCATCACAATATATGACAAAGAACACGCGCCTTTATAGCCCAGCTTTACTTTTACAGCGCTGTAGCAGAGCTGCCGCTGAACCAGGAGATAGACCAAGGACTGTTGCATCTCGCAACGACGCTAGTCCATACAGCCGTGACACTATACGCAAGCTTTGGTTTTGATGCTGAACCGTCTAAAGTGCAGACATCAAGATGTCTTATCCTTGACTCCTCCTTTGCCATGTCCAAAGACGAGAGTATCTCCCTTACGATGTATTGTACCCAGGATACAATTGTCAATTCAAGTCCGGTACAACTTCCGCCATCAACCTGAGCTATCGCGTGAGCGAAATCGTACCTTCCACTCAAGAGAATATGTGTTTCGAGTTCCAATGATAAGACACTGTCCTTCGATTGTCCTCAATTCCAATTCTTACTACGACCATTAGTGAAAGGGCAGAGTGCAACAACGCATGATAACGCCAATCAACGGGCATCAATATTGATCCTTCGGACATTATGTTTACCAGCATATCTTCTCGCTTTCATTGCTTGATCGTATCATGAAATAGAGGGAGTGGAAAACGACTCAATCGTAGATAAGCCGTCATGAGATATGATATAGACTGAAAAGATATTGAGGCATCGATATTTCGAGGGCTCATCAGCCTTTCTAGAGTTCTTTGCAATCAACGCTTCCACCTGTCTAGTGTTTCCCTGCAGCGTCTCAGTCGCATGGTACCGTGCCGACCCGGTGCCTTACTCTATCCTGGCAAGATCTGCAGTACTTAGGGAATCATCGGAAGACAACTGTGGAAGGTGGCGGGTGCGCTGCAAGATGCGATGAAGTATAACGAAGCATCCAGAAGGTGAGAGCAGAAGTAAGCCTTTTTGCCCAGAGGAAAGTTGCCTGGGTTATCCTGAAAGCCAACTGTCGCCGCTTTATTTATGATGAGCGCATCCCAATGCTCTGCAGAGGATGCTTCACGTATAATCGTTGAAGTCGGTAAGGCACATGTAACAAGATTACTTGCATCTCGTACAAATTAAGTTTTTCTACTGAACGTGATAAGAAGGGTGTTTTCATTTGAACGCATTACATATGTGGCTACGCAAGAGAGTCGGTAGTTTTATGATGTGTCTAGATCGTTGTGAGGCGTTTTCAATTGCTTCATCGAGATCTCTATCTCCTGCACTCATTTCCGCTAGTCCTCTACTGGGCAGAGGGCGAACTCCCTCGCAGGTGCACCATCATGCGTCATCACACCACAGTATGCGCCATCATCCGTCGGGTCGGTATCAGGGTTGTCTGTGTAGATGTAGAAAACAACCCGATCCGGACCCTGGTCGCCACCACCAAAGATTTTATCTCCATGCAAGAGGGGGAATTCTTTCAGCGTCTTGCCGTTGCACTTGTCGGAGAACTTCAGCTTCCTGTTGTTGCCAAAAGTTTTAGGGTAGCCGCCTGAAATGGAGAAGAAAGAGGTTAGCAAGGAGAACATTCTTCACAGAGCGAGTCTAAAGGCATACCTGGCTGAGGCGCGGTGGTAGGTGTATTGTAGATGGCTTGCTGAATAGCCTTTTCGACCTGCTCACGACTGTATCTGTATCCTGGGCAAGCTACGAACTGGTCGCTGGGCGGGAGGTTGTCAACAGTTCGTTTGCTCAACATTCCGGCAGGCGCAGGGTTGGCGAAGGATGTATGCACAAGGGCTAGGCCCAGTGGCAGGAGGATGGTTGATGGTGAGAAGTGCATGGTGTAAGGAAGACTGAAGACGGTCTGATAGTGTGAGTGATAGTGGCTTGAAATGAAAGTGTAGTGCAGTGATGAAGATGCTAGACCTCCGGCAGCGGCCAGTTTATATGCCTTTCAAAGACATGTTAGGCCTTCCATCAAGGACTAGCGTTATGCCTTCGCGCGCTTCTCGAGGTATGTTTGAGGAACGTGGTACCAGTCACAATACCGCTCCCTTCACTTCTGATCCACATTTCTCGGGCCGTGTGTAGAGTGAAGAGGCAACCCACTCAGGCATATCGATGGTCTCAGACGAGGTTGTCGAAGTCGAACTGACTTAGCGCCAGTATCAGCTGAGCACCCAAGTGATGGAGATTAACGTCACTATCATGCTTTCCTTCGTCATCGGGCGAAGCTCTCGGATTGACTAACACAATAGCGCTGTTGGGTGGATACATTGACAAGGTCCCGACAAGGCTGATTTAACTGACAGGATCACCAGAGAGCCTGCGATACGACCATGATAGTCATTTCGATGCTCTCTTAGGCGTTCCCATCAGCACTGCTATAGTTACAAGGTACATATTTGGTCTGTGGGCCATAGGCTGCAACGCACATATGTGCTTGGCATAGTTTTGGCCCCTATAGGCTGTCTTGAACTTATCGTCTTCGTCCCCACAGTCAAACATCTCATCTTGATGTTAAATACGAACTTGAGCTATACCCGATGACACATCAGGAAAAGCCATACAACAATCCAATCGTTCTCCAGAGCACAAACAAATAGCTCTTGCCATACAAATCAGACGTCCTCAGGAAGACACAAAAGTATTCCTACACTCATGGATGCATCAGGAAGTAGGCGGTCGGCCTGACTGTAGATCTTTGCGCTTGTCGTAACCTTATTTAACCGTACGACGCCGAGGATCATAGCGCTTCGGGTCTTACCGTTAGAGGGCCTGAGGAGCAGAGCAACGCGAGAAGATGATCTAGGACCGACTCACGTAGAATTTCTGGAAGCAGACAGCTAGCCAGAGTGCATGTTTGATGGGCGGCGCACAGGCAGTGATTGCAGTACGGGTCTGCGGTCGCAGCTGGGGATGCTGCAGGCGTTGTGAAAGTTAACAAAACATCGCCCATGAGGTGGAACGATGTATGATGCAATTAAGGCCCGCGGCTTAGCTGCTATAAGCAAATTGTGGGGTGGATTACCCGGGTAGGAAAACTAGCGGGCCGCAGGCAGCGTGCATCGCCCCGCAAACTCTAAATTGGTACTTCTTGCCTAGCCGGCTGCTGCGGCTGTGATGTGGCCTATGCTATGGGAAGCCTTGTTCTGTGACCAAATGACTGCGCTTCGGTCTCCGAACGTAGCCACTTATGTGAATCGATCATGTGATGGCAGATCACGTGGTTGTGGATGCCTGGCTGCGCCTACCTGATTATCTGAGCATGACGTCTACCTCTTCCAAATACAGTGCCGAAGTGCACATCGATCCATATAAAGGAGCATCGAAGTTCAAAAGCACCTTCTATCGCAGATCGGCTTTGATTGCTTCACGTCGCAATTCCCCTTCCAACAATATGACCACCATTTTCAACACACCGGGTACCTACCCGCCTAATACCTTCTTACCGCAGATAAGCGCCATTGTCACCTCAAGCGACTACTCTTCTTTAGCTGAGGAAACAGCCAAACATCTCGTCGAGGCGGTCACTACCTCTTCTAACCCCTCCTCGGCACTCTGGGAACTATGGACGGCCTTCTTCGAATCTGTCATATCTTCATCTTCACCCGAAGCCCATTTTGCTCTACTTGATTCCATCCGTGCACAGCCACCCACACTGCCCAACAATTTATCCAAAACAACAAGGGACGTAAAGGAGGCACTTCGCAGCCATACTAAAGCGGACGGCAAATTACATTGGTCGCAACTGCCGCGATTTGGTTGGGAATGGTACGACACGTATGCCACGCTTCACCAATGGCGTGACTGGACCAGCATACAAGATGCAGACTCTGAAAGCGGTACGCCCAATCTCAGGTCGAGTATTACTTGCAGTCAGCGATGGCTCCGCTTCGTCAACTTCTCAACCAGGCTGCTCAAACGCAGCAAGGAACAGCCCGCACATGAGACTATATGGGTATTTTACACCTGCAAGGATGTACTCGAGCACGAGAAGCCCCCACCCCGTCAGCCAGATAAGCACAGGATGTCGGCTGAGCAGTTGTGGGCGCTGGACGTTCGTGTGGCAGCAATCTGGGTGCGGGATGGGGCGCGTGCACTGTGGAACACGGACTATGGAGAGCTTAGGAAAGAGTGGGAGGCGGCATTAGACGAACCGACAGACTTGTGGCCGAGAGAAGACGGACTGAACAGGGAACGGTGGCAACTATGGGAGGAAAGACTATTAGTTTTAAGTACAGATGAGGCTAGTCTCGACGAGGAGACCAGAGGCCTGGTCAAAGAGGCGTATGAAGTGGTCAAGGAGCTCTTGTCAAATTTCTGATTCTAACTCCGGCCATCAGCCGCAAATCCATGGCCGGATGGATCATACTGCATAGCTTAGATATTTCCAAACTGACATAATGAGGCACTGGCACTACTCTCCATCAAGATTCCCATGGGAATTTCCTCTGATTAGTGATGCAACCTTTAGTCCTGTGAACCTGGTTCGTAGTCGTGGTTCCATCTCGTACGCAATCGAGACAGAGGCGGTTTCTCTCACGAAATCCATTTAGCCTGTCACCGCGCGTTGCTCTATAGCGAGGTTCTCCATGCCAGCGATAATCACAGCGTTCCCATTGCTTGGGCATGAGTGGATCACGCATCTGCTCCATCTTTTCAACGATTTTTGATACTGTGACATCCAGTACCTGCAACGGCCGAAGATCTTCATGTTGTAGAAGTTCTGTGTGAGCAAGACTATGAACAGCTCCCCATGCGCAAGTGCACGAACTGCTCTCGTCCATTCCGGCATCCGTTGATCCATTGAACAATATGTGCTGCAGTTCTGTGCGCATCCTGTTTCTTCGCTCTTCTAAGAGATCTGTGACCATAGCGTTAGCGGGGTCAATAAAATCTTTGGCAAACTCGATACTCACAAAGAACCTTCCATGGAACCCAATCAGTCAGACCGACAACTTGATCGGCGAGCGGAAGGTAAGAACCTTGATGATGGAGCATCATCGAGATTGTAATATCACCGAAGGCCTGCGCATCGTCCAAAATGTAGGCGGCAGCCATGAGATAACCCAACTCTAAGATATCCTCAACACCTTTCGGATTCAGCCAAATTGCGCTGGCATATCTCAGAGCAACGACGCAATCAAATTTATCGGCAGCTGTAGCGATTTCGAAGATCTCCTTAGGGCTGAGAGAATGTGGCACTGCATCGTTTCGGAGATGGATGACGTTACAGATAACCTCTAAGGCGTGTGCATTATCTTCTGTCATGGAAACTTCCTTAGGGTTATCACTATCCAGATTTTGGCCTTCAGCAAAGTGTGGTCCGAACATAACCCTGAAATACTTCGATGCGTTTTTGAGAACGGAGGAATAGACTCGAATCTTCTTGTTGTGTGGACCGACCACAAGGATAACGTCACCATGCGTAGCAACCTCTATTTTTGTGGTGATAGAGTCATTGCTGTCATTGGTCTCTTCCATGGTGCTTTCACGACGCCCGAAGATGATAGAAAATGTAGGTGTGTACCTCGAACAACGACAAGCTTAGAGATGCTTAAGGTCGAGTGAATTGAACTGTGTAAATGTGTCACGTTGAATCACCCATAGAATTTGTGAATGAGCCATTTGACATACATGACTTGAACAGCTACGTACCCCGCTTCTGCACATGACTACCAAGGATGGCGCATGCCGGGGTATATATGGGTCCCGTCCCATCACAGCTAGCTCTGGAGATCCATACATATGATCATGTCTGATGTTCTCGTACATATTCTGCACTTAATAAACTCATCATGATTCATCCGTCCTGCGAGTTTCAGTCACAAGAGGCTATCGCAATCGCGTCTGCCCTCGGCGATCTCTAGCCTATAGGTAGGCTAAGGCTACAGTCTAGCAAAAAGCTTTCGTCTTCAGGGTTACACTTAGAGATAATCTTCCGGAGATTCTCAGTGTATCATGCGATTATCATGATCACAGATTACTCTAAGATACAGCTTGTCTGGAAGCCCAGGTGCTATCTAGATTGGGCGTGGCCCCAGTGGAATGGCCTATCGACTCCCATGGTTTACATGTGGGATTCTATCCAATTCTTTTGGAATCAGTAGGCTGTACTGATGTATACCTTGACCCATGTCAACTGAATAAGGGCGCTTCGATAATCTCAGTCAGATATGACGTAGCAGGCTTGTGGTGGGGAAGGCTGAAGTCTTGGCTATTGCACAGGTTCAGCTAGGCGATGAAGAGGGGTAAACCTTCTACCCTGCTTTACCTTGCAAACAACTCCAAAGACGATGGAGCCTTCCACCAAACCCGGCATTGCCAAACGATTCGTTCGACGGGTGAAGGATTTCGGTTCCGGCAGGAAATCAAAGTCACATCCCACAGTATCTGAATGTTCACCCCATACAACAAGTCCAAGACGGCCACCTATACCACTTGCGGAGGACCTTGCAATACAATTCCCAATAGCCTCTGGTGCGCCGGCAAGCGCTTCTCATGTTACCAATACCAGGAATGATTCTATTTCCCATGGTGGCAATGACGATCGTGCATCAACATCTTCGAAAAACTACGAAGCTATTACTCATCATGAAAACCCACCATCCAACGATGAGACTCACGCTGATGCGGTTAGAGTTACATCGATATCACAAACAGCAGTTTCTCAAATTAAGGACACCCATAGCCGGGAAGAAGTAGAGCTCACTCAAGCTGATGCGCAGCTCACGTCTTCTGTACCTCAGACCTCGTCAACAACACCAAGCGATGCAACTAGTCTCTTGAGAATGCCCGGGACCAAAGAAGCGAAAAGGTGGGACGAGGCGCGTTTGGAGTTTGAGAAAAAGCATGAAGCGGAGTGGAATTTCCTGAACGATAGGTTGAAAACACTCGCTACTAGCGATTGGAGTTCGAAGTTCATCACCGCTGATCTCGATCTACCCCAATGTATCCAGCAGAATTCCACCTCAAAAGAAGTCGTACATCGTATGAAGCGATGGTTACCAAGCTTAGCTTCTGTCAAAAGCGTTGTCATGCCTATAGCAGCTCTCGATCCTAACAAGCTTGCACCTATATGTTGTGCAATCGTATTCAGTACCACTGAGGTAAAGTTCCTCTGTCTAGGTGCATGAACTGAGTTAATCAGCGCAGCTTTTTGTCAACGGTCCAAATCCGGAATTTCGAACCAAGGCTCTAGACGCTTATTTCGAAGCTGCCAATACTATCAGTGAATGGATTTCCTACGAGACGACATCGATACAAGAGCCCACAGAAGGAGTCAAGGAGCTGGGAAAAGAGCTTCCCAACGTGTACATCATGGCATTACACCTCATGCATGATATCCAATATGCTACGTATAAATTCCAAGCCGACTCTAAGCTTGAACGACTCAAAGCGAAAGGTCAGCTGACTTTCAAAACCGCTATGACCATTGTTACTTACGATTGAGATTCCAGCTACCACGACGTTCAAAGACCACACCGTTATATGGGATGAGAGGGTCAAGGACATCAAGAGAGTTCGAGCTACCTTGTCCCGAAGAAGAAAGGCAATCGAAGAAGAGGACGCTCTGGGGGACAAAGTGGCTAAGATTCTCGAATGGATCAAGCAAAAGGATGACCCAGAAGAATCATTGAGTAAGATTGAGAATAAGATTACATCTGAAAGACGATCGAAGAACTATGCGCAATGTTTCCTTGACTTGGCCGAATACAGGACCTGGTTCGAGGCCTTCCATCAATGGGAGGATACGACAACACAGCCAGAGGTAGCCCCCTTACCCCGTGTTCTTTGGATCAACGGTTCTTACGGCACGGGAAAAACAACAATCGCGTGAGTCGTACTTATACTGGAGATTCTCTAAATTGACATCATGCAGTTATCGAATCTTGTTGACTTTACAAGCACTTGAAGTCGTACAAACTCCGGATGAGCCGCTCCTAATTATCCCCTACTTCTGCTCCGCTCTAGGTTCCAAGAGACCCGACTGTGAGACTGTCATCCGCTCACTTGTCAGGAAGCTATCGTGGAACTCAGATTACTCAGTTGCTGACCCCGCGCGCTCGATCTACACTAAGTTTAGTAAAGGATTGAAAGAGGACCCTTCGATCGACGACTGGCAACAAGTGTTGGGCGACATCATTCTTGGATATGGTGCAACAGCGAGACTCGTGTTTCTCGTAGACGCGCTTGACGAGTTTACCGATATTACAGAGGGGGCACATTTTCTCGACCGTATGCGGAAAGTTGCAGATATGCATCCCAACGTGTATCTCATATTCATGTCACATCATTATGTTAGAGTGGATCGATATTTTGACAGATCGATTCTGCTACAGTATGAGGTTCGGCAGGGTGACACGAAAAAGGACGTGGAAGCCTTTATCGATACGGAAATTGCGTTCCGGAGACAGGCGCCTGGCTCTAAAGAGTCCATCTTCTGTATGTAACGTGGCAATGACCGGTTCAATGTCGATCCATCTGCTAAATTGGGGACAGTTACAGCAGGCCATAAAGAGCTTGAAACCAAAATGCGGCAGCTTTTGTTAGACCGGGCTAGGGGCATGTCAGTACTTATCCCACGTCTTCAAGATTTATACTTACACCTGTAGGTTCGTCTGGATCAAGGTTTGGCTTCAGATCCTATTGCCTACACATCATCCACAAAAGACTGTGCTCAGCGCGAATCGTGCCCAACACCTGCTCGCTGAGTTGGATGACTCAAAGAACGACACCCAAGACGAGCAGCTCAGAACAGCCTATCAACGCCTCTGGACGCAAAACGAATACGATGACTTTGTCGAGACAAGGCGAGACCTTTTCCGCTTTGTTCTTTGTTGGCTTACGCCGTTGTCGATCCAAGAGCTAACGAAGATTCTGCGGGTCGGTCATGATCACAAGGAATCACATTATGAAAGCCTAACTGAGGAGTGGGTACGCACTCTAGGAGCAGATTTTCTTACCATCGACACTGAAAGCATAATCACATTCGCCCACGACTCCGCAAGGCACTTTGTTCTTGGTCTTGCTGAAGATGGCCAACAAAGTCCTAATACGGCACAGCCACTCCTGTTCCAGAGTGAAAAGAGTCATCGTCAGGTGATGAGGCTGTTCAACACGTTGTTTGGGTCACCTGGACAGTCAGTCCATGATTACGAATTCATTCATTCACTTGGAGAGTATTTCGAACGCCATTTACCACGGCACTGCGAATTGGCTGTACTTGATCCCCTCGTTGTTGACAGTTCATGGGAAACGTTGTTCGATGGAACAAGTAGCACCTTTCATGCATGGCTGGTCTCTGGACAACCCTGTAAGACGCGATTCACCATTCCTCCTGAGATCATCCAAGATGATAGCGTCTCATGCAAAGCAGCATGGCTTGGCTTTCCGTGGAGTCGCGCTGTATCTGACAAATATTTCGAAACTCTGGGACAAGACCGACAGTACTGGGGAGAGCAAGAACGTTATCTAAAGCGCAGGCTTGATGGCTCTTTAGACTTTGGCGCTTTGACAGTAGCGACCAAGAGTCATAACAGGTACGTAGGATTGTTCTTGCTCCTTGGCGTTCATCACTTGCATGGTCGGGCAATTGTTCTGGAACTGATTTCGTCCTTCTGCGACTTCGCTGGGTCTTCTGAGAGTGTTCAGAAGTTTTTAGGATCTAATAAGAAGCTATATTTGGGGGTATTCTTTAGGAAACCGATGGCCCTCAACTTCTTCCTAGATCATATCACCCAACGTTGGGAGGATGCTGAGAACGCCGCCGAGCACACCGAAAAACTAGAAACGGTACGAAAACAGGTGGGGGGTTTGCGGGAACTAATGTTGATTGCGAAATATTCTTCCAAGTCCAGTGGTACATCAGCTTAGGGTAGTAGGTAGAACAACTTCCAAGCACGGCTTGCCGATCTGTCGTCGCTTTGCAAGCTTCGTAAGGTAGATGCCTGGAAGTTATAGACAATCTTCAATGCCAATACATCTCCTTCGTTTGTTGCGTATCGGTCCCGTGCGTTCGAGGAAATGGTTTCTCGGCTTCTGGACACGAGGGGATGATATGACAGACACTTTACCATGGTCAACTGATGGCTGCTTTTTCGCAACAGTATACCAGATGGCGATGCGTGTCAATGCTCTGAGCTTGGGGGCTAAATCCTATTCCCACTTTCTGGTCGAACCTCGTCTCTTGAGCACCGGATGAACAAGTAACGGATACCTGTTGTGATACTGATGTACGTCGATGCTTCACAAGTCACATATGACAGTAGCATAGCATATGCCTCGCTTGTTTCTGGTGCATTGTCAACCATCCTCCCCTGTTCCGATAAGCAGTCCTAGAACGGATTCCAGCTACCGATCTGCTCCGACCCCTACAAAAGTGGAGATACATCATCTTCTGCGTTTGCATGATTTTTTAGGTATCTCGCCTCCCAATTCTTCAGCTCCATCTCCACCCCCGGAGCTTTCGGTGCACTCATCAGCGTGGTCGATGGAGCGAACGTCGGACTGACCTTCTCCAACCACGCTATGACCGGATCGGCGTACATGTTGTCGTGTGCAAAGACCATGCTACCACGTCGATACAACGCTTCGTCATCGTTCCCGTAACCAATCTCCTCAAGTTCACCGTCTGCCTCCTCTTCGTCTACGTCGTCCCCACCAAAATCGTCACTCTCGTCACCAGTCTCGTCGTCGTCATCTTCACGATCCTCGTCACCCTCCACAACCTCCACAACCTCCCAAAGCTTATCATCATTCCCCGTCCACGCCTCCCCACCCATCAACGGACTACATATCGTCTTTTCTCCCAGGCCCGATATATCAATCGCCGCAATCTTCAGCGCTAGGCAGGCTCCAGGTCTGTTTTCCACAGGGGGCACATCGGGTATGTTACCGCTCGGCCACAACGTGGGCAGGTTTGCAGCGAAAGTCTTCCAATGAGTCGTTTTACCTTTAGCGAGCCATCTGGCGCGGTAGGCGGAGAGTGTAGAGGTGAGGCCGTGGGTATGCAAATGGTATTCGGCGCGCGTTATCGCGCTGGCGATGCTGACAGGGGAGGATGGGGAGGAAGGTGATGATGCAGTTGTGAAGGATAGTGCAGAGGACGGGCGGCGTACGCGTATCAATCGTGTCTTAGTTGAACTGAGAGACTCAACGCGATTCTTCGAACCAAGTCGATATCTCCTCTTCCCACCTTTTGTATCCCCCCCTATCTCCACAGCGTCTTGCTCGTCTTCATCCAACTGTCCAGCTGCTTCCCAAGCCGGATTGGGGAAACACGGATCCCCCCACTCCCCCTCTCTCGACCAGAAATAATAATGCGGAACATCGCATCCAAGAAACCTCACAAAGAACAAATTCTCCAACACCCTTTCCTCCTCCTTCTCCCATGCTCTTCTTCCACCACCACCAAACCGTCCAGTGCCCCTCCCCTCCCCGCCACCACCATCCCCCCAGTGGTAGTCCAGATAAGCAGCCACATACCCCATACCCCCAGGCCTCCACAACGAACTCTCATAAACCTCCTGCACCAACCTCGTCCTATTCCTCCTCCTCTGCACATGCCTCGCCGCTCTCTCCTCTTTCCTCGCCTCCCCTGTCCCCTTAACCCGCAACACCTTCCTATTCTCCAGCCCCCATTTCCGATACGTATCCGCCAGCCGCTTACTCTCGTTGTGGTGACGAGAGCCCAAGTGAAAATACATGTGTGCATTCCAACCCTGCACCAACGTGCGCTGAGCCCAGTGCACACCGCTTTCTGCAACGGCGTGCCGGAGCGTGCCGATTAAATGGCCGTTGCGTGCTGCGAACCGTGTTGCTGGGGAGAGCAATGGACAAAAGTCTGGATCGACGCCAGTCGGGTATTTGGAGCCTGGCAGGACGAGTTTCTGCTTACTCGAGGTGGTGGTGAGTCGGAGGGGTGCGTAGGGTATGGCCCGTGGTTTGGGCTCGGAGAAGGAGAAGAAGCGTGGTGGGTGGGTATCTGGTAGTTGCTCGTGTGGCCATTCGAAGAGGCGGAGGCGGCAGTCTGGTTTGGTGTCGCGGTCCATGGGGGGTTCGGGACTTGATTCTGTCGATGTCGAGTTCCAGGATTCGTCGCTGAGGGCGTGGCCGAATTGCTCGCGCGCGTACTCGTTTCGACTTGTTTCTTGGGCTTCGATGTCGGCGTCGCTTAGCGTGTCGTCGCTGACGCTTTCGTCGCGTTGTCTCCTTCTTTCCTTTTCAATCCTCCTCTCGTGCTTTTCTTCAATCTGTCTTTGTTTGTGTGCGGCTCTTCTTTCCTCCTCTTCTTTCGCCTCTTGTCTCTTTCGCTGGAGTGCGAGCACGGCATCTTGCTCCGCACGTCTTTCTTCTTCACCATCGTGTTTCAGAGCCCATGCCATCTCAACCTTTTTCATATCCTTGCGATAGATGCCGCGCTCCTTTGCTTGATCGACAAGCTCCTTGTAGTTGTAGTTATCGTATTTGGAGTCAGTCTTGTGCTCGTCGCGTACTTTATGTGTGCCGCCCCGCCTATGTACAGCAGCATAACGGGTTGTGCTGGGTTCTGAAGGCTCTGGCGAGCCCCCATACAGCGCGGGATTATCCTTCTTTGGTTTACCTTTGGGCATGGTGGGTACTGCAGGGTGGTCTTGAAAATCTGGGTATAAGCGATTGTAACATCAGATATAGGTCAGCTTGTCAATGAGCAAATCTAGGAGACAATATTGTGGCCGCACTTGAGCGGTGTTGCCGCTTCCTCGAATACTTGGGACATTTGTACTCGTCGTGAACATGTCTTTCAAGAGTCCTTCGTCAAAGACGCGCGCTCAACTTGCTTTGTGCCTATACCTAGCCTTTGTCCGTGTCAGTATCAGTCAGTGTGCAACTCGAGGTAAGCGTAAACACAAGGCACAACGCATTGTATCACTTTGGTGGTATGCTCGAAAAATTGATTCGTAAGGGTCTAGGGTATCTCACTACGGCGCGTTAACTTACATGCAATCATATTAATAGGAAGTAGCTTACAGTTCCGATTTCTCGGCACCCACCTCCCGCTTCTCCGCTTTGAAGTCGAAGAAGCCCTCTAGCTCCATCCACTCTGCGGTAAATGCCATGACGAGTTTTGTCCAGTCTTCTACCGTGTCCATGTCTAGGTGCTCTCCGTCGTCTTCGATTGTGTGCCACACTCTTGGAAAGGGAGTTGGGATCATGTGCAGGATCTCCACGCCGCGCGCCATGAAGGGAACGTGGTCGTCCTGCACGAAGCCGCCCATGAAAGCATCGTTTTGTTTGTTCGCGTCAGGAAGGAAGGGGCGTTCGGCGCGGGGTTTCTTGTCCTTGCGCTTGGCCATCTTGGACTCGTGATTTGGAGAAGATTTCATCAAGCCCAGCTTCTGCAAGCGTGCCTCGGCCGTCGCCATGTGCTTGTATGCCCAGTGCGTGGTCTTGAAGTAGGACGGTACATTTGGGCCCTTGGAGCCAAGGAGGTCGAGCAACAGGAACAAATCGATCGAATCGAGCGGGGTGCGGTATATCGAGGACGCGGCGTGGAAAGTGGATTCCCAGTCTTCGGCGAGAGCTCTGTGCACGTGTCAGTTACCAACTGCGGGGGTGTAGACGTGAACCATACCGCGCGCCATACAGACTGTCCGTGTCGGTCCAGGTCTTGAAGGCCTCCTCGCCGTCGAGCAACAGGATCTGCATTCCCTTGTGCTCCACGTTAAAGTCGTCCGGGTCCGCCGCAGCCCACTTCTTTGTCAGCGCCGCGTCGATGCTGCGAGCGATGTGCAAGATCATGGCGCATGGGGCCGCGCTGTCGATGGCTCCAATGAAGCCTTTCGGTGTATACTTGCTGTCATAATGCGCGACCAAGGCCAGGCGCGAAACATCCCCCTGAAAGCTGCCCGGTGGGTCGCGTGTCGCAATAACATTGACAAACGGCACTTCCTTGCCTTTGCTCACCGGCGTCGTCGACGTCGAGTTGTGCATCTCTATCCTCCATTCCGGCAGCTGCGACTTGAAGAAATTCAGAAAATGCTGGCGAACAAGGGCATTGCCGTCTGTCCCCGAGACTCTGGGGATCAAGATGGGCGCCAGTATCGAGCCCTTCTTTATGTCGAAGTCATCGCCCGGCCCGGGTAGGTGTTTGAGCGTCTCATCCTCGAGGGCCTGGTAGGCGTGTCCGAGAGATAGTAATGAAATGAGCGGCAGCAGCGCGAATGCGAACAACATCTTGCCGACGTGTCACATGAAGAGCGCGCGATCAATCCAGAACGCGGCGGGAAGATAGCTCAGGGTCGCGAAAGGAGCATACCGACGTCGACGGTCGAGTGGGTCGAGGCAATCGTGGCTTCTCTCGACCAACGCCAGCCTTACCGGCATCGGCTAAAGTTCCCGCACCGTGCCGATCACCACACACACACGTGACAGCGCGACAACCTCAGAGTCTGTTTGCGGTTTACCTCGACCCTTACACGCCCATACAACCTCATTGCTGAGTAAGCGTCGTGCTAAGGCATACAGCAGGCGAGGTTGGCAGTCGCGCGACAGAGACGTCGACCACCCGCCGACTTGAGTGAAGCAGAGAAGTGCAATTTTTTCCCACGTCCCTCAGTTGGTATGCAGCCACGACTTCTCGCCTTTGCGGCCGCTTTTCGAAGCTCGGCACCAGCAAATAGAGGCATACGGCCAATGGTCAATGCTCGCATCAATGCCTTTGTATGCCGGAGTTGCCAGCGGAAATTCTCCGCCTCGCCAACCTTGCAGTGGTTCGGAAAGTCTTCCAAGTCGGCAGCCAAAACCGTTGAAAAAGAGCGAAGTACGTTGCGCAACGATCTGGCCTACATGCAAGAGGACAAGGACAGATGCGAAGAACATGATTGACGAAGAATTCAGAATACAAGTCGAGGTTATTGATCTACGATGCGGGCGATGCACGAACCACATGGATATCCTTCTGGAAAGCAATGGCTCTGCTGCAGTTTGGGACCACCCTCGTTTTCGGTGTACCGCCACTATGGAACAACACAAACCAACCCGATGAGCGAGTAAGAAAGATGCAAGCTATCACGGGTAAGTAACTCATGTTCATGCCAACTATTCTTAACTCTCGTTACTTCTACTAGTGGCCATGATTGCTACCGTGCATGACAATCCCGTGGTCCAGCAGCGGAGCTGATAACAACTTCCTTTCCATGTCTTTCCACCACAAGTTACACAAGTTTTACTTCACTGCGATTCGTTCCTATCAAGTCTAATCTATCTACCACCCCTATCACACATCCATAACATCTACACCCAAATCACCAAGACTAACAGCTCCCCACAGTCGGCGTCCTAGGCACAATCCCCACCTTAACCCTCGCCTACCTAACCGCCCCCTTCGTCCACCAAGTCTTCCTCCAAATACCCGAACACGCCCGCCGCTCCCGTTCCGACCTGATCCGCTTCGCCACCTCTCTGCGCACCAACCCCAACCAAACAGCAAACACAAAACTCGAATTCGTCACCCTACGCATCTTCCCCTTTCGCAAGCACACCACCGCTTTTCTCCACGAACTCCGTGCTTTACCACCGAAACGCTTCCGCCTGGCAAACATCGAGCTGCCGAAGAGCGACGCTTGGGCTCAGCGGCAGCGGGAGAAAGGCATCGTCAAACGCATGGGAGAAGTGGTTCGTGAGCCGCGGTTCAAGTTCTATGTCAAAGAAGGGCGGTTGTATACGATGAAGACGGGAGTGCCGGGCGTGTGGGAGGAGGTAGCCAAGAGGATCCAGGAACAGACTGTTGAGGAAGAGAAGGTTGTCAAGGGACTTGGGGTCAAGAGGCCGGCTGTGCAGTTGGGAGCGAGGAAGTTGATCAGGCCTGCTGTCAAGGTTGGCGACAAGGTCAAGAGGCAGACTACTCGGTAGATGGACAAGTGGGTAGTGTGGTAAAGGGGTGATCACATGGTGGTGCAGGAGTGATATGTAGTGATACGTTGTATTGTACTGTGTTGAGGCGGATATAGCCTGATCGCTCAGGTGGAAAGAACATGCTAAGCGAAAGGGTACATGTACATGCCGTCCACCCTTACAATGATTCGTCGCCGACCATCCACCTAGTATACCAAGCCTGACCGCTTCTAATCTAAGCGTGTTCCATGACCTGGGGCTTCTCCTTCTCCAGACTGCTCTTCTCGTGGTAGTCCGCAGCACCACTGTCGTGGTACACACCAGAGCGCTCGAGGATATCAGTAAGACCGACCTCCCTGTGAACCTCAGCCCAACGCTCCTTCTCGCGCTCGGCGGTACCGACGGAACCGAAGAGGGTGTCCATTTCTTCCTATCAAGGTCGTTAGTACGGCTCTTACAGGGATGTTGGGAAGAAGGGTGACTTACAAGAGAAAGACCCTTGGTCTCCGGGAAGAAGAAGAAGATGAACGCCGCGCCCATAGCTGTGAAAATACCGAAGAAGATGTACGTTCCGTAGCGCAGATGCGTCAACATGTCTGGTGTGACCTGGCCAACGATGAAGTTGTTCATCCAGTTGGATGAGGCACCAAGCGCGATACCATATGGACGGTTCGACATGGGCCAGATCTCTGCAATGACAATCCATGCACAAGGACCCCAGGAGTAGCCGAAGAAGATGACGAAAAGCCAGACCATGACGCAGGCAGCCCAGCCGGCGCCCTGGTGGTTTGGCCAGTCGTCTTCGTAGGAAGCAACGATGCCAGAGATGATGAAGTGGCAGGCGGCCATGCCGATGGCGCCCGAGACGAGGACGGGCTTGCGACCGAGTTTGTCGACGTACATAACTGCAGGAACTGGGGAGGATGTTAGTGTCATAATCTAGACCTAGGGATATTCTATGATAAACTTACTGGTTGCGAGGAACATGACGATACCGACGACACCAGTCGCAAGCAGACTGATCGAGTTGCCCGACAGGCCCAATCCTTGGAAGATAGTCGGTGCGTAGTACAGAATCGCGTTGATACCAGTCCACTGCTGGAAGAACATGGTGAGCGTAGAGATGGCCACACGCCTAAACATGCCCCTCGTGGTGAACAAACTGCCAATAGCGACAAACTGCAGCTTGAAGATTGAAAGCGCGCTCATATCCTGGAGATGAGGGAATCGCTCTGCAAGCGACTTCTTCTCAAACAGACTCTGAGCGCGAATCTCAGCGTATTCGAGTTCGATGAGTTCGTGGTCCTGGTTCAAACCACGGAGGCGTGCGAGAACGCGGCGAGCCTCCTCCTCTTTGCCGTGGTGAACGAGCCAACGAGGAGAGAAGGGCATGAAGATCATACCGACGCCAAGAAGGACGGCAGGAGCAAGCTGGAGAGCGAGGGGAAGAAGCCATGCAGCCTCCTTTTGTTCCCTGCCAGTGCCACCAATGTAGTTGGTACCATAGTCGATCCAGAAACTGATCATGATACCAAGCGTAATGCTCAGTTGCTGGAGACCGACAAGAGCGCCACGGACTTCGGGAGGCGCAATCTCGGCATTGTACATGGGTACAATCATGGAGAGCGAACCGACACCCATACCCGTTATGAAACGACCACCGAGAATAGCGTTGTGGCCCTGGCCTGCGGAAGCGGTGCATTGAACGACGACACCGATGATAAAAATGGCAACGTTGACGAGAATAGCATATTTACGGGAGAGGATCTCGGCGAGGAAACCAGAGTACATTGTTCCGAACCAAGCACCGAGCTCGAGAATGGATACGAGCCAACCTTGCTTGGAGGAGTTCCACGTAAGAGTCTCTTGGTCCTCGATGTAGTTGCCCATATCTGATCATCTGTCAGTAATATTCTTGGAATTGTGGTGGTGAGGTACTACTTACGCTGCTTGAAGGAAGGCATGGTGAGCACACCAGAGAAGACACCCTGGTTGTAACCATAGAGGAGACCTCCCAAACAAGCGAAACATGCGATACCAAAGACTCTGGCATTCTTGACCAAGGCCATGGGTCCCGAGGCACCAGCAAGTGCTTTGCGGCGAGCCAAAGCGGCCACCTCAAAGTCCCCAGCACCACCGCCGACAGGAGCCATGATGACGGTTCAGGTAACGTTGGTAGATGGAAAGATCGAAGTAAAAGATTGTCGAAAAAACAACCGTTGGGATCCCAATACCAAGGAAAACATGGGGCAAGCAGGCCCTACATATGCATTTCCAGATCGCTTGTACGGCACCCCAGGTCAGCATACCACTATTTCGGGTAACAGGGACTGCATGCTGAGTGGTCGTGGGTGCGAAGCTTTCTCGTGGCGGGTAAATTGGCGGTTAAGCTCAGTGGCACCGACGCTTATTTTGGCGTTGCGGCAGCGATTCAAGCATCGGTGGCTGTCATGGCATTGGCGCGCCATTGCTTGTAACGTGCGGGAAGGAAGTAAGCTAGAAGCCACTGACGGCTGGGCGCACTATTGATCAGACGCGTGGAGGGCTAAGGCGACGCGGGGAGGGTTGGTTGGGGCGCACCCATGATGAGCAATCACGGCTGATTCGACGTGTTTGTGAGGTCGTTACGTCTTGGAGCTGGCACGAGACTGACCGGTCTTTTTGAAGCTGACATGACGGGCTTGGGGAAGACTTGTTGGATGTGATGATGGTGTATATCCTGATATCTGGTAGAGTCACAAGCTTTATCGTCAAGCTGGTGCATCGAGAGGCATACGAAGCGGCCGTTGCGCATCGTATAGATTAACAACGTGCATTTGCCGGTCCGCGGACATCCATGCTGCCAGGCCCCGCCTCCTCGAACTGGTACACTCCAGAGTGTGGAGACTCCACAGCGGGATATTAGCGTGTTTTCTGCATTCTGCCTAAATGCCTCACGCTCTCGGCGTTCACATGGTGCGAAGGTCTGCGGCGCTGCGGTAGAGTCGGAGCTTTTGACGCTGTTGTAGTCACGGGGCTGGTGGACAGTTCCGTTCCAACCTTATTTCCGTCGCGATTTGTCGTTTGCACGTTGAGCAGATGATGGATGGGCGACCATGGAGTTAGCCGCGCGGAGATGAACGTTGGAATTTGGGCACGTCAGGCCCACCGGGTGGAGATTGCAGCCAATCAGGACGAGGTAAGCGCAACGTCACGAGCTCGCTGATCTTACCGATGTTAGATCAGCCTTGACCCATGGCATAGCGTCTCTCCTTACACCAACATTCCATCAACGAACGCCTCGAACGAGCTCAGTGGTATATCTCTATGTGGTTGTTTCCGAACTAAAGTGAACTATGTTGCACAAATCGGTGGGTGGATTGCGACACGATGCGATCATACCCTCAGAGCTGTTACATAGTGATGTCTTTACAGTTATCTACTTGTTCTTGATCACACCAACTGGATAGGCGAGGTTGACTTCATGTACTTTACAACCTTGTGAAAGAAGGTGTCTAATAGCCTGCAGGTCCGCGTTCCACCGTCTCAACAGTTTTCGCAAGACTCAAATCTTTAGAACAACATTGAAGCAAGGTGACGAACACGATGAAGCAGCGCAGCTACCGCCCACAGATGAGAGAACGATAGAATTGCAGGCCCTCGCTTACCTGCGATTACGAACATGTCAGGACGATTAGCTCTTGGATTTTAGCAGGTCAAGGCGAGCTACCACTATGCTTTCTTCACAATTTACTAGAAGTAGCCCTCTAGCAAGTCCTGAACGATATCTCATGAGCGAGCAATGCCATTAGGGGTTCAGGACAGCGTGAAGTAGTGCTGCTCTTTAAGGCCAGCCACGATTGGTCAGCTTTGAGAAGGTGGGGTCAAGCGCGCCGAGCATCCCCTCCAGAACCGCAAGATGCGAACAATGGAAAGAGGCACGTTGCTATCACCATAATAGAGCCTACACAAGGTCGCGAGCCCTGGTGAAGCGTGGTTTCATGTGGTGCAGTACTGATGAGGTGTGCCAATGCGGCTCAGCACTCCTTGAGGTCTGCTCCGGCGTCATTCAACATCTCCCGCCTCATCTCTTTTCCACGACAGCATTAGGGGCCATTTGTCTTCTCCGGCACTTGCAGATTTGCGACGTTAAGTCACTTCGCCGAGGACGCGGCATCGTCTCCAGGCGCCCCCAAATTTTATCAAACGACCAACCTCGCCGTAACTACACATAGACTGATATTTCAGCCCGCACATAAGGAGGCGGCGAAGTTCTTGCCGTATTCTTGAGCGTCAATCCGGATCAGCCTTTTCGACCCATTTTGACACCGTCGTTTGTTTCGCATCGGCGCATACCCATCGATCTCATATGGACCGAAGAGGTGGCGAGGGTTTTCGTGTCAGATTCTTTGCCGTATTGGAGGCGGCAAAAGCACTCCGTCAACAGATCTGGTAGTGTACCTTCATCGGACGCCGACATCCTGACGTAGCGCTTTCGTTCGACCCATATATCTGGCTCACAGCTGTTACCCGACGGCGCTGGCGATGGTTTCTGAATGAGACTTGTACCACGTCTGACGCAAAGGTCATCACAATCACCAACGCAAGCTTGTTGATTATGCTGATAAGGTAGAAGTGCCTGGTAAGCATGCATTCACTTAGGAGTTATAAGTACTGTGTGAATCAGTTCATCAATTGTCATCTTGGTCCACACCAGCGTCTCACAATTGAATCCACGACAACATTACAAATACCCGCAGAATTTCCACGAGATGGAGCTCTTTCATTTGCTCCTTTACGTACTAATCCTTGGCAGTGTTCACGCTTCCTTGCCTTACCATCTTTCCGATACTGGTCAGTCGATGATGGCTTTAAAATTGAACCAATGACTAATTCTCACCCAGACGACGACCCGTTAGTGCCTAGGGACGTTTCAAGAGCCGATTCGTATCTCCTGAGCACAAGTGTCAGTCCTTCTGGGATACTATCTTCCGCGCCGGCAACCGTCTATCCGACTAAATCGACTCCCAAGGTAAACTCATCCCGTGGTACGGCGTCAGTATCGGCAACGTCTCTCGTCAGTTCATTGACACCGGCCTCTTCTGGGTTGCTTTCAACCTCTGTTGCGTCGCTATCGAATGGATCGAGCCTAGTCTTTGCCAGCAGTATCTACCTGACTTCATCGAGCAAGCTTTCCATAGAGACTTCTGCGAGCGGAGTAGCTTCGTTATCAGCCTCAACGATATCAATATCCTTCTCGGGAAACTCGAATAGCTCTCAAAATCTACCCACATCGATCACACCTCTCTCTTCATCAGCATCGGTAGGACTGTTATCCAGCTCCAGTCATAGTACACCTGATACCACTATTGCCGTCAGCCCAACTCTTGTGACAACTACTGTCACTACGTCGGATGGTGCGCCAAGTACTATCATAATCACCACCACTCAGTCATCGGACACCACCGCTGGGGAGATCATGTCTTCAAGTCAGCCGTCGCAAGCTGCTACAACTCCTGCGGCGATACCAACTGGACCCAGTCTCGAAGCTGTGATTGGCGGCGTAAATTACCAGCTGCCTTCTTCCGATCAAGATGCAATCGACGTAATGTTACATGACGGTTCCATCGCTCAGCTTCTCGCGAACAAGATCATTATCGGAGGTCAGACTGTAACCGTCCCATCGGACCCGACCAGCGAAACAGCACTTTCGGATGATATTACCGCGAAGCCTGGGGAAGCTGCAGAACCGGAAGAAGGCGACGACGACGATGACAATGGCGATGGTGCAGGTGGAGGTCTTTTCGGGGCGCTTGGCGGTATCGCAAAGGGTGCCACATCTGCCATCGGAGGTGCCATTGACGGAGTTGGTTCTGTTACTACAGGTGCCCTTGGCTTTGCTGGAGGCACAGTCGGTGCAGCAGCTGGCCTTTCTGAACCACTATCCGGTGCCGCTGGCAACATGGGAAAGTTCGTATCATCGCTTAACGGTATCCAGAAGTCTTTTCCTGGTAGCGAACTCACCAAAGGTGCCCTGGATACATTCACAGGTGCTCAATCACTCGCCCGACAGTCCCTGAACTGGATGAAGTCAACGGCGAATCTAGCTCAGGACTTCCCTAACCTACCGGCCGACGTTCAGTCGAAGCTTAAGTCAACGGCAGCGGACTTCACTAAAGACGATGGCCCTTTGGCTCAGTGCAAGGCGGCTATGGAAGCTTTCCGGGACTTTCATTGGGAGGAAGCCGAGGTACCAAGCCAGACGGTGGACCCAGATACAACAGAGAAAGCCACGAACACAGCCTCGCTACAAAGTACTCAAGGCACTTCGACTGCGCAGACTACGTCGATGAAGTCATCCACTGCCATATCATCCACAGCGATGAGCGCAAGTTCTACAGTCACTTCAAGCCAGACGTCTTCTTCTAGCAGTGAAACACCCACACCGACCCCAGACGCTACGAAGAGGTACGGGATCATCAGCGAGTACGGGACATCGTGGGACACATTCAACCAGTTCATTACTGAACTCGATGGGGGAAATGGATACCTTGCCAAGTTGGACAGCACCCGGCAACAGATATACATCGCCAAGTTGAATGCCTCGCAGGTGTCAGAGATAAAAGAGCGATACGACTTCATCGGCAGCGTTCTTCCGTACGAATTCGATGAAACTATAGACCACAGTATTGATGAGTTTCGAGCGATTGGCCAAAGTCGCTCTTTACACACTGATCTAGGTAAACCTCCGGCACCAAAGAGTTTTATGGGTTGGTCTGCAGCCTCTTTAGATCCAGTTCCTCACTTGATACCACGAGCATTGCTACCATCAAATCCTGATGCACCTTGGTGGAAAAAAATGCTTTCCGCCCCGCCGCGCGATATCGATGTAGCAGACTCCGGACCTCAGTTCGATCCACCTTATCTGGCGGATGCTTCTCTGGGGAAAGGAGTCACCATCTATGTTCTGGACGATGGCTTTGACACAGATAATGTTGTATGTTTGTTTTCGTATTAATCATCCACCTTGAAGCACGGGAGCTGACTTGAATAGGATTTACAAGCTGGCACACGTTCCGTCAATACAATCGTAACCCCTAACGAATTGACGTCTTTCCCGGTCATACCGTATGATCCAGCATACCCTGACAGAACCATGCCTGAACGAATTCAAGGTGGCGACCATGGAACGATGTAAGTGTCATAGTACATGAACGTGAGCGCGACAAGGCTGACAAAGAGAAAAGGATGGCTACAATCGCTGCTGGAGTCGAACGAGGAATCTCGCCCAAAGCAGATCTATGCTTAGTGAAGACCAAGAACACGATGAAAAGCAAATTCGACCCCAATGTCTCATACACCTTACCCATCACGACGCTGGCTTTGGCATGGTTCATCGATGCGGTGATAAAAGATATAGAGGACAGAACAAGCCAAGATCCAGGAGCAAGGTCTGTTATCAACATGTCATGGGGTAAGCGTTTAGTTATCAGCTTCTGATTGCACCAATCCGTAACTCACCATCCTAACAGGCATACAAGAACCTGGTAAATCAGACGATGAGATTGAACGAATCACGAAAATCTTCGAGAATTTTCTGGATTTCTGTAAGGCGCGGAGTATACCTGTGGTGGTTGCTGCGGGGAACATGCCAGCGGTTAACTTCGTTCATGATAGCTTTCCACAAAGACTCTGGACAGCCGATGATACCATGATTATAGTCGGAGGTGTGACTGACAGTGGCGCCTTGTACGAAAAAACGGTTGAAGACCCGAACAACCAGATAACCGTGCATGCGCCTGCTAAACCCGTCACCATCCCAAAATCTGGCGGCATAACCCCACCTGAAGGTGAAAGGGAAGGAACAAGCCACGCTGCTGCGATCACGGTAAGAAGGTATGCACGATTGGATGTATGTCGATGCTAACTTGTACAACAGTCAGGTCTCATTGCATATTTGTATGGTCTACCGAACTGGCAAGAGATTCCGTATGTGCAACAAACCCCCATGAAGACGATATTGAAGGACCATGCATGGCTGAGGAGCAACGCAATCGCCAGCGATGATCGGACAGCAGGGAAAGTTGTGTACAATCTCGCCAGGGGAGACCCCTTCCACGGTTCGCACTCTTGTGTGCAACGTCGTGACAAGTTCGGAAAGCGACAGGACGAAGAGCTTTGTTCCCTCTCATCCATCCTGCCCACATCTATGAGGTCAGTTCCAGGAAACAGACAGACTCCCGTCCCTCTTGGTGTTTTGACTAATGCTCTACAGCTCTTCTGGGACGACCTCTGCCTTTCCTACAAGTGCTACCATGTCTTCCATGACCTCCTCCCTTTCTGCACGTGTCAGCATATCTTCAGCGACTACCAATTCTTCCTCCACGCCACAGAGCAGTCAAATGAATAGCTCTACCAAATCTCTCGTCTCGTTGGGTGGAATGGATATTTCGCCAGCTACTTCTTCATCTCAAACCCCGGAAGCGTCATCAGAGTCCCCTCAGCCGCCGACGTCTCCCACACCTACACCTACCCCAGCGCCTACCGAGACAACTGAACAATCGGCACCACCAGCAACTACATCCGATGGATGGGTAGCAGCTTGCGAAAGATGCCATGATGCCGTACAGGCGTGTTTGGTCGAATGCAGACGTGTTGATCACTTCTGCGCAAAGTCCTGCACGTGCGACAAAGCTGAGCAAAACTTGGACTGCACGGGATGTGAAATTCCCTGCAATAACTAGACTCACCAGCGATTTCATGACTAGGACTGTAGTTTCCAGGCGATATCGGTGTGAGACAGCTTAAATTGCGTCCGAGGAGAATCGGCATGCAGGCGAAGGTCATGATCTCGTTACCTGCTTTTGATTGTTTTAGGCAACTCTGTTCTCGCCTACAGTAGAGTCGTTGAGAGAGTTTTGGTCTTCTTTATCTTCCACTGTCATATCCCCACTGTCTTTACCTTTGGCAAACGTTCTTGTAACATGCATGGAGAGGTTCGTCTTATGGGGTTTCTTTGAACACTGTCGTTATTAAGGAAACACTGATACAAAAAAATATCATCGAAAAATGGCTTGTTAATTCCATCCCACGACGCCTTCCGCTAATGTCAAAGGCCGCTGGGTTGACCCCGTCATGACCGAGACTCTTCTTCCAATGATGCCCTTGTCACCAACACCCAAATGCAGTTTCTCTGGTAGATGCATCATGCCTCCTAGCGAACTCCCGATTTCGAAGGAGTATAAAGAGTCTGCTATACTTTCTGGTGGTGGCGCGGAGAGATCGCCGTCACGACTATTTCACGCCGTTAGCCATCTCCACCTGCTCCAAAACCCAATGGTAGACCAGCATGACACGTACTGTATAACGAGCCAATGACTATTTTGTTGTAAGGCATCGTCAAGGCCCTGGCACTCGACACTAGTACCAGATTTGGAGAGCGGGTTGGTAAAAAGTAGAAATATTTCTTGTTCTGAATGCGTTCGTGCTAAGTGGGAGGTTGGGCGCATGACTGCTATTGAACCGCCTTGGCTGACGCGATTTGAGCTACCGTTGCACATCTTAGATGTGATTTGATGTATAAGAGTGTCTCGTTGGTGGACTAGGTGCTATGCGGACAGCACTTTGAGATCGATGCGAGGGCAATGTTACACAAGACGGGAGAGTGTAAAAGCGAGTTGGGCGTGAAATTAGATATGATCGACGATAAGAGCCGGGGAAAGAAAGACTATGTAGTTTTCAGAGTGTTCACACCGTTTCATAACTTGGTTGTTGGGTATTTGAGGGTTGAGAGTGAATGCGTGTCTTTGAGCAAGTTTCAGGAGAGCACCCGATTGGTCAATGCACATGCGCTAAAATCCACCATGGTGCTCTCAAGGTGTTTGTATGTACATCAAGCGACAACAGTATACATGGAGTCTACATCATCCGTGTCATTCTTTGTTCTTCTCGGATCCCATTTCATAGCTTAGATGGATGCCTTGAGCACGCTGAACGCGTCTGCGCGCGATCCTAGGTAACGCTCCTCCGCGGTCTTCCAGTTGATGACGTTCCAGATGTTCTTGACATAGGCAGCCTTGCCGTTCTGGTATTGGAGATAGTACGCATGCTCCCACTGAAACTCCAATTAGTCACACACGACCATTGCCACGAGGCTAAGAGCGACTTACCATGTCGACACCAAAGATGGGAACCTCGCCCTTACCAACAACAGGATCTTGGTCCTTGGTCGTCACGATAGACAGCCTTTGCTCCTTGCCCATGTCGGTTTTGATTAACCAGCCCCATCCACTTCCTTGGATACCCAGCAGAGCGGCGTTGAAGGATTCCTTGAACTTGTCCTCATCACCCCATGTCGCCTTGATTTGCTTGACGAGCTCCGGCGCAGCAGAGGTTTTGGCCTCATTCGAGCTAGCAGGTGCAAGGTTTTGCCAGAAGAGCGAGTGGTTGATGTGACCACCAGCGTTGAATTTGATGCCTTGCTGTATGGAGACCTGAGAGGTGATGTCGGAGGCTGAAACAGCCTCGGCCTGGGTCTTGAGAAGCCCGTTCAGGTTGGTGATGTACGTCTGGTGGTGTTTGCTGTGGTGCAGCTCCATGATCTGGGCGGAGATGTGCGGCTCCAACGCCTGTGATCCGTGAGTATGGCGTATGCTGAAGCGATTCGATCGTCGGATGTTATACTTACATCGTACGCATATGGCAGCGGAGGAAGAGTGTACTGTGGTGCAGACATAGCGCCGTATTCGAAGGGTTGTTGTTCTGATGCAAAGACGGTAGGTACAGAGATGAGGGGAAAGAGAACGAACGACAACAACGATATGCCCCGCATGATGCCTGCCCCTCAACACAATCGATAGGTGTGGAATTTTGAGTACGTTCGTCAGAATGCTTGGTCGTCACCAACAGGGTGCTCTGAATGTATGCCGCCCGATCGGGTTTAGGGCTCTGGAAACTGCCTCAATTGCGCGCGATGCCGCTCAATGTTCCGAGACACCCTCTTCACAAAACGAAACAAGAAAGCAAGTAGATGAGGAAGTAGTGCCTCTCGAATGGATAGATGTTATGATACTTGCTGCTGTAATGCGAGAGAAGAGAAGTAATGGCTAGCTATAGTCTGCTTTGGAGTGTGTAGCTGCAAAGGAATGACTCAAGATATGGAGTGACAGAGAATGATAGTGACCGTACCCTTGAAGTGCTTTAGACTCGATGACTGTTGTTGTGCAGCGTAATGGAAATGCAGTGCTACGCAAATGCGATGTTCAGATGAGATGAGAACCTCAACGTGTTGCTGTTGTCGGACTTCGGGGTCTCGAACTTGCCGACATAGGATGAAACACGGCTTAACCCGTCTTGGACTAGTCACAAATGTCGCAATCATCACACATCTCGTGCCTGAACACACCTCGTGTGTAACATTAACCTCAACGGCTGCATCGATGACTTTAATCTCTACGTGAATGGTTTCGAAACCACATTTGGACAGCTCTCACAGGCAGTTTATCTCCTCAAGACCTTCACTAAAAGTGTGTAGTCCGTATAGATCAGGCTGCTTCCGGCGTCCTGTTCCCAGATGAATCCGTCCCGATCCAGCAGCTCGAAGTCGTACCTCCATAACAATCTCGCCATGATCAGCCTTATGCTTTGCTGCGCCATATGCCTTCCAATACATGCCCTACTACCAATCAAGAAGGGACGACTGGCAGACCTATTGTCACCATCGAACCCGTTCTTCTCCGCACCTTCCAACCATCTCTCCGGTCGAAAGCTAGCAGGGTCATTAAAGTACTGTGACGATCTCTGAATTGTGTATAGGTCAGCCGAGACAATGGTGCCTGCGGGTATGTATGTTCCCGCTATAGTGCAAGAAGGAGCAGTGCGTTGCGCTGTTTTGCCGTTCGCCGGTGGAAGCAAGCGCAAAGTCTCCCTGATGCAAGCGTTCAGGAACGGTAATCGTGCAAGCCGTTCGCCCGTGATGTCGGCTTCGCTGGTGAATGTAGAACGTATCTCAGCGCATAGTGTGATGTAAGTGTTTGTGTACCGCAGGACATGGTAGAATGTAGATGCTAGCGTCGTAGCTGTAGTCTGATACCCAGCGAGTCTTGCAGCTATCAGTAGACGTCATTGCGGATTGAGAAAGGATGCCACTCACGTTAGGCCCATCGCGTTACTAAAGAAAGCATCCGCGTCGAGCGTCAATCCTTGCTTTTCGCTGCCCATGATAGCCGAAATGAAGTCTTCTCTGCCATCCTGCCTATCAATACAATCGCGTAGTCTCTTGGATGGGACAAGCTTCGACAGCTGAGAAGGAATCGGCATTGCGGAGATAAGGCTTCTGGCTGTCTCAAGCGCAGGGGCTACACCAGGCATGACCAGCATGAAGCTCAAGGCTTCCACTATAGGCATCGATCCTTTGCCCAATCTTTTCAAGGACTCATATGTTGCTTCACATAAGGTCAGCTCGATGTCAAGTGTTTATGGTGCCGCACTGGAACTTACGTCGTTTTCCAGCCATCAATGGCTCCCCAAAAGCAAGATCACCTATGATTTCCCAAAACATTGTCTCTAACTTGTCGGCAAGATCTATCTCGGTACCGTTCACAGCAATATCGTCGAAATCGGGCATTGCTCTTTCGATATGCAGTTTCTGGATCGGCTCTTGGCTCGCGAGTGCTTGAGGTGTGAAAGCTTGTTGAATCACTTTATGTAGTCTCTTGTGGAGCGCTGGATCCGGGATAGTGATGAGAGTTGGAGCATTCAAGACAAGGTCCGAGAAAAGAGTCAAGAACGTTCCAGCTTTGGAGAAACGACCATCTTCTTGCTTTGCATATATCGTAGTCTCTGCCTCGAATGTCGCGAATGACACTTCGTTCGGTGCGATTCGGACGACAGGCCCTGTCTGTTATTAGCAGGGTTGCTTCTACAATACAAGTCTTGGCAGTTCTTACCATATCTGTTATGAAGAGCTTGAAGATCTGAATTGAATTTCATGCGGTAGAGAGCCCTCATGCCCCATATCTTCTAACTATCAGGAAAACAGTATTCAGTTTTGATTCGAAGAACGCACTGGGGAGAACTTTGCTAGGAATGGACCAGGGACATGAGCAAGTGGGTGCAAATAACACCCATAGATTATGACCGATGTTAGAACGAAGATGGCCTGCGAAGGCAAGCTTGTCAGTACACAGTGATGAGTCGAAGTATAGGAGTGTAAGAACATACAATTGCTACTATTGCGACAGCCTGCGGAACGTTTTCCAGCTGCTGTACATAGGAGATTCCTGCCATAGTGGCTTTCGCTGAGTGTGCTTGGAGTTTGGACTTCGGTATCCAAGGATAGATAGTTTATTGTTCCCACAGAAAACATGAAAAACTGCAAAGCACACCACACGACTCGTCGACCCTGTGGCATGCAAATCCAGTAAAGTTCTTGTCGTGAGTGGTTCGATTCCTTCCTTTCTCGTCCTAGGCATTGCAGCCGCATTCACTGGCGCAGGACCGTGGACATCTTCCACGTCGAGACTGCTTGCCGATTCTCGCGTGCCGCTATCTGGCTAATGACGCTAGAATAGTTCGCTCCTTCCACAAAACAATAGCTTGACATTAGCGTACGATTCTCTGAACGCTGGTTACGACGACGTGCAGGCGTCGCAACATGCTCCCGCATCTAGAAAGTTGTTATTGCATGTAGGGTGCCTTAAGATGTACTATGCGTCGCTAGCGGGTGGGTCAAATGCATGTAATTTGGACCCTGAACGGTCCGCCCCGCAAGCCAGCCTCCTCCGTCAGCACAGAGTGGCTGACGACCTACCCACGTGGAATCGTGAGAAAAACGCCACAGATTCGATGTTTCTCGTCAGGTGACACGAAAAGTCGTCGTATGTAGTGTGGAGTAGAAGGATTCGCTTCGCGCTCAAAAAGGTTCATTGGTGGAAAATCATCATGATCTTGAACATAACGCACGGTATACACGCATCTGTGGCGAGAATAGTATGTCATAGTGGTGCAGCCGTTGAAAACGTGCTCGCATTGCAGCAGACGAGAAATCCGAATTAGTAGTCGCCAATGCACGCACTGCAGAAGGAAGCACTTCTTACGCGGCTGGTCCAGACGGTTGGGGCGTACTCACTGATACGTGCCGCTCAGGATGATAGCGTGCGCGACATCTGGACTCAAGTGTTACCCTGATTCTGTCGGAGACGTATTCATCGTATGGATGTAAGGGTAACGTTGATAAGCTGGAAGGAATGACGCGAATAGCCGGTGGCTAGATTCCAAGGCCATTCGTAGGGTTCCCACAATTAAGTAGACGAAAGAAGGACGTCCTCCGACTCACAAAGCTCTGTGCTTGACTCGTAGTCGCCGCTAGAACGGAACTATTGCAACCAATCGAATAGAAGTGAAACGGAAGTCACGTGCCGTCTATGTCCAATGACAACATGTACAAATGCTGTTATCAAGTTCTTCGTGAGAGAGAAAGTGTGGATATCCAATAAACTCTTATTCTGTGTTACGATACTCTTTCAACACGAAACATATCGTAAAATGGGGTCGCTCTCATATCAGTCCAAGCTGGTTTCTTTTGATGAATCCCGAGGAACCGGATGCTTCACGACACTTCCCATTCGTGTCCATTCTCGAAATGATCTAGCTGATGCAGCAAGTCGTCAATTCGTCAAGGACTGGGCTAGAGAGATGGGAGATGGGCGAGAACGACACACCTATTTCTCTTTCTCGCCAGTGGGGAATTGGTCATCCTTGATTTATCCCGAGGCCGTTCCGGAGAGATTGGGTGTCTTAGCATACCTGTCTGACTTGGGATTGATTCATGATGGTAACTATGTCATCCTGCTGATCTACTAGCGCTTCTAACGAGAACATAGACGGCGGCGAAGGTCTCAGTATCGAAGATGCGCAAGTTGAGCACGGCGATCTTTATGCCGCCTTGGATCCCGACGATGTCAGCACCATGACTCCAGATTCAAGAGCGATGAAGACCAAAAAACTTGTTTCGCAGTGCATTCTTGAATGTGTCAGTCTTGACCGTGAATTGGGTCTGAAGATGCTTGCTGCGTTCCGCGACGTCTGGCTCGCGATCAGCGAAAGAAACAGCGACAAGGAAGCTCAAACTATGGAAGAATACCTGAAGTATCGGAGCGAAAACGGCGGAATGCTGTAAGTAATACAATCACTTAGTTCCCAAACCTTAGCTCATCTTTGCCAGGGTATTCTGGCCAATGCTTCAATTCAGCCTTGGGATGTCTATCTCAGAAGCCGAGGAAGCACTTGTACAGCCCATCATCGACGCAGCCACTGAAGGACTTCTTCTAGCAAATGACTATTTTAGCTGGGAACGGGAGTATAGAGAACTGCAGTCCGGCCAGTCGAAGAGGATTGTAAGCGCTGTGGACTTGTTCATCAGGACGAAGGGACTTTCGATCGACGACGCAAAAGATGAAGTCAAGCGCAAAATCATCACGGCTGAGCGTGACTTTTGTGAGCGCCGTGATGAACTCTACAAGGCCTGTCCCGACATATCCTTGAAACTGAAACGTTGGATTGACTGCGCTGGCTTAGCTGTTTCGGGGAATCACTACTGGTGCTCGGCGTGCCCGAGACAGAATGCATGGAAGCACGCTGATACACCTATCTCCAATGGTGTCAAAAGAAAGCTGTCGCATGGTGCTGTGGTCATCAAACAGGAAGCTCCGGCGAAGAAAAGGAAAGACTCTCCCGTCTTTGACTTGGAATCCAGCGACAGTGAGTCTGGCCTCTCTGAGGTCTCCAGTTACCCCTTCTACAAGCCTTCAGAATTGGCACTGAAGGCGCCATCAAAGTATGTTTCAAGCATGCCTTCGAAAGGCGTCCGGGCCACACTCATCGAGGCTCTTAATACATGGCTTCATGTGCCATCTGATCGGATCAAGGCCATCATGTCAGTGATCAATTCACTGCATAACGCCTCTCTCATTCTCGATGATCTCGAGGATAATTCCCCGCTTCGAAGAGGCTATCCATCGACACATGTTCTGTTTGGACAGGCCCAGTCAATCAACAGCGCTAATTTCATGTTCGTTCGCGCTGTACAGGACGTCGCACAGAGCTTGAGTCCAGCTGCTCTTGTTGCGGTCCTTGAAGAACTTGAGGGCCTGTATCTAGGTCAAAGCTGGGACCTGTACTGGAAACACAACCTCGCATGCCCAAGTGAGGCTGAGTACGTCAACATGGTCGATCACAAGACCGGTGGCATGTTTCGCATGTTAATACGACTCATGCAAGCGGAGAGCGAGGTGACACCGCAGTTAGACTTCCACAGATTGACACTGCTGTTCGGCCGCTTCTTCCAGATTCGGGATGACTACATGAACTTCCAGGATTACACGGCACAAAAAGGTCTCTGTGAGGATCTAGACGAAGGAAAATTCTCGTATCCAGTTGTATACTGCTTGGAAAATTTTCCGGAGTACCGTGGGCACTTCCTAGGTGTGTTCCGGCAACGCCCTACGATCGCCACCGTGGACGCACATCCTCTGTCGAAAGAGAGCAAGCAACATTTGACGGCTTGCCTGAAGAAAAGCGGAGCATTTGAGAAGACGATTGCTTGCCTGACGGATATGGAACGCGATTTGGAAATAGAAATCGACCGGCTTGAGCAGCAGACAGGCGAGGCGAACCCAATGCTTCGCTTGTGTCTCGCAAAGCTCAGCGTCAAAGGCATTGCGAGGATTGGTGAAGTAGGCACTAGCAAATGATCGCTCGGGGGCCTTGCTCTCCCGCTAGCCACAGCCGTCTTGTGCCGCTGTGGGTCGCTTAGCTGCAAGGACACTAGTTGCTAGCACAAACGGGAGACGAATCCTACGTATTTATTACTTCTTGTTGTAGTTTTGCCTTAGCCCACCGGCCTTATGCTATCGTGGAAAGTGTTAAGTATCTTGTTCATGTACCCAGGTACCCTTGCTCCCACATGAAGGATCGCCGTACGTGCGTGTTGTGGAGTCAAGGGTGCGGCACAGATACGTTAGATACAGGACTGAGTAACTCCCCAACAACCTTGATTTTTTCGTATCGACAGCCGAACGGTACAGCTAAGACATATCCGACTTAGCCTCACATGAGTCGGTCTCTACGGGCCGATGGGTGGCCTGACATACAACGAAGTCGAGAACGTCTTATGCCCACCAAAAGCTCAAAGTCTCAAGGTTGTCTATTCAAGACTTTCGTGTTTCGTCATCAAATATACAGCGATGTGGCAATCAACAACTCTACCTTGGCTGTATGCCATCTACGCTTCTATCGGCAACAGCAAAGGCATAACAGCAGATTACGGTTCTTGTCATGATGCCGTACGTTGAAGAAAAATGTCAAGCAAACAGTAGCTATGGTCTAACACATGCAGTGCATCCTCCTTTCTGAAACACTCTCGGTCGAGATAACCGACACTAAAGTGTCCGATGTCGGACATGCTCCTATCGTTGCTAATCAGACCTCCGTGAGATCTCTCTTTTGGGCACAGCAACAGCAGTCCGCTCAACCAGCGTGTCTCGTCCATATCCATTCTGCCGAAGATATCGCAGCAGTCGTATCCGTCTCACGCACAAGTGGTTGCCCTTTCGCTGTTCGCGGAGGGGGTCACTCGGATATCCAGGGTGCGAGCAATATTGATAGGGGCATCACGGTCAACATGGCGGGTTTGAGCGATGTCATATTAGATGAGAGCGAAGGATTAGTCAAGGTCGGCGCTGGCGCGACATGGGGAGATGTGTACAAGGAACTTGAGAAAGTTAACAAGACCGTCGTGGGTGGCCGACTCACTGGAGTTGGTGTTGGTGGATTGCTGCTAGGTGGTGGGCTGAGCCACTTCTCAGGCATGCACGGCTGGGCATGTGACAATGTTCGTAACTACGAGGTAAGGAACTAGAAGCTAAAAAGCGAGCACAGACTGATAGTACATCAGGTGGTTCTTGCCAATGGCAGTCTCGCAAGTGCTTCCGAGTCATCAAACGCGGACCTCTATCGCGCTATGCGCGGTGGAGGAAATAGCTTTGGCGTCGTCACTCGGTTTGATCTTGACGTATTCCAGCAGGGACCAATGTGGGGAGGGTTGCATGTCTGGCCATTGCTGCCATCAGTGACTTCGGCTCTCACTCGCGGCTTTGTCAAATTCGCACACGATGCCCCCTCCGACCCACATGTATCACTATTTGCTGGCCTAGGCTACAAGCAAGGCAACTTTGCTTGGGCCGCGGGGCAGTATGACGCGCTAGGAAGGGTTGAACCTCCGATCTTCACCCAGTTCAAAGACAATGTAGAGGCGTATGGTACAGCAAAGATTATGAGCACGGCGAGAGTGACTTCGGTGTTGGATCTTGCAGATGAGCTCAATCAATCGGAACCCGCCGGTATGCGGAGCCGGTTCACAACAGCAACCTTTTCCGCCGATGTAGGGCTGTTAGCACTTATGGTGCACATATTCGTAGAGCAAGTACAGAAGGCGCTAGACAATGGGTTACAAGATGACCAGGGGTTTGCACCGATGCTGGGCATCCAGCCACTAACGCAGAATATCTTAAAAGCCCAAATGACACGCGGAGGGAATGTCATGGGCCTTCATGACGACCAAGCGCCTTTGGTTGGTGAGTCCTCCCATACATCCTTCTTCAGATGAAGCTAACCACTATACTTCATAGTCTGTTCCTTTGGATGGGAATGGTCTCGCGAATCTGATGACACAACTGTCATCGCTGGTATCAAAGCTGTGCTTGAGCAGTCTGTTTCGGCTGCTAAGGAGAGAGGCTTGTTTCATCCCTTCAAGTACATGAACTATGCCGCGAAAGATCAAAATCCTATTCGAAGCTATGGGAAAGAGAACATTGAGTTTCTGAAGCGGGTTCGAGAAGCATATGATTCTGATGGAGTCTTCACTACATTGACGCCTGGAGGGCACAAGATCAACTAAGGTACCAGGGATATGTAGTGCCAGTCTCCTCTTCAAGAAAGGCAGAACGGAAAGCCCTACACGAATGGCTTCCCTCAAGATGATATTCCATGTTGTCTGTAAGACACTAAATCTTGCTGCGGACCCATAGATTCAATATGGTGTGTGTAGGAGAGAATGGAAGAGCTGGAAACGAAGTAACAAGACCATGCCTGACGCAGTCGTCCACGAAGCCCACACTAAGCAAAGTCAGGGCGAAGAAGGTCCATAGGTACCCGACGACACGCCATCGCCAACTCCGCCAGCCAAGCTGCTCTCGAGCGACGGAGATAGCAAGGTCTTCTAACAACATAATTATCGGCATGATCGCAAAGAAAGCCAGCGTTTTCGTGAAATTCTCGGATCGAATGGCCATCTTTGCGGCTGCCCAATGGTAGATCCCAGAGATGGCAAAAGCGATGTGGTACTGGATCTGACGACTCGCCCATGATCCTTTAGGAGCGCATGCGACGTGTCTCGCAACATAGCGGCTCGGAGTCTTCAATGCTCTTCGGAAATTCTGGTGCCATGTGCGGTTCCAGAAATTGTTCAGAGTGTAGCACATGGCCCATGCCCCTTTGAGTGGGTGTACCTCTTCGATGACATTCCAGAAAAGGCCAGATGTGACGCCGAACAGACAGATGACATGATATACAATGTCCATTGGCGGAATAGTTGACGCCCACCAGCACCCAGTAGCTAGGATCTGCGGAACAAAGTGCAGGTCGAGTATACTTGTTCTTCCGCTATCCGTCAACCATAGAAGAAGCGCGCCTGCAATGTCATGAATGACGTATTGCTGGAGAATTCTTCGCAGTGATAGGATCAAGAAAGATGACTGAGATGATCCTGCTGGAGGGGCTGGTGGGAGATGCGCAGTACCCCAGCTCCAGCCAATTCCTCGAGTGGAATAGGCATTACTGAAACACCACCGAACCTTCTGTAGCGATGAAAGCGAGTGGTATACTGGAATGGCCTTCTCTCCATTGCTTTTCTTTCGGATGCGTATATGCTCCACGTACGGATCTTCTAGAACGAGCAAGTTGAAATTCGTCAAACTGACGTAGAGAACTACATAGTGGTATCATTAGTAACTAGGACTGACAGGGGTTGATCATGCATTCTAACCTGTACCAAATGTGTAGTCCTTCGCTACATCAGTTCCGGCGGGAACAAATGACACGATGGCGAAACAAAAAACCAGAAATGGAAGCAACAGGAGCCATCGGAGCTGCCGCTGTATGCGAGAGCCGGATAATAGGAGAAATGGAGTTGAGAGCCAGATAAGACCCACAAAATCTGCGCGTTCTAGAGTCATTGGCCGGAATATAGTATTAGACGAGTTTTCGTAGGGGAGGCAAAGTTGAGCTGTTAATATCTGACTCGAGTGAATGCTTCTGGTGATCATGACATACCCACTTATGTACTGGGGATGAAGACTACAGACCTTCCCATCAGCGTTAGACCAGCGAGCTTGTTACATTGTACTCAGCCCGCTTGTGTGGGACCAAAGCACGCAAATATTCACTGCATTAGCGTGCCAGTAGTTCCCTGGCCCCTGCATCCACCTGGGTAGTCTTACATGCAGCATGCATTGCATTGCTGCAGCAGTGAATCCTTCTCGGACGCAGACACTACGGGGGATGCTGTATCAACGACCAACCGAGCTGTAACCTTATCGAAGCAATATATCCCAACTTTAGACTTCTTTTCTATCCCCATCTTGCTTCTCCGCACCGGACATCCCAAGAACTTGCAGATATGACACTTTTGAGTTCTACACTCACGAATATGGACATACCCATAACTTTGGTGTCTGTGTTTGTGGTTTCCATCCTCTATTTCTGCTATGTTACTGTGTATCGTCTCTTCTTGAGCCCGATATCACACTTTCCCGGGCCGAAACTCGCGGCATGGACTTATTGGTACGAGTTCTGGTACGACGTCGTTGCCGAACCCGAGTATACGTTCAAGATAGGCCGACTCCACAAGGAATATGGTACGTGTTTGCTCTTGTTTGAACCCTGACGTATCGAACTGACTGGTGTGAAGGTCCTATTGTCCGCATCAACCCGGACGAGATACATATTGCTGATCCTGACTTCTACGACACGGTTTATGCTGGTAGTGGACGCAAGCGTGACAAGTGGGATTGGATAACCCGGTCCTTTGGCGTTGATGAGAGCCTGATCGGCACACTCAAGCACGATGAGCACCGCGTACGCAGGGCTTCTCTTTCCCCTTATTTCTCCAAGCAAAGTGTGCGAGCACTGCAACCGCTGGTCGACCGCAATATGAGCATCTTGCTAGAACGTCTACGCCAGTTTGCCGATTCTGGTTTACCCCTTAAGCTGGATGATGCTTACGCAGCACTAACCAATGGTGGGGCATCTTCTTGATTTTGAGAGATCGTTCACTGATTTGAATCTTCTGGTGCAGACATCGTCGAGGACTACGCCTTTGGGAGAAGCGAACATCGTCTAGAGGCCCCAGACTTTGATCCATCATTCCGGGATGCAATGCTGCAGGGCGGGAAAGCTGGACATGTTTTGAAGCACTTCACATGGCTGATGGACTTGCTGAGGAAGCTGCCCGACTCACTGCTGCTCAAGCTGAGTCCAGCAATGGGCGCGTACTCTCAGCTTCAGACTAGCGTAAAGCGTCAGGTCGCCGAAATCCAGCACGCACACCAGACGCACTCCTACGACAAGACACGCCGCACCATCTTTCATGAGATTCTCAATAGTAAGCTTTCCGACTACGACAAGTCGACAGATCGTCTCTGGCAAGAGGGTGAGGTCGTTGTCGCGGCAGGAACCATTACCACTGCCTGGGCGCTGGGCGTTTCAACGTACTTTGTGCTCGCCACTCCAGAAATTCTGCGCAAGCTCAAGGCCGAGCTGGAAGCCGCCATTCCCGATCCTTCGCAGCCACTCAACCTTATCGCACTTGAATCCTTGCCCTTCCTTACTGGTGTGGTTCAAGAAGGCGTGCGTCTAAGTCATGCCATCTCGCATCGCTTGCATCGCATCTGCCCTGACGAGACTCTCGTTTACCAGGACGCTGCAAACCAGCGCGAATGGCACATCCCGCCTGGAACACCTCTTAGTATGACCAGTAACCTGGTCCACCACGACGAGCGCGTCTTTCCAAATTCGCACGACTTCCAGCCCGAACGCTGGCTTGATAACCCCCGCCTCGATCGCTATCTAGTATCATTCGGCAAGGGTGGTAGAGCTTGTCTCGGCATCAATCTTGCCTATGCAGAGCTGTACCTCACGCTGGCTGCGCTGTTCAGGGTGTATGGTACCGAGGAGGTCAAGGGCAAGGACGACGTTGGGAAACTGCAGTTGTTCGAGACCAGTGCTGCTGACCTTGTGATTACAAGTGACACTGTTGTCCCTGTTATGCCTGAAGACTCCAAGGGATTGAGAGTAAAAGTATATTAGGATGTGAACTCGCGGTACTGGTGTGAAGCACGATGTATCGACCCTTGAGATTACTCCCAGTATTGCTTCGTGCACTGCACTTGGTTCAAGATGACTTTTGCATGATGACACGTTTTAAGCATCATCAGCGTAGATGGTGGTTTTGGCTTATTCAGCCCTTCCAAGCTTACCTTGGAATGCAGGTAGCGAAGACGATGACCCAACTTCATGCAACGTAAAGCTCGGTCACTTCCCACAAGATCAAATCAACCATGTCAACATATATGTCGGACTTATGCGACGACATTACCCTTCGCGTCTGCTTGAGTAGCTTCGTTAGTAACAAACCCCCACTCTCGCCTTGCAGCCAGGTCAAGAGTGGGGAAAAGGCCCGTCTTTGTCGATATCTATACCCATTGGCTAGCACTTACTCAAAGCCACTTCCCCGCAACATAGCGTTGCGCCAGCCTCTTATTTCCTCTTATGTGGTCTGCAATCGTCCGTGGCTCTACACGTTGGGAATGGGATGTCCCTTGTCGACCCCAGATTATGGATCCACAATTACAGATAGTGAAGATAGCATTCGTCTGGTCCAGATAGGGTATCGATCCGGAGGTTCCTAGATCAATTCAGCTGCCCCACTCTCGGGATAGCCATGACAGATTGAGGAGTATAGGGCTGGAAGCGTATGACCATTATAAGACGGCAGACACAAAATGCAGCCTGCTACCGACTGAACCGACAGCTACAGCTGTCGAGACTTTTTCATAGTGTCGCACTCCCTTTCACCATAAGAGACAATGACCGACGAAAGAAAGTCCCTTGAGAAGGGCGATGCATCGTCCACGATCCACACAATCGAGCCTGAACTCGGCATCAGCGAGCCCGTCAATGCTCTCCAAAGATTTGCAAACAAGCTAGATGCCGTCTGTGGTGTCGAAGCCCGCGGTATCGAGCGGATACCAGAAGAATTGCGCGAACGAGCCATGACGTATCGCGACTACATCCATATGTTTACCATGTAAGCTTATCACAATGAACGCTCCACGCCATCACAGCGATTAACTGTGTACTTAGCTGGTTCTCCATGAACTGCACTGCAAATCAGCTTACTTTGGGTGTCCTCGGGCCCGTGAGTTACAATCTAGGTCTCACCGATTCGCTCATGTACGTCCAGCCATCCGTTCGGGTCTCGTCTTGTAACATGAATGCAAACATACAGCTAATACCACCAAAGACTCTGTCTCTTCGGCACAATCTTCGGATCCGTATGCACTGGCTACATATCCACATTTGGGCCGCGCTCCGGTTTGCGCACCTTGAACGTAGCCAAGTACACAATGGGTTGGTGGCCATCAAAACTCTGCGTTATACTCAACCTATGTATCGAGATTGGATATGGACTCATCGATTGCTTGGTGGGCGGCCTGCTCTTGTCTGCGGTGAACGGCGGAGGCATGTCTGTCATCGTTGGTATCGTCATCGTTGCGCTCATAACCTGGGTCGTGGTTACTTTTGGCATAAAGTGGTTCTACAAGTTTGAGCAGTACGTCCACTCGTTTCACTTTCTTCTCGCAAGCAATGAGGAGGGGTTTTGCTGACAACGCATAAAGATTTGTTTGGGCGCCCACCGTTCTCGTCCTCTTCATCCTCATCGGCGTTGCGGGCCCGCATTTTGACACCACCCTCGCCTCATCCGGATCCGGCGCGGTCCTCCACGGAAACCGGCTCTCGTACTTCTTCCTCGTCGCGTCTGGTCCCTTGAGTTGGTCATCCGCGTCCGCTGACTACGTTGTTTACTATCCCAAGACAACAAACCGGTGGTTCACATTCGCTGCCACGACCTGCGGTATCACGTGTGGGAAGCTGCTCATCGAGTTCCTGGGTATAGGTCTCGGCTCTGGATTGTTGAAGAATCCTACGTGGCAGGAAGCTTTCGACTCTGATGGCATCGGCGCGCTTGTCGTAGAGGCGTATCGTCCGCTATATGGCTTCGGAAGTTTCTGCTGCGTGATTCTAGCTGTGTGCATTGCTGCGAACAATATCCCGGGTACGTACGCTGCAGCACTCAACTGGCAACAACTTGGTGCGCCATTTGCAAAGATTCCCAGACCCATCTGGAGTACTTTCTCCTGCATAATCTTTACCATCATCGCTATTGCAGGCCGCGACTCACTCTTCGATATCTTCATCAACTGGCTGAGTTTGATTGGGTACTGGACCATTATCTGGATCACCATGACGGTCCAAGATGAATACATCTTTCGCAAAGGCGTTTTTGACTGGGAAATCTGGAACCGCAAAGATCTGTTGCCACACGGGTTTGCGGCCTTGTTTGCCATGATAGTGGGATGGGTAGGCGCTGTGTTGTGTATGTATCAGACATACTTCACAGGCCCTATTGCGGCGCTAGTTGGGAACGGAGCAGATTTGGGGCTTCCCGTAGCTATGGGACTGACCATTGTGTGCTACCCGCCGGCTAGGTGGCTGGAGCTGAGGTATGTTGGGCGATAGATTAGCGTTAGGGGCGTGCACACCTGCGCCGTGAAGAAAGCGAGAATTGAAGCTTGAGCAATCGCGGGAAGCGAGTCTGAAGCTCTCCGTCGCGTAAATCGAATGATTTTTCGAAGCCGTTGGACACAGCTTTCATTCAGACATCGATGGTGCAATAACACACGAAGTCTTCTCGTCTCGGCATGGCGGCTTATCGATAAGCGTGGTAACGATGTCGTCATCGTCATGTCCTCTCCCTTACCCATATGCCCATCCATTTTCCAAGCCCAAATTCCCTTACGAGGCCGCAATGACAACGCAGTGAGATATCGATGCACCATATCGTGACGGGACGTAGTTTCCGACAATGTGGTTAGAGTTATTCTCCCCGCTCTTGGCAAACGTGGGGCTTCGCAGCTTAGCTTTGCGCATCTTTCGACGATAACGCAGGAACGATAAACAACTTCATCGCTACTCGTAGCTTCAGCTCAACACCTTCCTCATACAAACTGGATGCCAAGAGAGTGATATGCACGATGTCGTGATGTCAGACGCGACATGACGGCTCGTAACCGGCGAGATGGTAGATTAATGGCCGCGGATGTAAGCGGAGTTGAGCGACGGTGAGTGGGATGGTAGGACAGAGTATAAGATCTGATGCCTGTTCGGAGATATCAGCGCACCAGGTCTGTTGACTCTTGATCTTTCGGGCACCATGCGCTTCTCAAACATCGCGGTCGCTACTCTGGGTGCTATCGCGAGTGCGGCACCGACAGCTTCGCAGTTCCAACCACGTCAAGCAACGACTGCCAGTGAGCGACTTGGTCTAACATGGCTTGGCGGTAACAGTAGTTTGCCCAAAGTTCTGTACGTATTGCGGACGAACGTGGTGTACACACCTAACGCATTCTAGTGTCCTATTCACCGGAGGCACCATTGCAGGAGGCTCAATATACGGTGCTCTGGACGACACACAATACGGCCAGCTCAGTCAAACAGGAGAGGACATTATTGCCCGCAATCCCTACCTTCTCAACAACACCCAACTGGCCGTCTCGAACTGGACCACAGAAGACGACGGCTCAACAGGAACAAATGACGCTCTAGTCATGAACATGACGCGTTTCGCCTACGATGCACTCTGCTCAGAAGACAGCGACATTGTCGGTGCAGTATACACCCACGGCACCAACTCTCTCGAAGAAACAGCCTTCCTCATGGACTCGCTCGTAAACTGCGGAAAGCCCATTGTCGGTACCGGAAGCATGCGTCCATTCACCCATCTCTCCTGGGACGGAGAAGCCAACTTCTTCGACGCTGTGATGCTAGCTGCAAGCCCTGAGTCGCAGAACCGAGGTCTAATGGTGGCTTTCAACGCGCGCATCATACCGGGATATTGGGTCACGAAGCTGCATTCGACGAACCCGGATGCTTTTGGTCCTACGTCTGGTGGGGATCTGGGCATGTTTATCAACAGTCTGCCCATCTTCTTCAATACGCCGAGCCAGCCGTTGTACAAGTACTACTTCGATATCGGCACCGTGTCTTCTCATCCTACGTACCCTGCGCTTCCAAAGGTCGACATCCTCTACGCAGCCCGCGAGTTCGATGGCAAACTAGTGCTGGACGCGCAAGCCAATGGCGCTGAAGGTGTCGTTATTGCGGGTACTGGTAACGGCGGCGTACCAAGTGGTCAGGAAGAGATTACTGAAGCGTTGGACAGCGGGCTTCAGATCGTTGTGGGAACTCGCAGTCCGCATGGACCGTCTAGTCCGGCTCGAGCACCTACGTTCGCGAAGTCAGGGTTTGTGCATCCTATTCAAGCGAGGATCATGCTCCAGCTGGCCATTGCGAGCGGGATGAATATGAATCAGACGATTGATGTGTTTGAGGGTGGTTTCAGGAAGGCTATTGGGCAACCTTGGGATCCAAGCAGCTAAAGATGAGATATGTAACTAATGACCCACACTAATGAAGACAGAACTTTGAATACCGATTCATGTTAATGTCTCTTTCAAACTCCGGATACCTTGACAAAACCCTTTTGTCTCGATGTATAATGTTCCCCTTTCTTGCTCTAGCAATTTCTGTCATCTTAAGCTGGTCGACCCTGTTCCCACCACCTCTCTCCATTTGCGCCTTTTACATCCGAACCAGGATGTACGTGGTAAAGGTTGTACTCATTTCCGATATCACTCAACCCATCTCCCGCCTCGTTGATCAACATGCCTGGACCTGGTCGAGCCATGAAGTAGCAGTACCGATGGATGTCCTGTGAATTATCCATCCAAGGCATCACATCGTCTAGAAATGCTTTGACCTCATCGTCAGTGCCATCAGCGCGGAACTCGGTTATCCAAATAGGAAGGCCGTTGGCGAATTTGCGGGCGTCGTTGATATGGTCTTTGAAGTTTTGGGCGTCGCGGGCCCGGCCGTACCTGTGAATGTGATCGTCAGCCTCATGATACGGTATCCGGTGAGTTGTTAAGACACGTTGAGCGTAGCGTGTGATGACGAGGGGGCTTACCAGTGGAGGTTGATGAAATCGACGGTACATCCGTTGCACGTCTCCAAGAACTTCTCGAGCCAGCCGAGACCCTGGGTGTCGGATGGCGCGGCGTTTGTGACGCCTGGTGAGCCGAGGTAGATTTTGCTGTTGAAGGTTGAGAGGGGTTGCATGTGTTTCTTCCAGCCGGCGACGGCGGTGGGGACGTCGATACAGGAGCCGCCTGCATCAGGACTGATCAATCATTAGTATCGCGACCACCGCCAGTGTACCACGACTTTCGCTAATATAAGGAAGTTCGTTTACTCACATGCAGTTATCTGGTTCATTAAATCCCAAAAACCACGTCGCCATCTCTTGTTGTCCCCAGTTCAATCTCGCCTGCGCCTCCGCGTTGTCTTTCCACTTGCTTGTATGGTCGTCCCTCAGACTGTGCAGCATGGGTACATATCGGAACCACGCATCAGAAGGCGGGCTCGAGGAATCCCAGTTGTAGCGCCAGGTTACGTGGTCGTGGTGGTCATACTGGAAGTACTTGGCGTATTTCACGTCGTTGTAGGCGATACCGCGACGTTCGTGCGCGGGCTTCTGGTCGAGCGGACCATGCTTTGTGCTTGATCCTGTGGAAGTGGCGTTGGGATTATCTGGAAGGGGGTTGGCGATAACGAGGGCTGAGAGGAGGAAGAGTGGAAAGAGTAGGAAATGATTCATGGTGATCTGAAGTCTTGCTGGTGGGAGGGAACTGTTGAGAGTGGTTGGAGATGTAGAGTAAACGGTCGTGGAAGAAGATGTGAAGATGGATTTGAGGTAGTGAGTGAGCGGATCCGGTCAAGGGGGCTGCTAAGAGAAGAGGCCGTAGTGAGAGTAGAAGCGTGATCAATTACAGCCGTGAGGCTAGTGTTGATTAGTTCTTGATACAAGTGAGAGTTGTGCAAACGCTTGAATGAGTTGCTAGATCGTACTCCAGGTGAGGACTCGAAATGACCGCTTCCAGTTGAGCAAGTCATGCTCAAGGATAGATAGTGAATAAGAGTAGCGATCAGTAGACCGTCAAAGGGCGACATGTAGTACCAAAGATAATATGAGGCGTTTTTCGTAAATTGCGAAACGACCATGTAGATTGCATCCACAAACAAAACTCTGCTTAGATTTCTTGACTGACTTTGACGAACACTCTCACTGTAGGCTGTTAGTGAGGAAGCCATTCACTTCAAACGTAAATAAACCGCACATGCAATTTCATTATGTCGTTCAAAACTTCCAAGCATTGGTATACACATAAGTATTTGATACACGGCTCCTGTGCGGGCCCTACATCTTGCCGCCAGTGAGCTCTTCGGCCACCTTCTTGACGCGCTCCTTGGCAAGGCCAACACCTTCGCCTCCCCTGAGCTTGTTGAGCATGTCGCCCACACCCTCGGGTAGGGGTCCATGCCACGGGCTGAGACCCTCTTTGCCCTCCGCGCGGGGGCCCATGATGCCCTTGTGGTCCCAGCCTACAGGCGCATCTTCGGTACCAAAAGCCGCCTCTATGGCCTCGTCCAGTTGCTGCTCGTCTACGATGAACTCGCGCGCGTTGGTGTATAGATCGTGGAGGCGAGATGCGCGGACTTCTTGTATCTTGGCTACTCGGCGATCATAGGCTTTTTTGCGGGCTTGGGTGATGTCTGGCCGGGGAGGAAGGCTGTCGGTGAGGAAGTCGCGAATGCCCTTGGCTACGGATGTCTCAGTCAAGATGTCGACTTCGCGACGCGGGGCCGTGGCCAGCTCCCGCCTCTTCGCGCCAATGGCCTGGATCTTGGCCAGGTACTGTGCTTCTGATGTGACCTTGCGCTCGTGCAGCTCCTTGACACCCTCCTTCAAGTTCTCTCTCCTCTTTTCCGCCAGTCGCTGCTTGTATAACCGGTAGTCGGCATCCCGGCTGTATGGTCCTGGAACCTTGACCTCTTTGGGTTCCTTTGTGCTCCTGCCGATGAAGATGTCCGACTCCTTTGGGTGCTTGTTCCTCGTCTTGAAGATGTCTCGGGGAATAGGCAGATGGCCCTTTACCGTGGGCTTGGCCGGGTAGGTGGGCTGCAGCGGCTTCGGAACCTCGATGTAGTTTGGGGATTGCGGACCGAGGGCGAGGGATGTGGGTGTGGAGGAGAAGGACCGCACACATAGACTGCTACTCCAGCCATTGGCGACAGGTATCCTTGGCGGCATTGCAGCGGTGTTGCCTCTTGCACTGGAATGCGGAGGTGCTGCGGTGGTGTCGTCGCGCCTTCGAAATTGTCGGTGCCAAGGCCCTTGTGCCCCACTCATTTTGTCTGGCCCGAGCTCAGGAAAAAGTTCGAGCTGGGATTCGGCCAACTTATACCCTTCACTCTTCCCCCAACTCGACAAATTCCAGGAAGCAGTCGCAATGGGTGTCCAGAAGAAAGAAAAGGTCCGCAAGGAGCGCGAGGGCAAGACGGGCGATGGCATGGGCAATGTCAAGGTCAAGGGCACCAACTTCTACCGGTATGTTCTTGCGCCTTCCTTTCTTTGCGCCAGCAAACTTCTTCTTACCACACGTTCACTAACAGTTTCCCAGCGATGCGAAGAAGGTCAAGGTCCTTAAGCGCCTCACAGACGGCAAGGCTCAGCGCAACGCCAAGGGAGACATCACCAAGGCTGCTGTCTACCAAAACCGCGATGCGCCTGTTGCCCGTGTCGAGCCCAACAGGAAGTGGTTCAACAACACGCGAGTAATATCGCAAGATGCCCTGGACAGCTTCCGCTCGGCCGTACAGGCGCAAGCCTCCGACCCCACCACCTTTCTGATGAAGCGTAACAAGCTCCCCATGAGTTTGATCGAGACACCAGGCCAGATCCCCGGCCTGAAGCAGCATGCTGCCAAGATTGCCGTCGGCAGCCAGCCTTTCTCAGAGACCTTTGGCCCCAAAGCTCAGCGGAAACGACCGAAGCTTGATTTCAGCTCTATTGAGGATCTTGCTGGTCGCACAGGAAGCATGCACGAAACATACGTGGAGCGCCTCGAGCAGGCCAAGCTGTTGTCGGGCACGTCTGGAGAGGCAGAGACCAACGAGTCTTTCAACGACAACCCCAACGGCGAGCTTACATCCGCGCGCGAGTTCATCTTCATGAAGGGTACTTCGAAGCGTATCTGGAACGAGCTGTACAAGGTAAGACCTAAGCCATGTTTCCACAGAGCCACGTCTAATCAATTCTTCAGGTCATCGATTCGTCTGATGTTATTCTACACGTTCTAGACGCCCGTGATCCTGATGGAACCCGTTGCCGCTCCGTCGAAAAGTACATTCGTACTGAGGCACCTCACAAACATCTGGTCTTCGTCCTCAACAAGGTCGATCTTGTTCCTTCCAAGGTTGCTGTAAGTTCACTTCCCCTACACACTCCACTCCTTCACCATCCACACACCCTCCTTAAGTCAAGGACCTACTCCTATTCCATGAATACGGTTCTGTTACAAGTTGGGAAGATCAAAAGTGGCTCGCTGTCCCAAAATCGTCTTGATTGCGGGTCGATCGCAACCGTCTTGGTTGCCGATCAATAGAGTCACGCGTGATTTGTTTGAGTTGAGGACCGTCTCTGCACTCGCAGGCCCCTTCATGGCGGTACTCTTAGTAATATTTCGCACATTCCATCATCGATGCACATTATCATGTCAAGTTGATGGCCAAGCACTGACACTTGACAGGCCGCCTGGGTACGCCACCTCAGCAAGGAGTTCCCCACACTTGCTTTCCACGCCTCCATTAACAACAGCTTCGGTAAAGGTTCCTTGATCGCCCTTCTCCGACAGTTCAGCTCTCTCCACAGCGATCGTAAACAAGTCTCCGTGGGCATGGTCGGTTATCCCAACACTGGTAAATCGTCCATCATCAACACTCTGCGGAAAAAGAAGGTGTGCGTTGTTGCGCCCATCGCTGGTGAGACCAAGGTCTGGCAATACATCACTTTGATGAAGCGCATTTACATGATCGACTGTCCTGGTATCGTCCCACCGAACCAGAACGATACCGATCAGGACCTCCTGCTCCGCGGTAGTGTTCGTGTTGAGAACGTCGAGTACCCAGCACAATACATTGAAGAAGTTTTGAAGCGGGTACAACCGCGTCATCTCCAGCGAACGTACGACATCAAGGCATCCGACTACAATGACGATGCGGTCGCGTTTTTGGAGCTACTGTGCAGGAAGAGTGGTCGTCTGCTCAAGGGCGGTGAAGCCGACATTGACGGTGCTGCCAAGATGGTTCTGAACGACTGGATAAGAGGAAAGCTTCCATGGTTCACTCCACCACCGTACAAGGAGGGTGACGATGTGAGCGGACCCATCAACCCCAAGCGCGAAGGCCTGATGGGCGAGATGAGCAAGAAGAGGAAGCGCGGTGGTGAGAGCGAGGCTGCTGGAAGCGTGGCTGCGAAGACAGACGCCACCGGTGCGACGCAAGACGAAAGCGACGACGATGACGATGACTTTAGCGGCTTCAGCGATGAAGATGGCGTGGAGATGGATGATGACGATGAAGAGGAGTCCGACGACGATGAAGGTGGTGAAGCTGAGGATGATGAGGAAAGTGAAGACGATGCACAGGTCGAAGAAGAGCTTGCCGCGATAACGCAAGCGCTGGCTAAGGCGAAGAAGCGGCAAAAGACCACGTAAGGTCAAAAGGATTAGTTAGTTTATGATTTAAATGATACCCCGATATTACGATGTCTCACAACGGCTGTATTGGTTTCGAAGTTTGGTGTTCTGTTCTCTTGTGCTGCAGCGGAGTCGGCTCGGAGGGTCGCTCCCTCCACACCTTCGAGACGCATGCCCAGATGCGGAGGATACCCCACTTGTGTCAGCGCAGCGTTCTTCAACCCTGGTCACTTCTTTCTCTTCGGGCCTGATTATCTCTGCCTCTTCGAACCCGACCACCTATGCATCTTCAAACTTCATCACCTATGCCATTTCCAGGCCTGATCACCTGTGCTATTCCTAGACCCCATCATGTAAACCCAGCCCTGAAGTATACCCACGATGCCGGATGACACCGAGGCTGCATTTCTTATACCTCACCAACTATGCTTCTGGTGCGATCGGGTCCTGACGGAACTGCGACCTTTTTTCTCAACGACGCTCAAACACGACCGCCTCATTGAGCACTACCCAAGCATGCAAATGTTCATCAACAGCGTGCTCCAGCAACCGCAATGTCAGCTCTGCGCCATGTTTGTAGCGTCCCTGGTGGAACGGTGCGGACTCGAGACAGGAGTTGAGGAAGCGTTGGATAAGCTGCGGGAATATCGTGGGAAGGAGGCTGATCGCCCGCTTCTTACGGCTATGGAGAATTTGGGGTGGGTGCCGAGCGGTTGTGAGATGGCTCATTGTTTGGCGCTTAAGTATTATACTGATGGAAGGACGTTGGAGACGGTTGCGTGTGTGAGGTTGTTGCATTTTAAGGGGGGTACGAGTGTCTCGTCGGCAAGCACAACGAGTGTGGAGTGATGTTTGAGAGTTGCTCGACATTCGTTCACTTTCATTTGACGTGTTCGACCTTGCATTTTTTACATCTGGTCTGATATTTATCGTCGAGTACAACCTCCCGAAGCTTTTCTGCAATGGTTTCTCATTCGCGCACGACAAGATTACGTCTGCTAGCCATGTTGAGAAGGCAGACTTCATCACGGCGACTTGTCTTCATGTGAACGACATGTTCTGTTGCAGCGTCATTTTTGAATATCCAAGGACAGTGGTTTTGCTCATCGTCGAGGCAGCTCCTTAATGTGTTGTCCCTTGTTTCCAAATTGGGAAACTCTACCCCACTTCAGTCAGCTCTATCTCCTAGAGCCTGATCATCCTGACTACAACACCAACAATGTCAACTGGATCTGAAACGAATGTTGTACCTCACAGACTATGCCGACGGTGCGATTATGTCGTCGAAGAATTGCGACCGAGCCTTTCGACCAAACTGGAGTCCGGGCACGACCGCCTGCTCTATTACTATCCAAACGTACAAACGTTCATTAACAACATACTGCGAGATCGTTGTCATCTTTGCGCAATCCTAGCTGGCTGGCTTGTCAAATCACAACGAGTGAACACAGTCGAGGAAGCCGTGGAAAACTTGGACAAGTATTCTGACAAGGCTGCCACCCCACTTTACATGATCATGAAAAACTCATCGATGGGATCACGGGACGGTTGGCAAGAGTTCGATCTTTTCGTAGGACACGACAAAGATGGGCGCTCATTGGATGTGGTGTCACGTACGATATTGAACCACTTCAAGAGAGGTATAGGGAAGACGGATGTGGCACCAGAGGAGCTATCGACCTTCACAGGATCACACCTCAGCTATGCAAGCATCAAAAAATGGTTGCATATCTGTTCTACGGAGCATCCGGGATGCCGCGGAAGTTTAAAGCGACGTGCACCAACAAGGTTATTGGACCTTGGGATGGAAAAAACTAAAGACGTCAGACTGGTTGCAGGGAGTACCATCGGTCAAGCGTCATATGTGGCGCTAAGCTATTGCTGGGGAACTGTGCCTCAATTGATGCTCTTGCTGGAGAGATACTCGGAGTTTCAGACCCAAATTCCGTTCGAGTCTCTCTCCAAAGTTGCGCAGGATGCGACCGTTGTCTGCCGGAACATGTCAGTGCGCTATCTATGGATTGACGCTCTTTGCATCATACAAGGACCTGACGGAGATTTTCAACAAGAAGCAGCGCGCATGGAAGATGTTTATGCGAATGCGTTGTTTACGATAACGGCGGCAGCGTGTACAGACACAACGCAACCGTTTTTGCTACGCCGTAATCCACTATCGTGGATTGACTGTCAAATCTTTGATAATGAGAGTGGAGAATATTCAAGCTATTTCGAAGGCATCCCCTACTGTGACAGAGACGACAATGTGCCTGGTGTCTTCGCTCTGGACTCCAGAGGTTGGTGCTTCCAGGAGCAGTTCCTTTCGCCAAGATCACTTTACTTTGGCACAAAAGGTGTCCATTGGGAATGTCGTGAATCACTGGTATGTGAGCATTTGCCCGATATGACAGTCCAACATTTCGCAGATGGGCCGAATCCGTCTCGAAAGAAGCTATATACAAAGCTCGCATCATTAGACGATTTATCGGATCCCGCAACAAACTACAAACTGCGGGAGACGTGGGGAGAAATCATACAACAGTATTCAGAGACACGCTTGACCCACCGCTCAGACAAGCTAGTGGCACTAGCCGGTATTGCTTCCATAATTGAGACCAAGTTCGACATGAGATCGTCTTTCGGACTGTGGTTGGAGATGATCATTGACGAACTTCTATGGTTCCGTTGCCTCGATAAGGATGCGACGGGCGTGCGACTTGACATCGCGCCCACTTGGTCGTGGATCAGCTTAGCCGACTGTATCATTAGTGGCGCCAATACTTTGCATGATGGGGAGATAGGCGAGGAACATCGACTGGTTGATGGTGATTCAGCGACAGTCATCTCTCTACCCAGTTCCACAGTGTTTGCAACACCTCTGTGGACTCCTGGAGCCAGAAACGAAGCACCCATTCGACTGAGAGGTCGACTGACAGCATGCATTCATCGTACCGTGAAGTCCAAATTCCGCGACGAACTCATCAACCGACTTGATCCGAAAGACTGCACTTCAGCGTCCACCCAGATGAATGGGGAATATTATCCAGATACAGATCTTGAAGGCATGGAGTTGTACTGTTTCCTTCTAAGACGGGAGCATCGAGAGTTTCTGGATATTCAAAAGGGAGAGGATTCTGGCGCACAAACAATATGGAATCATTGTTTGGTATTGAGTCCCATCATCAATACGAGGAATCGCTTTCGAAGGACTGGTGTTTACCTTGAATCCTCGAGAGCGTCGAAACATCATCAGAACGTGACAAATGCAAGCGACCTAGTGTACAATTCGCACATGTTTCCAGGTGAGGGAAAAGAGCAAGAAATCGAAATCGTTTGAACGGTGTGACAGCGACCGAAACTCCAAGCACAGTCGCACCTGCGCTACCATCTCAGGACCGACTACTCATGCCAGCTCAAGCTCGATAATAGAGTCAAGACTATGCGGATGGCGCCAAACACCCGTCATCTTCAAGCCTGCACCTTCGTACATCTGTCGGTGCTCCTCTTCCGTTCTGTGTCGAGCTCCAAGACTGGCCATGAGCTCCCAGTCGAGACAAGCTATCACATGTCAGTCGTATATCGTATCGTTGACTTGGAAGACTCACTCTGCGCCCAATGCGCGCCTTGGTTCGGGACTACAAAATCGTTCACAAGGACCTTGGAATACCCCTTCTTCATGGCTGGCACTATTGCCTTGAGAATTTCGGTGTTTACCTCATCATTCCAGTCCTGGATGATCGAATGTAGATAATACGCCCGCGCACCTTTCACAGGTTGCTCAGTCATGAAGTCGTGTGCCATCGCCTCCGCGCCAGGACCAAGTTTTGCAAGCTCAACAATCTCCGGCCTATCTTGCAGCACCAGCGTACCTGGTATCTGACCTCCGAACGCCTCCCTCAGGCCTTCAATATCGTGCCCAGAACCGCCGCCGACGTCAACGAGGAACGGCACATCCTTCTCGGCATCGCTGATCAGCCGATCCTCGACAGGGTAGTAATCCTTGGAGAACCACCGCGGCCGTCCCTTGCTCCAAGAGTCCATCATACTAGCGAAGCGCCGTCCTACTTCTGGGTTTTTCTGGAAGAATTCAAAGTAATGGGTTCCCTTGCAGTTGTAGGCATGCTGGAATGGCGCATCGAGACTAGAGTCGGGGCATTTCCAGTCACGCTGATCAAAGTATGACTTCATGGATTGATGCGCCGGCGCAAAGTTCTCTGCGATATATTGTATTGAGTCTTGATACGATTGTTCGGCGAATGCGGAAGAAGTAGGAGTGTTTGCAAAGGTACCGGGACCAGTCTCGCGCACTGTGCCCATAGCAGCGAGATGTCGAAGCATGCGCCCAACGATAATTGGGTCAACGTTCTTTTCGCACTTCTTCGCGATGTCTTCAACAGTAGCACCAGATTCCGGGACGTCTTTCATGGCCTGAAACAACTTCACTTCCGTGCCCATCCAAAGTGTGCTCAGATGTGCGGGTTGCGCCCATAACAATTGCAGCATGTTCTCAGATGGATTGCTGACTTCCGCGATGAGCCCCCTACACGCGTCCAACAACCCTTCTCTCGCGCCAGGACTCCCATTCTTGAAGCCATCGCTGAGTTGCGCAATGTTGTCGAGGAGAGAAAGAGCAGCCTTGCTCGGAGTGGAATCGGCCGCCATGATAGAGTTTAGAAAACGATTGCGATGATTGGGAGATGGAGAACGCCAGTCCTCGATCCTGATCAAGGCACAAGTCGACTGCCCCTCGTCGGCCCAGTCTTTGCCGAACGGCAGCGGCAGCCGAAACCGGTGGCGATTGGTCACGGCCGAGGTCCAGAACCCTAAATCCTTGACATTACCACGTTGCGCCCACATCGTAAACCCCCTTGCTATCAGCCACTCCACCAGCTAGTCATCATTGGCCCCGTTGCGTGACAAAGGAATTGCCTTTTCGCAATTAGATCGGTTGGAAATGTCGCATCAGGAAGACCCCAAAGCACGAAGCCCTCCACCCAACGCGGCGCACAATTCTGCATTCGACTCTGGAATTGACGCCGGCTCTTCTTCAGAATTTGACCAGGAGAACAACGCGCACCATGCACTTGAAGCTCAAGATGACACTAGCGAATATTCAACCGATGAAGGGTGAGCTGGGCTGAATAATGAACAAACATCCTGTTGACGTTGTGCAGCTACGCCGATTCGGACGCATCTTCTTTTCTCTCATCCATCTTATCGGAAGTCAGACGCGGCGTAGAGATAGAAGGTCGCTTGTATCCATCATACGGCAAACACGAGTATGGCATGCCAATAGACGAAAAAGAATTGGATCGCAACGACCTTCAACACCACAAATACACTCTCCTACTCAAAGATCGATTATATGTTGCACCCATCTCGGAAGACACCCTTGCCGATGCAAACAGCCGGGTCCTGGATCTAGGAACCGGTACCGGGATATGGGCCATGGACATGGCGGACAAGTATCCCAACACGGAAGTCATCGGCGTGGATATTGCGGCTACACAACCACCTTTCGTCCCACCAAACTGCGTTTTCGAGATCGATGATGTGGAAGAAGACTGGCCGTATCGACCGAACCACTTTGATTTCGTCCATGGCCGCGATCTCATGACTGCTGTGCGCGACTGGCCCCGCCTGATAAGTCAAGCATACGCGCACCTCAAACCAGGTGGCTGGATTCAACTAGCTAGCACAATCCCTGGCGCCCTATCCGACGACAACACCATACCGCCCAATAGCGGCTACGTAGAATCAGGACGTCTTTATTTCGAAATCGCAGAGAAAATGGGCGCACCACTCGATGCACCACGTTCCTGGGCCGCGCAGATGAAAGACGCAGGCTTCACCAATGTGCAAGACGAGGTGTATAAGTTACCCATGGGCCCGTGGCCGCGGTCGAAAAGGTTGCGCACGATTGGGAAGCTAGAGCAGATTATGATATTAGAAGGAGGCTTTGAAGCGTATATGCTGAGGGGTTATACGCAGGTACTAGGAGGGAATGCTGATGACTTGCAGATTATTCTTGCGCTCGCGAAGAGGGAGGTTAGGGATCCGAGTATACATACTTATGTGCAGTTTCATATTACGTATGGGCAGAAACCGATGTAGTAGAGATAAATTGGAAAAGAAAATTGAAAGTTCAGTGTCATATGGGACGCAGACAAAATGCATTGATGTTACAAGCCTAAGCCCATGCAGAGATTCGGGAAGATCTCCATTCGTAGAAGAAGAGGCATCCTCTTTGCCCATTGCTCGTCTTGGCATGACATGTCCAGCAGCTGGGCTGATGATTCCAAGAACATATTGTGCAAACGTCAATGTATCATAGATGTCTGACAGGATGTGAACGGCGCGTGCCAAAAACTTCGAACGTAAAGTAAGACATGTAGTACAAGGGCGGCTAGCTATGGCGAACATGAAGAGCAAGTGCTGTCAGCGCGTGCAACAAGGCGAGAAAACGATACGCATCGCTTTCGTGCCGAGGGAACAACTTAAAACAAAAGTGCGTCTGCTTATAGATTACTGGTAAGATAGAGTGCGATGAGGAGCCGACACACCAAGACGGGAGCGCGACAAGCTAATCATTAGCGCCATTAGTCATTATCGCGTCCTCATCTGGCCCCCATCGTTCGTTCTTCAGCCTCATCGAACGCATTCTGAAGGCAGCTCGTGTACGAGCTCTTGACTTCCTAGCTCAGATATTATCTTCACCTCGTCGAGCTCGTTATGACCGTGCTTTGCTGGCAACTCATGGACAGCGGCACCAGTCGACCCTGGATCTGTATGTAGCGCGTCGCGTGCTACCTTCTCATCTACTTCATCCAGCGTCATGTTCTGCCTCCGCCTTCTCCTAGGTTTCAGCACGAAAAACCATGTGCATAAGATACACAGCAGCATTGCTGTTACGCAGCCAATGACAATACCGGCGATCGCACCACCTGACAAGCCTTCTCGGGCGGCTTCTACATCGCGATCTTTTTTCGAGATCGTTATGATGTTTGGCTCCAGGTTGTCCCACTTGGCGGCGCTGACGTTGAAGATACCAGATTCGAAATCGACGCCGATGTACGCCTCTTGCAAGAATGCTCTGCCGATCGCGTACTGGCTCTCGTTATCTGCTCTGCGGATGGGGAAATAGTTCGTTGCATTTGCGAAAATGGGGTATCCTGCCTGCAAATCGAAAGCAGCATATGGAATTTGGACAATTGTAGTGTTGCCGCCCGTGACTGCGTTGGTACCAATGGTGAATGTCAAAGTGGGATCGAGTTCACGAAGGCGATCTCTAGCAGAATCTGTGAGGACGTACCTCCCAGTCCGATCGTGGTATTCTAAGCCGAAAGCGGACTCAAAACGATCGCAGACCGACTTGGGGAGCCAGATCTCTGGGATTGAAGAATCGATGGGAGCCAGTATCCGCTCATTTTCGATCATTGAGAGGGTTCCTTCCAAGGTGTTGGTTACGACAATATCCTGAAGCCCAACTGTGAGAGCTCTGGATGTGTCAGTGTTGATGTCAATCGTGAGAGGCTCTGAAGATCGCGAAACGTCGTAGCCTCCGAGAACCAGACTCGCCGGTACCTTTGTCTCACGGTACACCGCTCCAGCCTGATATCCGTACGTGAGACTTGGTATGTGGCCTTCCTCTTTGAGAGCCGAGATCAACGATGGTGAACTGATTGTCTCGGAAAAGTTTAGTGGTAGCGGCGACAAACCCATTTGACCGATCCAGAAACCAGGTGAGGCATATGCGATAACAGCCAGGTGATGAATGGTAAAGTTGTCCAATCCAACCCGGTCGAAGCCGTGAAAGCCATTACCAGTAATTCCATGGTTTCTACCTAGTCCAAGCTCGTACAAACCAATGGCGTTCCAGCTCGATGACATGTTTGTTTCAAATCCAGGACTCGGACTCTGTTGGAATGGAGTCGCACCGCGAGAGTCACCACATGAATCGGATCCGCCCTGCAATCTTGTGCACTCATCGGAAATTGGAAGCCAAACGTTTTGCGCTTGGGTCGCAGGTAACACCTCGAACGTCTGTGGGGGCGTTCCAACACGAACTTGGAAACTAATCTTGTCAGCGCATGCCTGGCCGTGTTCTGGCAATCCAAGAGCAGCATACGTCGACCAGCTTCCATCGTTGCCTAGCCACCGTCCAGCTGTAGCAAGAGACAATGCTTCTGGCATGGTTCTAAAACAAGTGTACCTGAACCTGTATTTCGATGGGCAGTGTTGTTCTGTGGTCAAACAATGGAACGGGTAAGAACATCAATGTTCTCTTTGGGTAAATGTGTCTGTGTCGCGTGCCGCCAAGTCTATGTGGCTGGTCGCGACCAGTCCATAGCCGAAAAGCACAGCACCACGGTTGGTGGGTTATGTAGGGCAACATCCCACCTTCACTGCCAGGATGATCAAAGTTTATTGATTGTTGCCCGATGAAGACGTTGGATTGTTCTACAGCCAATTACGTCCTGAGTGCCGAGGCTGTGGTTGGGGGCCACATGCAAGGCTGAAAACTACTCTATGTGTTCAAGAAACGTGAGATGATATGTCTATCTCTCAGAGTATGGCATGGTGAGCTTTTTGTTCAGCCTGATCACTGCTTCTATCTTTTCTCGCTTCGACTTGGATCGTGTCAGTACCAGACTTTCGGCCAAGACGACTGTATATCATCAAGATGGTGTGGTTTTTGCTCAATATGCGCATGAGATATTGGATTATATTCGCTACACTTGTTGCACTGCCCTTACCAGGTACCTTACCAGCCCAAAAGCTGAACTTTGATATAGGAACTCATCCAACGCAGAGTCTTGTGTTGCAGCAAGTGTTACTCGCATTTCTATATCGACTTCAGAATGCGTTGTCTCTAGTACCGTTACCGAAACCAAAACCGTCGGAATAACTGAGCCAGTGACAAGGTCTGAAGCCATTCAGACGGTGACGGCGACTTCCACACTCACTCTCTATATCACGCCACTTAGTAACGGCACGACGATAACCCGGTATGGGACCAACGGAGCGAGTGCCATGACAAGCGAGTCTTTCGAGAAGAGGGCAACTGTGGCTATTGTAGCCCCCTCCACGTATGTCACTTTTGGCTAGGCTGACCACATGCTCATATTGCATAGAACACATCACTACCTGAACAGCACTACCGCTCTAGCGCCTACCCGATCAGTTCCACTGACGACTTGCAATACCGTGACTGAGACGGTGTCAGTCACCATTTCCTTTGAGATACCAGGGTCGGCAGCTCCACCTACTATCACGCTCATCACAACAAAGACACTATTTGATTATGGTTCCTTGGATCCGGCCACTTTTGATGGATCTACGTAAGCAGCACATAACTTTCATAAATGCTTGTGACTAATCATCGCAAAGGACATCTATCCCAACTGTGGACCTTGAATCTATCATCACCAACACCCCACCTTCAGAAAGTCCGTCCACTCAACCGACAGCGGAGCTAATAGTCACGAATAATCCCATTGGAGAATCGGTCATCTCCACATCACCTCATACAAACCCTTCGGCTACGCCACGATCTACATTCGTCGACGTAGTGCAGACATCGACAAAGGGTTCTGAGCCACCTCAAAATGAACTGCGTACCTCGCCCGTCGGTTCTCCGGCTACTATGATAAACACAATCCCAGAGGAGGTCCGAACCACGACTTTGCCAGGCATTGGTCCTATTGTGATCGATCCATCGCGCTCAGCCATCTTCGTAAGCGGCGTGGTAAGCGCGATTACACCGGGACAACAGACAACCATCAACGACGTTCCAATCTCATTTGGCACTTCCGCTACCTTCGTTGTCATAGATGGTACTCAGACAATTGGTATCCCTCCATCAACTCCGGCGCCTCAACCTGCGCCAGTGGTAATTGGTGGCACGACCATCGACATTGGCCATATTGTTACCGGACTTGACCCAGGCGAGGTCACTACCGTCAATGGTATTCCCATTTCGCTGGATGCTTCGGCCTCTAATGTGGTCGTTGGAGGAACCAAGACTATACCACTGCTTGGAGTGACGCAAATGCCTCTTGCATCCATGGTGGTCGTGGGCGAGACGACTTTGGAAGTAGGCGAGCTCGCTTCAGAACTTGAGCCGGGCGAGGTAACTGTCATCGGTAGCATGACAATCTCACGCGACAGTTCTGCCATCATCGCCGGTAGTACGACTATTTCGCTTCCTTCATCACCGAGCGATGTTGTGGTTGGAGGTATGACTATCACCGCTGGGGCCCTTCCTTCTGGATACTCTTTTATTCCCGCTACCGCTGGAGGAGGCCTGCTGCTCCCAAATGGTCAGACACTGATGCCCGGTGCTATGACGACGATTAGTGGCGTTGAGATCTCGCTCACAACAGCAGAGACGCCTGTCGTCGTAGTTGAAGGCTCAATATCCATCACTTCGACTAGCACCGTGGGCAGCACCTCTGGAGGCTTCGATAACGGTGGTACTCTTGGAACTGGACAACCGACAAGTACTTCCACTGGTGACTTGACGCAGTTCACTGGAGGTGCTGTCGCGGCTACGAGAGGATCTCACAATATGTTATGGATATTAGCTATCGTGAGCATGTTATTTGGCATTGCGTGCTCGTCGATCTAGTCACAAGCACTTTACCTATACTTGAGTGCTATGCTTCCTCGGCTGCAGCACTCCTACATCGTTACCAGGATACATAATGAGGGTTTCAGCCATCTTTAACGCAGTATTCAAGATAGTTACGGTGATCTTCATGGCCTGGAACGAGGATCATGTACGCTCTAGTGTTAAGCAGACGAGGGGAAGTTCCCACATGTGGGCGGAACCACATCATACGGGTGGTTGGGTCAATGCATCTCGACGTTCCTTATGAAACCATGGTTTTGAGACGAAGAGCAGAAACTGGAGCTACGACTAGGCTACAGGAGGGACTCCCGAATTGTGTCTGCTGAGGTATTCAGCCTAGTATCGTTCACTGCATCAAAGCCTCCTGGCTTCATCGATCATGTGCACACTATCATTCAGACTGCCTGCTCGGTTTTGTACATGGTTCAAAGGCTTTGAGTATACAAGATCATAGCATATGCAACATTCATACACAGTTGCGAAAGCGTGTGACAAAAGCTGTAAAGAGATATTATTGAAATTCGGGGGTATCATGTCTCATCTAATCTAGTATCGTACAAGTTCTCAATCTATGCCACCTCGTAATTGTCACACTCATTTCCTGTTCTCCGCTACGCTCGAGTCGTCACCAACTACGACAATCGCTGGCGCAGGACCAGCTTCAGCATCAATATCTTCAGTCTTCTTGTTCCTGGTGAACATGCCCTTAATCTTGCGGCAGCCTTTGCAGCACCACCTGTAGACCACGACGACAGGCTTGCCGACGATACGCGCGATGACAGCGAACCACTCATCAGGGAAATACCTGATCAGAACTGCCCAGGGGATACAAACGAAACCGGTGATGATGCTGATAGCCCATTGAGTGCCATCAATACCTCCAGGTTTGATCTGGAATGCGCGACCACCGACGAACACAATGAGAACCTGGAGTCCAATGATCATGACGACGATGCCAATGAAGAACCAGTTGCGGAGTATGCCCTCAAGCACGTTAAGCTTGTTATCGAGACGCCTGTTGTTGAAGATGTTGAAGATCTGCATCCAAACGAAGCTGTTGAAGATGACAGTGTCGAGCTCGAGTTGCTTATTGGGGTCTGATAGATCGTAGCCGAGGATGTCGCCACCAGCGAAATATAGCACAAAGATGACTGTGATCTTGTAAATGTTCTGACCGGTGATCTGCTTCCACATGGTTGTCGTGATGAGAGGGCCCTTGCCCTGTGGTGGGCGATCAAGGATCTTCTCGGTCGGTGGGTCGGTAGCGAGCGCGAGCGCAGCAAAGGTATCCATGATCAAGTTGACCCAGAGGAGCTGAACAGCTCGTAGTGCGGGCTTCATTTCGTCATCGTACACCGCGGTGACAAACGCGAGAACAACTGCGGTGATGTTGACTGTGATTTGGAACTAGTCTTGTTAGCAGGGGAAGCTGGAAAGGTATATTCAGTGCAACTTACTTGGAGGAACTTTTGCACGGCATCATTGACAGCTCGTCCCCACATCAAAGCAGTGATGATCGATGAAAAGTTGTCGTCCATGAGAATGATCGAAGATGCTTCCTTGGCGACCTCAGTGCCGGATACCATGGAGAATCCAACGTTGGCAGCCTTGAGTGCTGGAGCATCGTTCGTACCGTCACCAGTAACAGCAACAATCTCACCAAGGGCCTTCAGTCGAGTGACCAGGATACGCTTGTCTTCGGGCGAAGAACGGGCCAATACCTGCAGGCGGGGCAGCATCTCGTCAAGCTGTTCGGTAGAAAGGCGGCGGAAGTCGGGTCCTTCCATCACCAAGCCACCTTCGGTATAGATGAGACATTCAGTAGCAATCGCTCGTGCAGTTTGCATGTTGTCACCAGTAACCATGCGCACTGTAACACCAGCCTTCTGTGCCTTGCGAACTGCCTCAGGCACACCGGGGCGCACAGGGTCCTGAATTCCGACGAGGCCGAAGAATGTAAGATCGCGCAGTAGGGAGGCGAAGTCGACACTGCCACCCTCGGTGAGTGCGGCATCAGCCGGTGGCCATTGTGGGAAGTCGCGGTAGACTGAACCGATGGTTCTGAGGGATCTGTTTGCGTACGCGTTGATTGTATCGGTCAATACCTGGCGGTGTTCTTCAGAAAGCGGCTCCGCCTCAAGGGTCTCGAAATGCGCGAATTCGGATGCAAAGCTGAGAAGGATCTCGGATGCTCCTTTGACGACAAGGCGGTATTGGCCGTTCGGAAGCTTGACTACAGCACCCATACACTTCTTCGCTGAGTCGAAAGGAAACATGTGTATGACCTGTTCGTTATCACGAGTCTCTGATAGAGAGACGAGTCCAAGGTGGTCTTTAGCGAGCTCAAGCAGCGCAGTCTCGGTCTTGGAACCGACGAAGACTGGCTTGCCGTCCTCTTGGCCTTCGAATGCAGTCGAGTTGATCGCGATAGATTGGATGAGAAGCTCCTTCGCAGCCGGTGAAACTTGGGATGCCCATGCTGAAATGGTTTTGTCCTTGTCCGAATTGGCGGAGTCAGCGTGGACGAAGCTGGTAGTACCAAACGTGCCGGCGACGACAGTCATTCGGTTGGTTGTCTGGAGATGTTAGCCTGCGTTCATATCGAGCTGTTGCGTAGCACTTACCAAAGTACCAGTCTTGTCAGAGCAGATGGCTGTGGCATTTCCCATGGTCTCACATGCCCGTAGGATTCTGACCAGGTTGTTCTCCTTCAACATCTTGGTTGTAGCAAAAGCCAGTGCCAATGTTACAGCTAATGGAAGACCTTCCGGCACTGCAACCACAATGATGGTAACAGCGACGATGAGGATATCCATAAAGGCTGAGCCCTTTTCCGACGCGCTGCGGTTGTCGCCGGAGAGTCCACCAACAAAGCGAAACAAAAGGACGAAGAACAAGATACCTGCAGCTGTGGTTCCGAGATAGGCAATAGCCATAGCGAGCTTGCCTAGCTTCTCTTGCAGTGGTGTAGCCTCAATCTCGACGCGGACAGACATCATTATCTGGCCAAAACTGCTGTGCTCTCCAACCGAAGTTGCCATGAAGGTACCGACGCCTTCAAGTACCTTTGCACCAGAGATGACAAAAGGGTCGAGGTTCTTTGCCGGCTGTCCGGATTCTAGCGCCTTCATGACGGCAGCACCTGGAGTCTTTCGCATGGCATCAGATTCTCCCGTAGCAGAGGACTCATCGCACTTGACGTCGGAGCCGTCTACGAAGATACCGTCGACGGGAATGATGTCTCCAGGCTCCATGTGAATGATATCTCCTGCCAGAACATCATAGATGCTGATCATTTCCGTCCTTCCAGATCGAGTAACTTTGATATCGCGTTGTTCCTTCTTTGCATTGAGCTTTGCAAAGGCTGCTTCCTTCTGCCAGTCATTGACAGCTGTGACGAGCACGACAATAACGATGGCCACGACAATCGCGCAACCCTCAACCCAGTCAACAGGTGTTGGGGCGCCTGGTTCGTGCTCTGCACCGAAAGTCTCGTACAGTCCAAGTGCCAAGGATATCGCCGCTGCAACGGTAAGAACGATCAATACCGTATCGTTGTAAGCATTCCAGATCAGTCTCCATAGAGGAGTGACTTTCTTCGGTGGCAGCACGTTTCGTCCGTGGATGCGGATTCGATCCTCGAATGGCTTTCCATTGCTTGGCGGTCGACTTGACTCTTTCTCTTTGGTCGGTGTCTGGGGATTCGTCGCTTCGTCGAAGGAAATATGCCGGGGAACAGTCGATTCGTCGGCACTGAGACCAGTGTGAATGTTTGTCTGTAGACCGGCTGCGATGCCATGAATGCCGCCGAGAGCCTGGTAAACAGCAAGTGACTTGGGGTTCAGAAGCTTGCTGAGTTGTGATGGGGTGAACGCGAACGGGTTGTTGCTGTCTGCTGTCGCTTCAGCGCGCAACTCCTGTTGCAACGCTGCGTCGTAGTCTCCCACTACAGTAGATACACCGCTTGTGGACGCATTACTCGGCGATATTGGCGTCCGGAATGGGTCTGATGTTTGCGAAGTGACAGTGTCAGCCTGACTCAGCGCACGCTGTCTCGTGTTGATTTGGAGTGTCGGAGGGGCAAGTTTGCCGGACTCCATGATGATAAAATAACGATGCTACGATGAAAATATTGGAGAAATGTAGCTACAAGTTGCAGTGCACGAGGTTGTGTTTACGTGACGGTAGAGTAAGGGTTGGATTCTAATAAGCTGAAGGACGCATCCCCAGTCGCCATACCTATACTCAAGAGCCGGGCTGTGTAAGTGTGGACCTCATCCAAGACTGCCAGGCGCTTGGTGCGCGATATTAGTCCACTCGGTGTGATACGTCTCTTGCCAGAGCCTCCCTTGGCGACTAATAGGCTCCTAAGGAATGATAATACCGCGGCGCTTTTTCGCCTTCTCAGCGCAGATGACATCTGAACGTTGAAACCTTGGTAGAATCTACGAGAGCATAGCCTTGTGCGTACGTCGCATTGATGGTCCAGCTGTAGACTCGTCGCCAAGCGAGGCGAGATTTGATGCTTTTGGCGACTAACGTTGTTGATAGCGAGATGAGCGGGTGTCAAGAGTCCGGCGGTCTTGGAAAGGGGGCAGTGCAGACCCCATCCGAGCGCAATGAAGCGCGGAGACCCTCATCTTCCGCTGCCATCGCGTCGCTACGGACAACCGCTGGAAACTGTTGGAAGGGAAACAAGATGGCGACAGAGAATGACCGTTAGATGGAAGTTACGATTGAGTATCGCTTCGCTGCCTACGGTGCAGATCGAAGTGAGGCTAGCAGGGCTTAAACTGCGCCACTCGGGCGCCACTGAGGCTTTGCCGTGATTCAAACCGCGTTGGGCCTAGTTCTACATGATTTCCAGCTCTGTCGGTATCTACATAACATGTTTGTTTGAGGACGTCTTGCTGCTGAGGTGTCACTCGATTCATGCCTATTTTTTTTGCCATTCTTTGAAGGCGACAAAGGAGAAGCAGTAGTGAAGTTCCCTGCCCAGCTTCAAATCGTCAGAACATCGAAATCTCTTACATGCACAGCCTGCACAGCTTGTATAGTACTGCATCATGTTTTGCCGTTTGCATCCAGGAGACAAGACACCGAGCCGTTCATGTCTCTTTGTCGTCTTGGATGGAAGAAATGATCAGATGTGCAAGAAAGCCTGAGGCAAGTCTCGGATCGCTCCAATAGGAACCTACCAGTGACGCCTGTGTATGCGCTTGACCGAATCTGCCTTGTCTTGGTGACAGCCTGATCGGTCTTATTGCGATTGCGACTTGTCGCATGCTCCGCTCTCTACTCCAGATCTTCAGCATTACAAGAGCGATACTAAGACCGGCATCTTAGCGACTTTACCATAAGGGACGAGTCGAGCGTATACAACACGGTGAAACGTCATCGAAGGGCAAATGGGCAGCCTGGTACAGCCCTGTGGCTGGATCTGTGGCTAGATCTGTGGCGCAGTGACTGTGGCGCATCATGTTCGTAATCGGACCCGCCGTCCTCTGTCGAGAACTCAGACAGATGGCAATAGTCTCCCAAGCTTGCTGGCGGCGGAGAGGAAGCGCGATTTACAAGCGTACCTGTCTTGGCTTATCCTCGGAGAAGCCATAGACGGAAGGTGTGATGTCATCACGCGCACTGACCCCTTGTCGCCGCCGAGCTGATGGTCTGGATTACCTGCTCATCTGAACACAGGTCTTGTTATGAAGCCTGGAAGACTATCGTTTGCACTGCCTCAATCTGGGCATTCATCGATACTCAGGTTTTCTACGTTGATTACCGATGACACGAGGACATCGAATGGGCTACTTCATCGCCGCCTAGATTTTCAAGACACGTGCACTTCCCGTTCACGCCTCTAGGAGTCCTTTCCGAAGTATCAACTCGGACTCAACAACAGCTGCCTCGATATAGTGCATCTCTCTCGTCTGTTCCAGGTGCACACTCCCGTAACGCAGCAGCTCTCCGAAAGTGCCCGGCGCCATATCCTTACCTTCATTTTCCGGAAGGTCGAGCAACGTACCACAATGAGGCTTATGGCACAGCTCCTTACCGTGAGTGATCTTTTGCATCACACTCTGCGTTATCATGTTCCACGCTGCGTTTTTCGCCTTCTCATGTCCTGCGTCATCTCCATCAGCGTCTAGCCTCGTAGCAAAGAACCTGAGAATATCCGCGCCATCGAATCCGACGGTTGTCTCAGCAGGGAAGTCTTCAGGAAGCGCGTTCCACAGTAAGACTTTCTTAGCCCAGTAGTTGACGCCATCGAAGCCGCCATTGGGCTCCTGCAGCCACGTCAAGCGCATCCAGGCGAAGACTTGTCCAATGTACCCAATGATAGTCTGCACATCCAATTTCCAATCCCACCTATACCCCGCCTCGGCCAGCTCTTCAAAATCCAACTTTTGGATGAAGTTAATCAGGGGCGACTGACATACGCCGGAATAGTCATTGCGTCCTTTCCACAGCTCCAAGAAGATCAGATGCCTGTCCAAAGTCAGTATAGTGGATCGTCTTATGGATGCGTGAATCAACGCACCAATTCTTGATGAACTCGTCGCCTTTGCGAGACGCCACAATGTGATTCGCAATAAATTGTCCGTATATCAGTGGCGCAGCAACACTAAACGGACTCGTGTCGTCCGCAAGTTGGGCCCAGCACACGCTATCGAGGTGGCGGAAAAGAATACATCCAACATCCATCCATACTCCGCCATACGTGTACAGTGCTGCGCCACGCAGAAAGTCGGCGCTATGAGGCCCTACGTATGGACCTGTCATCGTATCCTTTACGAATGCTTCTGGAAGATCTTCAGTCGCGATCCAAGTCAATGCGTGATTCGGTGAGTCTGGTACTGTATCGAGCACGCGGACTGTCCATTCGGAGCCATGGAGGCGCACCCAGTTGATGATGTTGCGTTGTGTCCACTTGGGCATGTTCTGGACGCCGGCATGCCAGTAGGTCCAGATATTCTTCTCAGAAGTGATAGTAGTATGCGTCGTTAAGGTGTTTAAGATCTCAGCATCGGTGCGCTTGTCCTTGGACTCGACTCGGGTCACTTTTGATGCATATTCTTCAGGTATCTGGAACTCGGGCTGTGCCATAGTGGCAGTGGAAAAAAGACTGGTGGCTATTGAGCGACGATGGACTCACGCAAGACTAGGAGATGTCTCGCTGACAGCTGACAGAGGGTGCATGTCGCTATATATCGCATCATGGTTAGTATCCAAAAGCCTTGCATTGCAGATTCGAGCTCCATTGTCCCGGCACCTCAGCGTTCCCCTACATGCACTGCACGATATCAACCATGGTGCAATATAAACATGCCTGACTCTTGCATCAAACGGGCATCTCACTATCAATGCTGCTGTTCAGTTTTCCATAGAGGGACATTTACCCCGAGGTAAGCGCTAATTGTCCTCTCGTGTAACGAACCGATGATTGTTCCCCAGGATCGACAGCCTATCACACTCGATCTAGGTATGACTGCATTGCAGTGTTCTCCACCCGAATGCATCTTATTATCTAGCATTATTGTTGTCTTACGCATTCTTGAGGTGCCTTACAACGGAGACTATCGAGGCTCCACAATTCGTACATGGAGTGGCACGGATAGAGTGATAAACTTTATAACCCAATCGACATATAGCTCATGCACATGTCAGTACTAATACATGTTCAACATCTTTATCGTACATTTGACAAGTCCACCTCTCGACCTAGTCTCTCAAATTCAGATGATACGTAACCAACTGCTCATCGGTCATCCGATTCGGGCTCTTGACCAACAGATCCTCACCTCGCCCACTTTTCGGGAAAGCAATGACGTCCCTCACACTCTCCCGTCCACACATGACGGCCATTAGTCTATCCCATCCTAGCGCAATACCTGCATGGGGTGGACATCCGCTCCTCAATACGTCGAGCAGATGTCTGAAGTCCTCCACACGCTCAGGCTTCATCTTGAGAACGTCCTTGAATATGAACTCTTGCATGGCGGCGGAGTGAATACGGCGACTACCGCCACCAAGTTCGACGCCGTTGAGGACAATGTCGTAGTGCGCTGCTACCGCGGAAGAAGGATCTGTGAGTAGCTTGTCAACGTCTTCGGGTAGCTTTGGGGCAGTGAAAGGGTGATGGGTCGATGAGAAGCCTGCTGAGCCGCCTTGCCCTGGTTCGCTGTCACTCGATGGTGTGAATAGTGGAAAGTCCGTGATCCAGACAAATTTGAAGTCGTCTTTCGCCGGCGCCTCCATTAGGCCTTGCGCTATAGCTGCCTTGTGGAGAGCAAGACGCAAGTTTCCCAGCATGGTTGAGCCACCAGAGAATGGCACATTGGGACGCGCTTGGAGAATGAGAAGGTCCCCGTTCTCTGGCTTCAGAGATTCGGGACCTTCCATCTCGTACTGGCGGCCTAAAGGTCCGAGACCTTGCATGGGCTGCGACAGATCCCCGATGAAGATACCTGGCTGGCCGTCCGGATTGTTCAGATATATCTTCCCATCTGGACTGTCGAGGAAGCTGGAGACGAATTTGCGGGTAACCTTGGGATCCTCAGATATTGAAATCTTGATGGCATCGACTGCGGGATCCTGTAGCGAGGTGATTTTTCCTATCAAATCTGGTGTCAGATGTTCAGTGATGGTATGTATCTACGCGCCGTTAGTCGAAAACAGTGATCATGTTACGGCATCTTAACATACCTTTGATTTGTAGCGTAGATCCGGTTTATCAGATCCGTAGTGAGCCATCGCAGTCTGATATTTCATTCGCTGAAATTTTGCCGGTAACTTTTCAAAAGGCTTCAGAACTTTGTACCAGAGTTCTCTGAGAAGATTCTCAGTTTCGTTCATGACATCTTCCTCGTTAGCGAAGGACATCTCCATGTCGAGCTTGTCCACGATTAGCGACGGCTTAATGGTGCAGGGCATGGTACTGACCTGAGTGAATTCTGGCTGCCTATCAGCCCTCAAATCCTCGTCTCGAAAACACCGCGCAAACTGGTAGTATTTCGTGATGCCGGAGGCCATTAAGATTTGCTTATATTGCTGTGGACTTTGTGGTAATGCATATGCTAGGCCCTTTTGTCGTGTTGGTACGAGGAACTCTCTTGCACCCTCAGGTGTCGACTTGAAAAGTATGGGCGTCTCAATCTCCCTCCATTGCTCCGAGTTAAGGTGCAATCTTGCCCGCGTCATGGCTTTCGCCCGCGTCAAGATATCCTCGCGCAATTCTCTGTCTGTGCGAAGCTGCAGATGCCGTTGATCTGGACCAAACACTGTGTCATTCTTGATGATGATGTCTTCTGATATGTCGTTGAGGGACTGCACGTGCTCCACAGCAATCTCGCGAGCCCCGATTAACTTGATGCCGTCGATTGACTGTTGCCTGGCTGGTGGACGCTCCCTGAGCGTTCCTCTTACAAGAACAGGAGTCCATTCTTTCAACGATCGTAAACAGGCATGTGCATCTGTTCCACTGGATTTACCGTCCCCTTCCCCTGACACAAGTTGGATAACCAATGTTTGGTTTTTATTGCGGAGCATGGTGAAGGAGAGCTTCTGGCTGACATCCCGTCTTGTACTGATATAGCCAACGAGTTCAACCTGTTCCCCAGGAGGGTAGTGTACGTGCTGTGCATTTGCCCATACTGAGTTCAGTGAATCCCAGGAGGGTGGACGGACTGCAATCTGGTAAGCGCTTGGCTCTGCAAAGGTGCTGCAAACCCACTGGTAGCCTTGAATTCGTCGAGAGTCTTCTTCAGATGATCATCGGGCGCAGAATCATGCGAGCTTGCAAAGTTCCGGTATGCATGTCCTAAGGATGACCGTACACACTTTGGCGTGGTCCCGTGATGAGATGTGCGACGAAATTTGGAAATTTCTGCGTAGGAGCTGCGAATGCTACTCTCCCGAGTCACTACGTACCGGGAAGCGCGCAAAAGACTCATAGTAAGTCTAAGTGATGAACCGAGCCCTGACAATGGTGACAATTTCTCTGATGTCCATGAGAATCTGGCAGCCATGCCTCAACGACGCGCCAAGCCACGATCAAGACCATGCCCAAACCGAGGTAGCGTCCGCTCGGACCACGCTGCAGAAGCTTCAAAAGCTTTCCAGCACCCACGCCCACTTCCTCTCGCTATCCCTCCAGTTTATAACATGTAAGCCACCTTGCGACGCCATTCTGACTGTCGCGCGCATACTAACAGAACGACTAGATGATGAAAGCCTAGCGTGTATCAGCTGAGCGGCTCTCCACATCCGCCTTTGAACTCTCTTCTTTCGGGAGGCTCAAGTGGTTCGCTGGTAGATGTGGATGTGGCCGCATGACTTCCGCGTTCGGCACACACACCTTGTTACATAACGGACGCTTTGACGGCATCTCTGATTCAATAAACTGGTCGGTGTCTCGAACATACCGCGCACCCACGCCCGCACCCATTTGCGACGACGAAACGACGATTTTACTCTCGATGGAGGCGAGCGACGGTGGAGTGGTATACCAGGTGGAATGGACTGTGTATACTAAAGTGGATAGCAACACAATGAAAGAGTTTCTCATGTTTTTGCATGGTACGTAAAGACGTGATGGATGAAGACCAAAGAACGAACGGGCTGCTAGGACTTTGGCAAATCGCAAAGTCCTGAGCCTCATCATCGCCACATTTACTGCGAGTGGAGAAGTAGACCATCTTCTACCATCTCTCCTCAGTTGGCGAAAGAAGAACGCTTTGTCAATTACCCCTCCACTAAATTCAATGGAAAGAGGGGCGTAACAACATTTGCAACATCCAATTGTAGTCACGATCATAGTGAGTGGGAGTCGTGGTTCGAAGGGACTTGTGCATCCACGTCGCATTGCAGTTTGCACTCTGCCATGGATTGCCTTTCTCGGGAACGATGTAACTGGCGAGCTTGGGCCATAAAACCCTAATGAAGATCTTCCAGAGACATTATGGCGTGTGGAAGTGCTTTAGTGGCCCCTTCGAAGGACGAACGCGTATTCTGCCCAACCGACTGAAGCTTAGAGGACGACATCTGGGATGCAACTCATAGTCGACGTAGCATGAAGCCTTCCATCAAATCGGCTCAAGGTAGGTATCTGTATATTTGGTCCCAATACCATTAATGGCAGTCAAGAAGCCTTTCCGATGGGCGCAGCGGTAAGCCGAATCAGAAAACTCTGTTAGAAAATCTGTGGGTAATGGGAGTGCGTTTCAAGTGTACACCCTCGATCTACGTCGAGAATTGATGTATTAAACCATAGGTGAACAGAAGAGGTACCCTATGTAGCGAACCACCGCGATACCCACCCTGTTTTCTCAAACACTCACCACACCGATAAGCACCAGCGGCTATTTACGTGTGAGGACAGAAACAGACCTGGAGGATAAAGTGTGGCAAGAAGCAGCAAGGCCAGTAGAATATGCCGTCGAAGATACCCTTCTTCGGCGACTTGTCATTCTATGCGCTTGGCGAACGGCGAGACCGTGAGCTCGAGCTGTTTGATGAGCCGGTCTAAGACTCTGAGCTGCCTGACTCCGCACTCGGCCCGTTGCGGTAGCTGGAGTCGGATGACATCTCGTATTGCGACGAGCCGCGCTTGTGGTGGGCACGTGGACGGTCTTCGGGATGGTTGACAACATCGGATCGATGGCCGTCGAACGTCTGTATGTGTGCTGGCATCGGTATCGCGGGCTTCTCGACGTAGCCTGTAGCTGTCGACATTGTGTCAAGGGATGGCATCTGTTGGCGCTGAATCATGGTTGGCAGCATGAAGCTGGACCGCAACTTCCTTACTTGTTCACGCTCGTCGGCCCCGTCAGTCGCATGGCGGGCTGTAGAGTGTTCAGTTTTGCCCTAATGGAAGCGCTGAAAACTCACCACCAGAAACCTCATATTGAGTAGAGCTCCTGCCAACTCCATGCTCATGGTATGCTTCACGGCCATCGTGGTCTGCACCGGGGTTGGCAGTCTCGTACTCGAGCATCTTCATCAGGCGGTAAAAGATGACTGCGAGGATGGCGCCGAGGATAGGACCCAACCAGTAAATCCAGTGGTATCCAGGCCATACGCCGGTAACAACGGCAGGTCCGAGAGAACGAGCTGGGTTCAAGGAGCCTCCCGTGAAGTAAACACCTATTTGTATCAGCATCGGGGTATTTCTGGCAGAGTCGGCAGGCGCTTACCAGCGAGCTCAGCAATGAATAATGCTAGTCCGATGCCGATCGGGGCAATGAAGGTTGCTTTGTGCTTCTCTGCCGCCAACATGAAAATGGTAAGGAGGAGCATAAAGGTCAGGAACATCTCAATGAACAGGCCTCGCGTGATAGATGTTTCACGGCTGAGGGTGGTGTTCACAGATAGTGGCCCTGGAAACAGCCCGGACACAACAGCGGCAGCAGCGATGGCACCGAGTAATTGCGCAACGATCAACAGCAAAACCTTCATCCAGCCGAGTGCTCCAACAAGACCCATGGCGATGGTGACCTGGGTCATGTTAGCGGTCGCTTCCGAGTTGACTCGCCTGATAGAACACACAGCGGGGTTGAACAAGCCTCCACTGATGCGGAAGAAGACCCAGACAGTGACTGCCAAGGAGAAGCCGAACGCCAACGAGATGTACAACAATGATCCGACGTCCATGGATCGGGTACCTCGAAGATTGTTCGCGACCTGTGTAGCTGCGAAGGCGAAGAAAAGAAAGAGGAAGGTGCCGACTAATTCCCCCAGGAAAGAGATGAAGAGGTGGCGAGCCCTATTGGGTAGCCATGCGAAACCAGCTAGGCGTGTCTCTCCAGGGCGGTTGGGGTCCTCTGTGTACCTGGGCTTCATGCCTGGCAAGACCATGAAGCTCTCCGAGGGGCGCTGGTGGTTCATGAGTGCCACTGAAGGATGCCAGTGTAAGCTCGTATTTGTGAGGGACTGAAGCGGAACACGTACGATAAGGACTGTTTAATAGGTCAGGTAGGTGAGAAAGACGCGGCCTGAGATTGGCAGCCGAGCAGGTAGAGCTTAGGAATGTAGCAACTAGGAAAAGGGCTGTAGGGAAGTTTGAAAGCTGATGACTAGGTGTATGAGGAGCTGAAGGTGTGAAAGGTGTAAAGTAAAAAGTTGAACGAGCGAGGGAGAAGATGGGAGCAGCATGATGGCACGATAGGAAAGGGAAGGGGCAAAAGTCAAAGGCACGTCGAGGGTTGACGGACGTGCTTGCCAGTCGATGCTGAGTTCTGAGGAAAGCAAAAGTCAAGAGCGATGCGGGCATGTTGACGAGGAAGGAGTGACTGGGAGTGAGTGTCTGTCAGAGCGGACATGTCCAGCAACCTCAGCTCGACGCCTTTTGTCTGTGCAATGGTTTTTTGAACCTCTTGCTCTCTGTAGACGGTCATGCGAAGGCTACTGCACCTTTATCTTCATCATTGAAGAGATACGCGCCGCAGCAGCCACATGCATGTCACAGACGCGTTGGCATTTTTACCTTGTCCGTGACGTTGTCGTCTTCTGTCGCACAACTCCAGCTTCACCCACTGACACGGAAGACACGATAAGGCTGACGCGATGTTTTGGTGTCGCTGACGCTTCCAGCATAGTCGATTGCGGGGAGCAGCATGCTTGGCGTCTGTCACGCGCGTTTCCACCAGGGTCCCGGAACCATCACGACATCATCGGGCTCCGGCCACCTGCAGTCTTTCACTCCCAGTCACGTCCTTGTCCACTTTTTGTTCTTCAGCCCGTTTCCTGCCTATCTGCCCTCATTGCGACAAGCCTTCCTGCACATGTGCGCCATTTATCGCCTTGCGCCACACAAGTAGTGACGACCTGCCCGCCTGCGGGTGTGTTATTACCGCATCATCCATTGCTTCCTACCCTTCACTCTCGATCCGCCCCGCGTGACCCACCTCAAACGGGACCACGTCGCGTCTGTCTCCTGACCTCAGTCGATGCCTCAACTCTCCTAGATATCCAGCACATTCTGCTGCTTTTGTCGCTTTCCACCTCTCCCGCCGCCGCCGGCTGCCTCCGCAAACATGCGTCCACTCCGTCTGCTGCTGTCGCTATCCACGACCCTACTAGCCGTTACGCTGCTTCTATATATGATAGTAGGCAAATCACAGGATGAAGCGCAGGAGCGAGCATCTGTTGCATCGAACCAGGGCAGTTACAAAGCCTTGTTTTCCTTCACGTCGCCCAGCTCCTTGTTTCCGCCCTCTGCTATCATCAGTTTGACCGACGATAACTCGACTTTTTTCCTTGCCAGACCTGCCGCGTTTGGCCCAGCACTACCTAAAGAGGGCTTGAGTGGTCCGCTATGGATCGGTAGTGGCTTTGGAGATGATACATTAGGTGCTGCGGGCGAGTTAGGATGCAGCGACGTCCCGGGTTGGCCAGACGGCAGCGATGACCTTGTCAGCGCTTCGCAGCCGCTTGGTCATGTCAAAGATAAAGCAAAGGGTGCCATGCCGGACAGGGACTTGCCTTCAAGGAAAGAGAACCGTCGAGCCAGAGACGACAACACTAAGACCGCCACTACAGACGATGGCACAGACGACCACCTGCAAGCAGGCCTCTCTGGCACGCGCATGACGTCAGGATCCAAACATGCCGATATCCAGTCCCTCCAGGAGGGTGCCGAGATCGCTGGCAAGGTTGTCCTCCTCAAGCGAGGAGGCTGTGGATTTTTGGCTAAAGTGCAGTGGGCACAATCACGTGGCGGTGCAGCTGTTATAGTGGGTGACGATGTGCGCGGCGGTGCCCTCGTTCGAATGTACGCCAAAGGAGACACCTCGAACATCACGATTCCATCCCTATTTACTTCACACACAACCGCACATCTTTTGTCTTCGCTTCTCTCGGCCGATGGAATGCTCTCGAGTTCTGTACAAGCATCTGACAAGACTGCCGAAAGCCGTCCGACACCTTCCGGGACGCTACAAACTATACCAACAGCGGCCCCAGGAAAGAAGCACCCATCGACATCTGGCAAGAAGACTACAACTGGTGAGCATGCTGGTTGGCTGCACTCGCTCCTGTCTGTATTTGGTCTCGGGACAAGCGATAGTTCCCCGAAAGCTGGCAGTCGGAGACTACCGAATAGCGGCGATCTTGAATGGGTCGAAATCAGCGACTGGGAAGACGACCAAAAGCCCATCAAGACCAAATCGACAGCATCCACTCCGACACCCACCAGAGCTGCAGACGGCTTTATCATCGGAGAACACGACTGGCGGGATCCTGACCTATTGCCTCCTTCTGCATCGACGAGCAAAGCACTCACAGCAGCTAGCGCCACCCCGTTGAGTACCAAAACTGATAGTAATGCCTTGCCCGGTAGTGGCGAATATACCCCAGCGAACACAAAGACCGGTGGGAAGAAGCTCTGGACCTGGTGGTCAGGCTCTAGGCACGACACAGTATCGTCAGGATCGTCCAGGCGCGCGCGCACCAGAAGCATTACCTCGATAATCGACGCAAATTCTGGCATTATCAAGACATCCCCCACGACTAGTTATCACCAAGGTCTATGGGTCACGCTTACGCCCACGAACGTTTCAAGCAGTCCTTTCTTCGATACTTTACTCGTGCTCGTTGTCAGTCCATTGGTCACACTGACTGTCGTATACGCTCTCCTTCTTCTCCGGTCTCGCATTCGACGTCGTCGTTGGAGAGCGCCCAAGTCTGTTGTGGAACGCCTGCCGGTCAGAACCTATCAGACCATTAGCGATTCATCGTCTTCAGCCACGCCTAGCGCGGCGTCCCCAACCACACCCTTACTTCAGCACTCATCCACTCGGTCAAGATCACCAGAACCTCGATCTCGCTCAACTACGGTATCAGAGACGCCGGCCACTTCAACATCTGTACAGCACGCGTCTCGTGACCGTGAGGAAGAGAAGAAAGAATCAGGTCTGGCGGCGTGGAGACGACGCTATGGTGGCCGCCAAAGAGAATGCGTCGTCTGTTTAGAGGAGTACGTCGACGGAGTAAGTCAAGTCATGAGCCTCCCGTGTGGTCACGAGTTCCATGCGGATTGCATGTAAGTATCCACCTCCCAGCTTTTGACGGTTCCAATCTGACGTGAGTAGCACCCCTTGGCTCGTCACGCGCCGGCGAACATGCCCCATCTGTAAAGGCGATGTTGTACGCTCTCTGAGTCGCAGCTGGCATGATCGGCTACAGTCAGCATCACCAACACGCTCACCTCGACTCTCCATTAGCGAAGAAGACGTACAAACTGAAGCAGCTGAGACTCGCAACGAGTCACCTTCTGCATCACGGCCTGTGCCAATGTCCAGGTCTGCACCCTCGGATTCATCCTTGGTTGATGACGACGTCGAGCCTGGTTGGTCCGCAGCCACTTCTAGGCGGGCTTCAGGAGAGATTCCACGGGCAGCAGAAGGTGGCACCTCGTTGCGGGAGCTAGCTTCTTCAGTTTCTACGGTAGTATGGCGTGGAGTCGATGCTGTTCGATCGAACACCGGCCTACAGCGACGCTCTCCGCCTGAAGATGTGGACCGCAATCGGTGATTTCACTACTCATGAGTTACGTTCTAACATGATGGATTTTGGATGCATAGATGGGATATACCCTTGGGAAGCACAACGGCGTTGCATTTGGATGTGATTATACGTCAGCTCACGGCCTATTCGACAACGCCTTGGCATAACAGTAGACAGTCTTTGCGCGCTCTACTCAATCAAACAGTCACTCCTTTTCACAGATTCTGGAACCTGCTTTAGCAAGCAGTATATCTCCTTGACGTCTTACTGTTGCCCAAGCGTTTTCGCGATCTTATTGGACTTGTGCTTTGATGTGTGGTGTGGAAACTATTATAGGTAAATGCTGTGTTCTAAAAGCACTTGATGTTGACTGTCTACTCGTGGTCAGAGCATCCAGCTGCATTTGGACAGATTGAATGTGCCTAGACTTGGTACAGGCCTGTCAGTGAAAACGGCCGTGGTCTCACATCTTACGGGAGGTCCGGCTTCGGATCCAATGACCTGGTTGGCAAGAACAATGGCCTAGTGTCTTGGCGTCAGCGTTCCGCGTAAGTCATCCCGCAGCTCCATACTGTCTCTACTCACGCACCGGTTCGTCGCCTTCACCACATTTGTTTGCTCATCTGGTTCCCCGCAAGTGAGCTTCAGGACCCGCCCGACCCAATGCGTCAAATGCTGCGAACTTCTCACCATCAGCAGACTCCACAAATCTAATTCGCTGCCAGGCCACGTCAGATCACCCCGAGACAAGGTAAAATGAGCGGGAAGGCGTACGACATCCCGGCTGAGAGATTGAAAACCCGGGAACCCTCGACTTATTACCCGGTCTGGGTCTGTAGCGCGTAATATACACAAACGAAGCTGTCGTGTCTCTCAGCCGCAAGAGTCTCCGTTCAATCTACGTCCCGTTGGACACAACGGGAAACAAATGACAACTGGCTTGCAGTACAACATGCAATGGTGCCTGGATACGAAAGCCACTTCACAATGATCTATGTTCCGCAGCAGACTGCATGATTTGTGCTACCTGAAAAGCTTGTCTGGCATGAACCCTGGTATGATGTTGTCGCTTTTCGCTTCATTACTGGTCTTGAAGAAAACTCTCATACACCGCAAGACAACGACCGGATCATAAACAAATGTTTACATTGCCCCGTCTGACTACACTGTTGGCTGTCTCATATGCTTCTGGGCAGTACTTCCCCATCCGAGAAATGCATCATCATCATATACCAGAAGGCGCACGTTGCCAAATGTCCGCCAAGCAATCTGGTGTGCAGCTGGCAACTCGTGTTCGCCAGACCGCAAAGTTTGGTGGCTTCGGAAGGCGCAGTCTGGTTCTCTTCGAGCACTCTGGCACGTCTGAGGGGCTTTTCTTGGCCAAAGGTTGTAAGATGAGTAGCATGTTGGAACTCTTGTCAGATTAAGTTTCCGGTCCAGGGCTTCCCACGTGGTTTCCTAGTATATATCAGGGCCGACTTGGACCTCACTAGACGAACATTCGCGCATACTATAACATCAACACATTTCTACTTCTCAGCGGTAATCTTATTGTCAAAGATGAAGCTCTTTTTTGCCTTTCTCCCTCTTCTTGGCTGCGCTCTTGGGCTGGCGCAAGACTTACAGCCTGATAGTTGTGTAGCGACGTGCCCACCACCGGATTGCTCGGCTGCTATTGGTGCACTGGTATGTATCTGATGTTTCTTTCTGGCCGTCGTGTCATTGCTGAGATCGTCCAGGAATCGTGTAAGTGCCTCAACGAGCGAGAATACGCGTGCAAGGCCAAATGCCCTGACTACACTCCACGCATTCTGGTAAGCCAAAGCAGCACACGTATAAAACAAGTAGCTCATAACAATGGCAGCACTGCCCTCGCCTTCCAGTATCGACAGTCAGCATACCAGAGCCCGCTCCTACGGCATGCGTTTGCGAAGAAGTTTTCTGCGTTCTTTCCTTTCCCGAGGGCTGCTACTGTCGCAACAACGCTACTCAAGCGTGCTTCGAGAAGTGCGGTGGAGAAGAGCCAACCTATCAGGACTGCACTCTCCCCATTGATGAATTGGACATTCGAGCTCCCGAACCTGAGCCAGTCCCAGCTCCAGCTCCAGTCCCAGTTCCGGCACCGCAGGAAGAGACTTGTGTGTGCGAAGAGGTTATATGCGTCCTTTCTTTCCCGGAGGGTTGCTACTGCCGTAACAACGCGACGAGAGCTTGTTTCGAGAAGTGTGGTGGCGCAGAACCGATGTATCAAGATTGCAGTCTTCCTGACGTCGAGACTCGTGCCCCAGAGCCTGTACCCGAGCCGCTCCCCTTACCGGAGCCACAGGCAGATACTTGTGTATGCGAAGACGTTGTATGCATCCAGTCATGGCCGGAGAGCTGTTATTGCCGCAATGATGCCGACAAGGCATGTTACGAGAAATGCGGTGGTATAGAGCCAGTCTACCAGGACTGCACTGCTGTAGACAATGTGGTCGCTCGTGCTCCAGCACCAGAGCCCATACCCGAGCCAGAAGCCCAGGCTTGCGTCTGCGCACCTGGTCCCCATTTTTGCCCTCAGGTCTGGCCCGATTCTTGCTACTGCGACTACAACGCAGCAAAAGCGTGCTCCGACAAGTGCGGCGGTCCCGCGCCACCGTTTCCAACGCAATGCCCTCCTCTGAATGCTCCTTCGGTCGAAGCGCGTGTGGCAGACCCACAGCCTGTGACTGCCCCAGCCTCACCTCCTCCAACTTGCGAATGTCCTCTGGTAAACTGCATCTCGACTTGGCCTGAATCTTGCTACTGTCAGAATGCTGCCAAGGAAAGATGTTACGAGCTGTGTGGTGGCAAGAAACCTCTTCTTCAGGTATGAATCTTGTTTTCGCTTTTGTAGTGATGACAACCGACTAACAGATAGGTCAGGTCTGTCCACCTTACCCTATCTCCACTCTCTTGACCATCACGGCCACACCCGTCCCGCTTCCCGTACCCATCACCCCCGTGCCCCTTCCTTCGCCCATCACTCCCCGCCAGGCTACCCCCACCAATCAAATCTGTGGCGGCGGTCGTGCAAGCCAAGTCCTCGACTGTCCTGCGGGTCAGATCTGCATCACCGATCCATTCAAACCGGGTTCCTGCGGTCCCGCCTGTGACCAGCTGGGTATCTGCGTCGGGGAGAAGCTGTGTGGTGGGTTTGCAGGATTCGAGTGCGATATACCGGGTCAGGTTTGTGTTGATGATCCGAGAGATGACTGTGATCCGCTGAATGGTGGGAGTGATTGTGGGGGTTTGTGTGCTTGGCCACAGTGAACTATCGAATTTGAAGATAGGTTGGCGAGAGAGAGGAGGGGGCGTGGAAGGTGAAGATGTGGAGGGTGTCATAATTCTTTGAAACATTCATTTTACAAAGGGCGGCTATGTTTCTTCTAACTGAGATATTGCAATTACGTATCCGATCCTGGTATAACAAGTTTCAATCATTGTGTGTGCGTTTCTTTGCAACCTCTCTCGACAACCTTTTCTAAACTCAAACCTCTCACAGCCCTAAAGCCGAGTTCATCTTGTTCCCCGCCTTCACGAACATGGTCATCAAGACTGCCACGCTCGCAGTCCACGTAACGCTCCTCAAGTAACTCGGCGTATTCGTCTGAATCTTGACGTACATGAAACTGTACACGAGGCGAAGACCGATATAGGCTCCCGCTAAAGTATTCATCGTCGCTATATTATCCTGGTTAGCTTCTACCTCTTCGGATCTTGACATATCATCAATGTCTTGTCGTTTGTCGTCATTGATCGATGAACAACCATGAGAGTGAAACATACCCGAATCCAACCCCGCCAGATTGCCCGCCAATATCGCTCCGATAAAGAACGGCGCATTCTCCATGTTGTTCTTGTGACATGCTTCCGCACGCTCGGCTTTCGTGTATAGAGGACCGGGACAGCACTTGCGGTAGAACTCTAGTGTGGAGGCGCCACGAGGGTTGGCGTTGTCGAGTTGGCCGTTTGCACCCTTCTTGAAGATCATTTGCTAGGAAGCATCGATGGTCAGTAGTAGAACAGGAAATTACTGGAGAAGGGACACGAAAAGGGAAGCGTACAGAGTACATGTGTGGGTACAGAGCAATGACCCAGTATATGGGGATGGCATGGAAGGAGTAGTTGGAAGACATGATGTTCACGTCTGATGAGGTGTAATCTGGATGGGTGGTGTCGACGACTGTGAGAAATCTTCAACTCGTTGTCCATCTTTGAATTTGGCACCTAGAACTACTTATCTACGGTAACTTTTCTTGATGCCTAGTTTACTAGTCGGCAGCTAGCTCAACAAGCCGAAGCGCTTGGACCCAGGGGTAAACTACTTCGATCAGTAATCGTTGTACGATGACCAAAATCTGTATACTACTGAGGTATGTTCGCAAGACTAGCCATGAAGCCATTCGGGCCGTCGCAAAACCGTTAGTATTCGGCCGTAACAAACAGCTTGCCGCATAATTGTCCTGTACACCGCAACTCGATATGCTAAGAATCTATTACAAGCAACTTGAAGCGATGCCTTGACTGATGTTACATATCCCCAGCCCCATGCACAAGTTCTGCTTTCACAGCTGAATCTTGTCCGCCATGCCTTGTCCACCCATCCACTCGATATAATTCTCAATACTCTTCTGCATAGCATCTGTCGCCTTCTCAATCAACCCCGTCAGAGGCGTAAGACCAGCCTGCTCCTTCATGACATCGATAAAATCATTATTGAACGCATCGTTGATGTTCACCTTGGCAACACCACACTCGATGCACTCCTTGAGTAGCTTCTCCTGGAACCATTCCTTGCCTGCTCCATGCAATACCAATGCGACTCGATCCCCCACCTTGGCATGCACATTGCGCAACCGCGGATAATCCAGTTGAGGACCTTTGGGCCCGTATTTCCCATGTACGTTTCCGAAAGCAGGGGCTAGCCAATTAATCCCCGTTGCGACGAATTCCTCAGCTTGCTCCGGAGTGGTGAGAATAGCCTCGAGACCCATCTCACTCAAATCTCCCACACCGTCCTCTCCTCCGTCAATTCTTCCCGGTTCTGCTTCTGTGATGATTCCCCTCTCGTTACAATACCTGACCAGCTCTGCAGTCTTCTCAAGGTTATCGTCAAAATGACTCATGTCGACCATGATGCCGTCGAAACCTTTGTCGAAGTTTGCGGCTTTCTTCACAATCTCTGGGGTTTGGGCGTGGTCCATATGAAGAGCTACAGGCACGCTGGCGTTGTCAGCGGCTTCGCGCGCAGCATGGAGCAGTATGCCATCGGCGTATGTGATTGCCCAGGGAAAAAGCTGGATGATTAGAGGGGCGCGTTTGGCTTCTGCTGCGCGGACAGATGCGAGGATGCCTTCGACGTTGTAGCAGCATGTTGCGCAGATTGCGTATTTGTTTGCGGCGGCGTGGGCGACGAGCTTGACGGCCTTGTTCTGGGATAGATCTGGTGCCATGATTGTGTTGGTCTGGAGATATTCCAAGATGAGGTTTGTTCCAAGGTGGCAGAATGGAGGTGAGAAGAGTGAAGGAAGAGAGCAATGTGATATGGGCGATGATGCAACTTCCCCTCGTCGTTCCGGTTACATTTCCGATATTCCGATGTCCTCTCTTATGGTGGGGCTGTCGGCAACTGCTCTCCAAGTTGAGCGGCGTAACCACCGACGTTCGGGTCATTTGCCGGCTAATTGCAGTGTCGGAATCTGTGGGCAAGTTCCCGCGGGATACCCAGTCGAGCGTGGTATACCGCGGCCTTTGCCTTACCCCAGATGCTGCCCATGACGGAGGGGGAAGCCTGGGGTAGCTTGGACGGAAAAGTCGTTGATATAGAGGTTCGTTCGCGTCCGTTCTGCCAAGATGATTAGCGTCTCGCTGTCGCAGAGCGCTCCACTTAGTTTCCATTGGATGATACTGGATGGAAACCGTGAGTGCTTCAGTATGCTGCACGATCATCTATGTCAATTCTATCTTTTCTATGCCATTCCTATCTATATTCTTGCAATCTCGACTCCGCCCAGGTCTTGAGCTGCGAGAGCCACCCCCTAACCCAGCAGATCACCCAGCGCATTGACATAGGCCGTGGGAACAGTCGTCGCACCCTCGGCCAAAAAGTCTTCTTTTTTGCTGACACCTGTGAGTACAGCCAGTGTGCCGCCCAACTTTCCATCGATGCCGAACTGGATATCCGTGTTCAGCCTATCTCCCACCATACAGGTCCTGCTACGATCGAATTTAAATTTGCCCTCTACGGCATCCATCATAGCTTGACTTGGCTTTCCCAAAGACAATGGCGATTTGCCAATAGCCCTCTCAAGCGAAGCGCCCGAAGCACCAGCACCTGGAAACAAGGTATGCGCATTTGGCAGCGTAGAGTCGATATTCGTAGCGAGATATATGGCACCACGCTGAAGGTACTGGAAAGCGATTGCAGTCTTGAGGTAGTTTGAGTGGAAGTCCAGTCCACTCAGCACAACGCCAACATCGGGGTCGAGCAGGCTGCCGTTCGCGATAGCCTCGAAATCTTCTGGCTGTCGGAATTCACGGTTGTAGGCGGGGTCTGTGCCGCCGATGTATGGGACGCCTTCGGCATCGAGTTCCTGTTCCACGCCGCTTTCGCCGAGCACAAAGACTTTGTTCTTCGGCGCAGGGAGATTGAGAATGCGAGCGATGTATACCGCGGCACTGTAAGAGGATCCAAAGACTTCTTCCTGTTGGCGTGTCAGCCGGTGTTATGCTATAGGGTTCCGCGTTACGTACCACCTCGGCGGGGATGCCGAGCTTTTCGAACTTCTTCTTGTAATCCGCTCGGGACTTTGTGCTGTTGTTGGTGACGAAAACGAGTTGTTTGCCTGCAACTGGTCAGCATAAAGTACGCTTTCTGTAGAGAGCGAATACGTTACCTTTACTCCTCAGCATTTCCAGCGTCTCAGGGACCTTTTCGAATAGGTGATCGCCGGACCAGAGGACGCCTGTCCTTGGTCACAATCAGTAGATGTTCACATGCGATGCGAGTGCTGCCTTAATTGCGAATGCAACCGACATGCCGCATGGCGAAAAGTTGGGCGCATACCATCGCAGTCGAACAGGAAGACCTAGAACGTCTTGTGAGTACAATGCATAACAACAGTCCTTTCTGGACACGTACATCGAATCTATCCAAGAATCCGTCGATGGCGTTTTTGTCGCCAGACAGAAATTGAGGTGCCATGATGTCAGTTGTCAAAACAGCGGTTCGCGTCAGAGAACAGACGCTCTACAGCCGACATTGGTGGGGTGCTTGGCGTGGACCCTGGGATCAGCAGCGGAACCATACCGAGAATGTCCAGGTCTACCCTACTATCGTTCCCAGGGTCGCAAGGCCACACAAGGTACTCACAGACGCTCTGATTCATTGTTGCGCTTGACACACTATCTTTCATTCATTCATGCCGTTATTATTCGTCTACTATATTCGACTAGATTGGTCATCACAATCTCGGGCGATCAAGTCAATCCACAATAATCTTCTTCTCAAGTTCCTCAAAATTCTCGAAGAAGCTGTCGAACAGATTGACAGCATGTTCAACATCATGCGCACCGCCAGTCTCGCGAATGCTGTGCATGCTGAGCTGAGGGTTACCCAGATCAAGAGTGCGAGCGCCCATCGCTGCTGATAGCATGGGGCCGATGGTGCTACCACAGGAAGAGTCATTGCGGACAACAAAGAGCTGGAGCGGGACACCTTCTTTGGCCGACTTTGGATTGTAAGACGCCGCTTTCGCGCGACGGGCTGCCTCCTGAAGCAAGACAATACCTGGTGAGTTGGTGGCGTACCGGGCATTGGCATTGATCTTGATAACAGTGCCCTTGTTCATCTCAGGCCTGTGCTGGGACTCGTACTTGGCTGGGTAGTTGGGGTGCACGGAGTGGGCCATGTCGGCGGAGATCAAGAACGATGTGGCCAGCGTTTGCTCGTAAGCGGTAGCAGTATCTGCTTCAACCTTCTCAAAAGACTTGTCCGAGTTGCTGTCAGAGGCGGGTAGCACTGACAGGCGGCGGATTACAGCAGGCAACAGGTTTGAGTCCGCTCCCTGTGCAGTCTGGGAGCCGATCTCTTCATGGTCGAAGCATGCGATGAGTCGGATGGTCGAGTCGTTCTCTAACGCGGATGATGCAGAGAGACTCTTGATGATACCCTCGATGCTGCAATAGGTCATCATGAGGTTGTCCAATCGCGGAGAGAAAATGAGCTCATTGTTCAGGCCACCAATGACCGACTTCTGTGTATCGTACAGAACCATCTCGAAGTCTACGATGTCACTTGGCTCAGCGCCGGCCTCCTCGGCGATGATGTCGATGATGTAGGGGTGGTGCCTTGCAGTTGGGGCAGCGAGTGGGCCCTCGGTCTCTGTGTCCTTGCTATCCTCCTTGGTCTCTTCGGTCTTGCCCTGGCGGTTCAACTCTGCAGCGACCAGGCCAGCAATAGGAAATAGTTGTGTCTCTTTGTTGAACTGGAAGTTTTCCTGGCGGTCCAAATGGATGGCTAGAGTGGGTATCCGCAAGATGGGCCTCTCGACCTTGACCAGGCGCTGCTCAATGTTGCCATCCTTTGTTCGTACCATGGCACGACCTGCGATACTGAGGTCGCGATCGAACCAGGTGTGCCAGAGACCACCACCGTATGTCTCACAGGCTACTTGAATAAAGCCGTCGCCTGTTCGCTTAGACACAGGCTTGATGCGTAGGCATGGAGAGTCGGTATGGGCGCCAATCATGGCGATGGGGTTGCCGGCCTTCCATTTGTTGCCGATAGCGAAAGCGACGATGGAGGATGTGTTACGGGTGAGGTAGTACTTGCCTCCGGGCTGGAGGGTGGGTGCCCACGAGTCGCGCTCCTGGTCCGAGTTAGCTACTGTCGCAACTGACAAGAATGGAAGTGAATGCGTACCTTGATTTGCTTGAAGCCGGCCTTCTCTAACCTTTCTTTTGCTGACTTGACAGCATGGAATGCTGTTGGGTGTCAGTATGTACCAGAATGACGACAGCATGCGACATACGTGTAGGCGAAGCATTGACGAAGGAGAGGAAGTCCTCGGCAGCTTTGAGAGAGGGTTTGGTCGTCATGGTCCGGATATGCGATGAGATGAAGGTCGAATGTGATACAGCAAGGGGTGAGGTCGGTGCGCAGTGCAGTAGTGTAATTCGCAGCTTGGATGATGGCAGCATTAAGGATTGGACACAACGTCTACCAGCTGAGCGCGGGCGGTGTGGGGTATCGATTGAGAGGCGGTTGAGCGCCTGGCGGGAGCAAGCGCTAGGCTCCACCCGGCGGCGATGCGCGGCGCTGATTGGACGAGGCGTCTCCAACGCGTCGAGAGGAAAGGGAACATCAAAACATGGCGACATGGCAGCCACGACGTGACGGGCACTTGCCTCGCGCGTCGCGGCGACTCCTCACACTTCACTCGCGACTTGAATTGGACCATCAACCCAACACCGACTTCACCTTCACCTGTATTCAGCTTACACTGGCCCGCATCCGGCCCATTACTATCCACTCTCGCTACGTGCGCGCCCGCCTGTCTCTCGTTGCTCCCCCAGCACCCTGCGGCTGTCTAGCATACAAGCTCCGACCCGCAACCACAACAAGGTCACCGCCGCCCACCCCGCCCGTTGCGCGCCCACCACCAACACCACGGCCACCCTGCCCACCACTATCGTGACTCGATGCGCACCCAAATCGAATAAAAGGCATATCTATTGTTGGCACTGTTGTGCGCCGCGACGACCTGTCATTGGTTAAGAGGAGGGCAAACGACTTAGGGGCTATCAATCATCACAATACCACGACTCGACGTCACCGCGCCATTCAACTCATTGTTCCCACCTTTACCTTCGTTTCAGGCGACCATTATCCCGCCGCCTAGGATAACACTGCGACCTGCCATCTGTCATCGCCTACACCCCGCCACGACGACATCGCTTTCTTTGGTACCATGGTCCATACACGCAGCAACAGCAAGGCACAGCCCGGCGCATTCTTCTCCGCACCACCGGGTGACTTGGGGAAGACAGTTGCTACGGATGCGCAACTCGACGACGATATTGCAACCCCGACGCTGATATCACCACCCGAGTCAAAGACGCCTCCGACCGCCTCCCACAAGCGTAACCAGATCTTCCCCTCGAACCCGCTCGATCGGAGCTCAGAACCCATAGACGCGGCCGCTTTGACCAAGGCACTTGGTCACATTGAGCAGGCAGGCCGAGTTAGGGAGCGGACGCCTACAGCGAGCCCAAGCCGAAAGCGCCCGCGCATATACGGCGACAGGTGAGATGGTCATACTCAGTCACATCGAAACCACCGTACTGACTTGTCTCCAGATTCATCCCAAATCGCGCAGGCCAAGATCTACAGGCAAGCTTCAATCTCCTCCACGATGAGGCATCGCCCGCGACGCCGTCCAAAGCCAGGCGTACTCCCCACCATGAACTGCATTTCCAGAAGAGTAAGCACCCACAGTCGCCTACTATACAACTGCTGACCTTTTGCAGCTGAAGAGGCCAACCGCACATACTCCGCCGTACTCCGCCAAGAGATGTTTGAGGGCTCCGTGCCTCAAGCCTTTCCCCAGAGTTTGTCTCCGACCGACAGTGCCAACATGCGAGGCGCAGGACGCTCACATACTCCCCCAGCCAGGACTGCAGCTACATTACCACCGCCTTCAGGGACGCCGTCAACCCCGCACAAAAATCTTTTCTCATACTCGGGCCAGCCAACTCCGTCACGGACGCCTTCAAGTCGGCACGGCATCCTTAATCTCAACGCCCGCTCAGATCTATACAGCCTATCACCAATCAAATACAGCAGCCAGCGCATGCTTCTCAGTCCCCAACGCCAAGCCCGTGCCGTCTCCAAGGTGCCATACAAGGTTTTGGATGCACCGGATCTTGCTGATGACTTCTACCTCAACCTCGTCGACTGGGGTAGCCAAAACACCCTTGGAGTAGGCCTCGGCTCATGTGTTTACATGTGGAACTCAAGTAGTGGCCGCGTCACCAAGCTTTGCGAACTACAAGACGATTCCGTCACAAGTGTCAACTGGATACAGCGTGTAAGTGTCGCTATTTTTATTATACCGTCCATGCTAATGTCCTTCAGGGATCACACATTGCAGTTGGCACGAATCGAGGTCAAGTACAAATCTGGGACGCACAGACTCAGCGACGTCTCCGTACCATGACAGGTCATACTGCTAGGGTCGGCGCCCTTGCATGGAACGAACACATCCTCACTTCTGGATCAAGAGACCGCACAATCTACCATCGCGACGTCCGACAACCAGAGCAATGGCTTCGAAAGCTTGTCGGTCACAAGCAAGAAGTCTGTGGTCTCAAGTGGAACCAAGAAGATGGACAACTCGCCTCTGGAGGCAACGACAACAAGCTCATGGTGTGGGAGAAACTCAACGCCGAGCCCACTTTCAAGTGGAGTGAACACCAAGCTGCTGTCAAGGCCATTGCTTGGAGCCCTCACCAGCGTGGTCTCCTTGCTAGCGGTGGTGGTACCGCAGACCGAACCATCAAATTCTGGAATACCCTCGTCAACTCCAACGGTCCATCAGCATCAGCCCTGGCATCCGCCTCCGCTGCTGCCTCAGCTGCGTCAACAGCCAACATCCCCTTATCACCCACCGCACCAGCCAACCTCATCAACAGTCTTGACACCGGAAGTCAAGTTTGCAACCTAGCATGGTCTAAAAACAGCAACGAAATCGTCTCCACACATGGCTACAGTCAGAACCAAATCATTGTCTGGAAATACCCAAGCATGCAACAAGTCGTCTCGTTGACAGGCCATACCTACCGTGTCCTCTACTTGGCCATGAGTCCAGACGGTCAGGTCATCGTCACGGGTGCTGGCGATGAGACTCTGCGATTCTGGAATGCGTTCAAGAAGAAGGAGCGCACTGGGGGTCTTAGCAGTATGGATAGTTGGGGCGTCATTCGCTGACGACTTGTTTCTGTTCTGCAACCAGACTTCTACGAAAGTGTACTATAGGACTGATTTCGCGGTTCCTCGCATGTTCAGTCCATGTTACTTCCTTTCTTGCAACGATTTCAGCGGCATTTTCTTGTATGGTTATGATTAGTACCTGGGCTTTATCTTATCATGAGCATGGGTGGTGTTTTGGGCGTTCTGAGCGGCGAGATACCACGGGATTCTCTTATCGACGGCGTTGGGGGGCGCAAAACTAGCCTGCCATATATGCTTCGTTTTGAGCATGGGGTGAAGAGAGTTCTGGGTATGAGCGTGGAGAAGAAATCATCTCAGAGGTCTATGGCCTACTGCTATGTTCATCTTTCATGTACTCGTTGAGAACTGCTTCAGAGCGGCTGTTCTTCTATGCATTTGCTTTGGCGACCCACATATCTTGGGTCGCGGGCTGGCGTTTGGGGATCATATGGAGGATGGCCCGGTTGGATACCATATGTCTTGGGGTTATTCTTGGATAGGCCGAAGCCTTTCCGACTACAAGTGTACATTATTAGCTACCATACCACGTTAATCAAGCGCGGAACTTTCAATCATCTTCTTTGTTCTCAGTGAATTCAAAACGACTGAAGGCTATGCGCATCCGGCCAGACGGCACCCCTTCACGAACAAGGCCTGCATGTTCGTTGCGAAATGGACGAACTCTGTTTCAATCATTAACGAGTGGCGTGGGGGTAATGTGAGGTGGCATGGGAAAAGATATGTTGACAAAGAGTGCTTGCTGAAGCATAATTGGTAATGCTGACACGCAGCCAATAGAACGCGTACTAGAGTATCAAAGTGCTATATCGACGTGAAAAAAAGCTGGTCTTTGAACAGGGCAAAAGCCACCAAATCATCCACCACTAAGAGAGGCCACACTCCACACGCCAGTGACACCCTACCCAACCTTCATGACCATGCGCTGTCCTATGCACCCAAACTCCAATCCATCACTGCTGCTCACTCCCTACTCCTCCATCTTCTCTCCCCCAGCCCCATTAACAACCCCCGCATTCCCATCCCCCAAATGCTTCAACAACCAACTCCTCTTGAAATACGTATTCGGATGCACAATGGTATCCAAATCACTCCCACTCCAGCTCCCATCCTGCTTCACCTTGTTAATCTCCTTTTTGTGACTCCATTCAAATACGCGGTTGCACGCAACATGGTACCGCTGCTTGCCCACGTCCTCCTTGACCACTTTGAGCACATCGCGGTCGTTTACGCCGACGCGCTGAAGCATCGAGAGCAAGTTGTCCGGCGTGAAGGTGCGGTAAGGACATCCATGGGACTGTCCCGGACCGGGTAGCGGCTCCGTGAGGAGTTTTTGACACGAGTAAGGGGTGTAGCCGCGTCCGCGCCTGTTTGCGTCGCCGCCCACGTCGCCGTAGGAATGTCGGATGTTGTATTTGTATTCTTTTTGGAACTTCTCGTCTGTTATCAGTTTGAAGGAGCGCCGCCAGAAGACGAGACATTCGTCTAGACTCAGGCCGATGCCTTTGAGGAACAGGGTGTATTGGAGCCGGCCAAAGTGCTTCAGGTGCGATTGGTCGCGCAGTGTCATGTGTAAGTTGCGCATGCACAGGGGGAAGTTTTGGGACAGGGTGTCGATGGAAGCCGCGGTTATGGTGCTGAGGCCTGAGATGTTGGCGTCGGCGGTGGTGTATGCGGCGTCGGGGGCGGTGAAGGATTGAGAGAGGTGGGCGAGTATGGGGGCAAGGCGGTCGTCTTCGTCGAGGCGAGGGAGGGCGCGTGCTGTCAGCTAGACAGTTGTTAGTGACCTTGTCTTAGGGGATAGAGATGGCGGCGTGGGTACCTCGAGTGCTTCGTCGAGCTTCTTGGTGAACTCGGCGACTACCAGACTCATCTGTTCTCGTTGCGGGACGTAGGCCATTCCTCGTTTCAGCAGGACTTTTCTTTGTGACACGAGCTCGGGGACGCGCTCCCAGTCCACTTTGAACCATTCCTGGTCCTCGCCCTTCTTGATGCCACTCGCAGCATGCAAGTCCTCCCTCAGCTCCCTCTTCTCGTCTTCCCTGACCTCTTCCCACTCCAGATTCAGGCTCCTTACAAACTCCTGCCTCTCTCGTAAATCGTCGTCCTTGAACCTTAGCGTAAACAGCATAGTCTCCAGTCTCGAAAACCGCCGTCGCAAGTCCTCGGTCGAGGAAAAGGCCAGGCGCAGGATGAAGTGTGAATAGTGGTCTCTCCGCCTCTCCTCCTGTAATTTCTGACTTCGCGACGAATCTGATCGCAGTGGGAGGTACTTTTCCAATATGCTCTTCATGTATTCGGCCGTCTCTTCTGGACTCTTGTTTCGGAAACTGCAGGCTTCTAGTTCGGAGAGGACTGTTTCGGGCATCGTCAGCGAATGCTCAGGACTACATAGCCAACAGACTGACCCTTCAATCTGTCGATAGCCCACGTCTCAAACTCGTCCAAGGTAATTTCTGCCGTGGGAGGCAGGACGTAGAAGTTGAGCCTGTGTTCATATTTCTGCTGTTCAAAGTCCGCTTTGGCGAATTGGCGTCTCTTGGGGTCGACCTGCGCGCGGCGCTTGGGGTCGACGCGGGAGTAGTCGTGGCGGATCATGGCGTTGTAGATATGCTGCGTATTCTGCGGCGGCGTTGACGTTGCGGAGGTTGATCATGTTAAAGTGGCAGGCGCGTTCGCGTGGACGCGCAAAACACGCTAGCCAAATGTAGCCAGCGCGCGACTGGCGTGTCCTGTTGGCTCACTGTCAACACCGCGTTCTACATATGCGAGCTGTAAATCAAGAGTAGACAATCTTGATGGCTTTATCCAGGTTTCCTCACATCTACATAGACGTTCTAAGGATCATCATGGTCTTGTACCGACCTTTGGCGGCCAAGTTTCATAAAGTTGATGCGCTATACCAAAGAATTGTATTATCCTAAGCCCGATTTGCCTCACGAATTGAAGATATCAACTGGAAACGCATCAGCAATCGCCTGATACCCCGCGACATTTGGATGTAACCCATCACCCCCATTGTACTTCGGATCCAACTGCTCGGTATTCGCTTTATTCGCGACCATACCCGCAATATCAACTGCAAAATCATAGTTCCCACTCTCCAGGATCCACTTGTTCACCCTCTTCCTTGTCTTCTCCCTCTCAGCACCCTGATAGCTGTTTCCCGCAAAAGGCGTAATCGTCCCACCGATCGTGGTGTAACCGGCCTTCTTCGCATCAGCAGCGATCTGCTTGAACGCAGCGATGAGGCCATCACCGATGGAGGTTTGCGTGGCGGCATTATCAGCGCCGCCCCCGATATCATTGACGCCTTCAAAGACCATGACCCATTTCACGCCGGGCTGATCGATGGCGTCGCGCTTGTAGCGAGTTAGGAGGGGTGGGCCCAGACCGCCGCTTAAGACTGTGTTGCCGCCTGCAGCTTGGTTACAGATGGCGACGTTGGTGTGGTTGGAAGATTGAAGTCGGGCGAGTACGAGGTCGGGCCAGCGGTTGTTCTTGTTGTCATCTGAACCACGTCCATCGGTGATGCTGTCGCCAAGGACCATCATAGAGTTGGTGTTGGTTGGTACGTAGGCTTGAACGGCGCTGACGAAGTACCTGTAGTTCAATTAGTATGCCCCTCTTTACATAGATTACAGTTCTGACATACCAGTGCACACTGGAAGTTCCAGAGAAAGTCGTAGTATTGACCTTGTTTCCACTCACAAACCAACTAGTCGTCCTACTGCCCGGATGACCAGTGATACTGCTTCCGCTCTGCCCCTGCTGACTGTACAAGCTCACTGTGAGCATGCTCTGCGGTTTGACTTCGAAAGAAATTTCATCGCTGATAACAACCTGGCCCTTGGGCACAGTAAAGCTGCTTTTCCCGCCAACAGTGATGGCTGCCAGTGGCGAGGCTGGAATGCCACTAACACCCGCCGCACCACCTGCTGGAAGCCCAACGGGACCTGCGGTTATGGGGAGATCAGAGCCACCAAAGGTGTTGGAGATTGTGATTTTGATCTTCGGGGCGCCGACAGACATGTGGAGGGTTTGGCGGAGTGTCGCATCTCGGAGAACACTTCCGGAACTCTACGATCATGTTAGAATTACGAAGATGTATCTAGAATAGTGTAGGGGTTTGCCATACGAATTGCGCTGGCGGCATGTTGCTCGCTTCTACCAATTGCGGCATGCTGGTCCAAGTGTTAATCCAATGCGACGCATCTTGTCGCTTCTCGACAGCTTCAATCGCACGCCCATTGACAGTCGGCGATATCAAAGAAAGCGTTGCTAAAGTGACAGAAAGGAGTGACGTATAAATCATCGGGACGTAGAACGGGAACACTAGCGACCTGGATGACAAGGAAACATTGCGGCATTCGACTGGCTTTTGACCACTTCATTTAGCATTTCGAAACAAGCTTTTGCTCGGTCACATTGCGTACTGCAATTTATCTCCAATTTCAGTAGAGGCGGCTACTTTGTCAATGCGACAACCGCAAATGATGTGGGGAGGCAGCTCTCGAGCGAGCGGGCGTTTGGAAGTGATTAATTCCGCAGGGTATAGGATGATCGTCTTATAGCCACTGCCTTTTGTCCTGAGAATAGCCGGGGGCTCAGACCAACTTGAGATCGTGTCAAGCGTTGTTCCACGAATGAGTATTTGCATATCTTTGAAGTTGCTCCCGAACAACAATAGTTTATATGATAAAATCATGACTTCCACATTGCATAGCATAGCGCTTTTTCAGAAGGTAGATATTGGGAGCGAGCAAAGCTTGATCCCAAACGCGTTAGTCCTACATCGCGCGCTTTGATGCCCCACCCTACATGTCTGCTTCGGTTCCCGAGTAGTACTTGAACACTGATGTTAGAGAGCGAGTGCATCAACAACGCGTCCTCCTTCACGTGTGTGCTGTGAAGGATTCATCGTGTCCGAACAGAGTAATGGCGGAGATGACGTCATTTTCATATCCCTGGGCTGGTCAGCTATTGACTACAGCACCATTGAGTCAAAGAGAGGCCTTCGTGTGTAATGAAGAGTATGAGAGCAGAATGAGATGGAAACAAGTCGAATCCGTCAAAGGACCATCGCAGCTGACCGTATAAGATTTAGACGCGCACGTTCCACCGCTCTCCCATAGTTACCGTTGTTCCTTCGCTTCGCGCTCTTCTTTGTCCATCAAACCGCCAATTGATGTCTGGGCGAGAGTGATCCCAGTTTGAGTTCCACAGAGTCTGGATCTCTGAGCTTTGTGTAGCTGCTCTGGAACCATCTAAACGTTGTGAAGCCTGGAAATGTGCGGCGAGTAGAGGCTAACGAACTTCAGCTTCGTGCTGGTGGTCACTAAAGCACATAGCTATATAGATATCTTTTTGGAGTATACTTTTGCAATGTCGAACATATCCTAAGTATACATTCAGCGGCTAATTCAGTCATCATGCACGAGCGCCTTCACATTGCTATGCCACAGACTGGACATCTGCCGAACTGCTGGTCAAGCTTGCGCAATCTCTACAGGAAATATGTTCCACGTATAACGCAACCACAATCCGGCAGCATACCAAGTCGTTTTCGTGCATGCCGAGAATGGTGACCGCACAGCTGGCATTGCTCAGCACGTGCAAGGTCTATAGGGGAATGCGCTACAGCATGGCGAAGAAGAAACTCCTCTTGGTAGGGCAGTAAGAATGTCGCGGTATGAAGATTCTACTCAAAGGGTGAGCTCAGTCTTGCGGTCTTACGTGCGTAATCGAACGTACCATTGATGGTTTGTTCGTGCCGGAGTCTCGAGTGCTTGGCTTCCAATTCCGAAGCTGTGTCCCATTCCCGTCCCTTGAGCTTTTTCAGCGTTGCAGTGTGTCGTCGGCGTACGGGTGTAGCCGGAAGTTCCACCGGCGATCTACAATCTGTGAGTTCTGCAACCGGAGTCTGATTTCCTTCATCGCGGCCGAAACCTGGAAGTTCGACTGGCAAACTACGAGCGAAAAGCTCCTCCACCGAAATTTGGCTGGCCATATCTCCATACTTCTCATAGTGGAGACGATCTCGGTACCACAGACCATTGTCGAACGGCAGAGGTTCACGGCGGGTTGTGGTACCATAATCATCCTCTTGGTATCCCACACCCTCTTCGTAACATCCATTTTCTCCGTGCATACCAAGAGGATCGCCGGGGACCGGGGCTCCTTTCATCGAACCAGAGTCGGAATTTGGAAGGTCGGCATCCTCGTCATAGCTACCATGCACGATCCCCGTTGCTTGCATCTCAGCGGAATCTGGGATCTCCAGATCTGGAAAACGCTTGAGCAGCCCACGAATGGCCTTTTTTTCATACACTGAGCAGATGTAACAGGTAGTGAGAGCTAGAACGGCAAGCCAGTCTCGTGTGCGCGACGGATCAAACACATCCGTATTCACAGCTGTATCTGCCTCGCCTTGAGACTGGGACGAGGAGGCAGACGAAGAAGCACACTGGGTCATGTTCAGTGCTACTGAAGGACTTGCCGACCTTGAAGGTGGTACGGTGCCCATCGGTGTGCTGTAAGCCGATTCTGCACCGGGTCGAGCCTTCGAAAGTGATGGATGGGCGGTCTGCCACGCTTGAGAGAGCATTCCTGGCTCACGTTCTGGTGTTGCTTCTTGTATTGAGACATGACCACGATGTTCTGGCATGACCGAAGCTTTACGCTCGATTTTGTCCCGCACTTTCACCTCTGGCGATATTGTTGGTCGATGTTTCTTCCCGCTGTCTTGGTACGTTCTCGGGTGACCAGGCTGGTCTCGTACAATGAATGAGTACGGAGGGGGTGAGCTGTTGTCGAAGGATTTCCACTGCTTCTTGGTAGCCGTGAGCTCGCCGGTGTGTGCGCAGAAGAACTCCGCGCATCGCTCGATGATCTCGGGATGCCGAGGGGTGCCATAGTCATGGCTCCATGGCTGTAAGCAGCGACACACAACGTCCTTGTTTCGATTGGCATAATGAAACTCGTCAGCGTAGACCTCTTCTACCTCCCACTTGGCGTCTTGCCATTCGTGGTAATCTTGTAAGTCGGCAACGGCGCATGATTGAAGATCATGGCGTTCTAGATACAGCGTAAGATCTGCACTCAGATGCCTCGATTCGAAAGCCACGCAGGAGATACGCACGGAATGCCGCCTAGGGTTCGTACATCGGCAGACATATGTACGTCCTTTGCCAACGTAGTGCAGGATACGTTCGTGTGGTGCCAAGGACGAGGCTGATCCTCGAGATGACTCTTTCTCCCTGTGGACCTTGACATCTCCGGGGCGCTTACTACGCACGAAGGCGTGATCGAGAGTGTTCCTCAAGAGTGATGGCATCTCGACTCGAGGACCTATGTATGCGTGAGGGCAGGTCAATTAGAAAGCTGTATGGGTTAGTGATGACCCAAGAAATATGGACAGAGGAGTTTGATCATCTCTCACGACTACTTGTGACTCGAATGTCTGTGCAACTTTCCAAGGCTAAGGGGGGCAAATTAGGCACTCCTTTGCGACCTTGTGCAAGGAACAGGACAAGGGAAGACGTACTTAATGAGACACGACATCGAAACCGATATGGACTGGGCACGCACAATGCATTTCATCGCAACCGCTGTTCAGTCGCGTTGTGCGAGAGATATATACGTATCTTAGACGATATGCCTTTCATGACTTCACAATGTCAGCGCTTCAGGTTCAACGCTCTCACTTGCGGTGAATACAAAATGCAAATCGTGACTCACAGTACATGAGTCCGAAAATAAGATCTGTCAACTACTGTTTGTGATAGCGACAACTTCAATACTAGGCTATCGCCAAAACACGAGAGCACTCTCGAACTTCTTGCTCTCTATGCCTCCTGGAGATTTGTTTCATCACCATCATCGAACAACCCGTCCAGGTCTGAACCGTCTAGCTCAGTATTCTCTTCCGTATCAGCTGGTTCTTGTGCCTCAAGCGGCAGTAGTTCCTTGGTCTTCTCATCAAACGCTGCCTCTCTGTCCGCAATGCTAGATGGTTCCGGACGCTTCAGGACAATCTTCTGGTCCTGTGAGAGCTGCAAAAGTTGGACCTGAGAAAGCCTTGCAGCCCACCACTCCTCGAAGCGTGGCCAGTCGGGCCATTTCTTACGCTGCTCCACAAGTCGACAATCCTCAAAATCCTGCTTGTCTCGCATGTTGATCCGTGCAATAATCCAATCAAATGCGAGTCGTGCAACAGCTACATCAGGACATAGTTGAGGTGCTATTCCTTCATACTGCTGACTTGAGTTTGGTGTCGCAGCAGATAAAGATCCAGGCATCGCATCTCCAAATGATTCCTGCTGCGAAACTGGTTGTTTCCTCTTCTCCTGGCTAACCTTTTCCGTGTTGTCCATCTGCCTTTTCTGTTTCTGCTTCTTCTCCTCGTTACCACTTCGCTCTGTTTCTACCTCTCCATTGCCTGATTCCACTCGTGCTCGCTGCCCTTCTGCAGCGAGCTGAGCTCGTCTCAACGCCTGATTCTGATGTGTTGGCCAGGTCATATGGCTCCGATGCAAATCGCCGTTCTCTATCAGGCGCTCAACCTGTGACTTCCACGTACTGATACTTCTATAGATCGCTTGCTTCATTTTATGCTCATTCAGCCCATTTTTGCAGCAAGGCCACCTCCTGTCATAACGGTGCATGCATTGGTATATTCCCTCTTCGTTTGGAGTGAAGTCGCTGATTTTGTCGAAAGGGTATGATGGAACCGCGAGTTTTCATCTTCGATCGCTCGAACGCATCAATCATCGCCTGGTTCACAGGGGTCTCGATGGCTTGCTCTTCCACTTTCTGGTCCCAACACTGGCGTCTGTGCGTATCGACAATCTGTTCGAAGGATTCCACCCACTCCTTCTCTTTCTGCAGCAAAAATGCTTGAAAGTTCAGAATCCACGCCCAACGTCTCTGAAAATCTTCGCTAGCCTGGTTATACATAATCATCTCACGCGCTTCCTCAGTCAACATACGGTACGCGGCATAGCGTAACAAAGGCGAAAGAGAGCGCAAAGACCACACCTCAGTGGGAATCAGATCATGTTCGATGCCAAAAGAACTTCCTAAAGCGCCTTGCTCAGGGGGAATACCAGGAACGATCTCGGTAATACGACCTTGGAGGTCTGCTTCCGCTCTAAAAAGCCATGCGTTTTGTCTGGTGTAAATGTCTTGCCACGCTGCTTGTTCAGCCGATATGGAAGCCGGAACATCTTGGCCATAGCCTGCTGCAGTTAGGGCTAAGATAAGCCTCTCCCCTACTGGCTGTTCATAAACTGGAGGATTTGTAGCGATCGAAGGGTCCAAAGGGTAATAATGTCCTTGATCAGGCGGAACTTGAGGCACAGATGATCCTAGCACACTCATAGCTTGTTCGTCCGGGTGGTATTGATGCGGATAGTCTACATAGTCGTGGCTCCGCTGAGTAGATGGTGGAGGCTGGTAGGGTACTGTGAGGCTGTACTGTCCATTCAAATCTCTGTATGCGGGGGCTGGAGCATACGTGTCGTAAGGTGGAACTTGATGGCCTACAGCAATCCCGTTGACATCTGGAAGTCGTGTATCGGGTATGTCTGGATACGCAGGCTGAACAGGAAATAGCGACGATGATGATTGTGGAGTGGATCCCAAGAACGCCTGAGAGTAATTGTTGGGGAACTCATTGGGAGCTTCAATGAGCGTTTGGAATTCACTCCGGCATTGCGTCTTCATGGAGTCTTTGGTGTTCTCTTCGCAGGTGCGTTTTGAGGCGCGCAGGGTAGCTGGAGATGTTGGTGGCAGCCATGCCATTGTACAGAAGTTGTACAGGCACTTGAGGTGATCGCACAGATTATGTACTTAATTTGCCTTAGATGCCACTTAGTATCAGGATGAAAAGGTTCCCGGGACAGGTTGTGGTTGAGAATGCTGAAGGTTGTGCCTATGAGAAAGGGTTGAAATCATCGTAAACTTCAACTTGGCAGTCTTTCATTAAGTCTATGTTGTTCCGCTTTGATCGGAAGAACGTCAGCTAGGTACAGTTGATTCACGCTCTCACGCAAACTTGCCTGTCTTTTGATTCTAACCTAAGTAAACTACTGCGCTAGAGATCCAGAATGTTCCGATCCTACTGCGTACGCTAGTAACTAGGTTAGGCTGGGTCAGATTTAGTCAGAGTTCGTAAGACTCTAACTCAACTATGACCTATAGTCTATAGTTTTAACAACAATGGTAAGTATAAGTTAAGTCAAAGTAGTCTAAGCGTAAGTTAAGTCTAAGAATAGTATATCTAAGTATATCGATATATACCTACCTCTTTCTAGAGTATCATAATATATAACCACTTCTTTTTATAGTGGAATTGAACAAGCGCATGTGCAGTTAAGACTAATGACCTCAGGTACCTAGGCTTACGTTGAACAACTACATAGCTTTAGAAAGAGAGGCTGATACACCTTGAAGTTTTAGTTCCTTGTGTACTGAGGATGGTCTCAACCACCGGAAATTGGACTTGACGGGGGTGTGATAAAGCCGTTAGAGTATATTTCTAACAGGCTACTTCGCAATATGATCACTGCGGCCTTCTCCAGCAGCCGATTTCTCTTCATGCATCTCTACAAACTCATCAGGCGATGGAGATTCTATGAGATCACCAGGATAGGGGACCTCCGCTCTGCCAAACTCGATAAGTATCGAGGCTACATCGTCATGGCCATTTGCGACCGCCAGTGAGAGCGCTGTTTGATCTCGTTGGTCTTTGATGTGAACATCGGCATGTCCAACCTCCAGCAAACGACTCACCACACCCGCGTACCCCAACTCCGAAGCTAGAATTAACGGACTACGACCTGACGTGTCCACCACGTCTACCTTGACGGAAGTGCTCAGCAACAGCGACACAATGACCTCGTGATTGTGGTTGATAGGGCAGAACAAAGGCGTGAAGCCTTCATCGTCTGGCAGATCTATATCGATGTCGTTGTTTTCGAGGAGTATCGAGACGACCTCCGCATGGCTGTGTGCTGCAGCCCAGGAGAGAGCAGTTCTGCCAAGCTTGGATTCTTTGACGTTGACACCCAACTTCGCGGCCTGGAAAAGGGCTTCTACTACAGGTGCGTGTCCACCAGACGCAGCCCACATGAGAGGCGTCCAGCCAGATTTGCTAACGAGACCGACATCGCTCTCGTCGTACGCGAGTAATGCGCGTACAGTCGATTCGTGTCCATCTGCTGCAGCCCAAAAAAGCGCCGTCTGGCCATAGAAATCCAGCGCAAATCCCAGGCTACGGTCGTGGCTTTGATTCAGTAGGAGCTTCACTACAGCGGTGTGCCCATCTCCAGCTGCCCACGCTAAGGCTGTTCGCCCATACTCGAGATCTGTCATGCCAGCAACATCGATGCACCCATTGTTCAAGAACATGCTTACTACCTCGAGATGACCCCTCTTGGCTGCGAGCGAGCAAGAAGTCCGGCCTTGCGTTGTGTCTTGTGTGCGTAGGTCAACCGGCACCGCTCGTAATATTACTTGCATAAGATCGATATGACCAGCCTCAGCTGCCCACATCAAGGCCGTGCGGCTGGACTCGATTTCCAAAGAGTCCACATCAAATTGAATCGCTGCAAGTAGCATATCTGCTGTCTCTGTATGGCCGTTTCTACAAGCCCAAGAGAGTGCTATTCGACCCTTTGTAGTATCTCCACTCATAGCTTGCACATCGCCATTGGCAAGCAACCGTCTCACGACACCTATCTGGTCACTTCTTGCGCCTGGTATGAGTGGAGTGTGACCCTCATTATTCATTGCGTCGACAGTACTAGAATTCGATGCAGAAGTAGATCGATGGTATCGTCAGCCTCGTTCTCGGCCGCACAAAACAGAGCAGTTCGGCCGTGCTTCGATTCCTGCAAATTTACGTCAAGGTTGGAACACCTCAGAAGCCGCCCAACAGTTTCTCTGTGCCGTCCGACAGTAACGCATAGTAACGCTGTCCAGCCATTAACATCCTGTGAATTGATGTACACTTGATTCGACGTAAGGAGAACGTCAACAACATCAACATGGCCATATGCTGCCGCTACAATCAATGGAGTCCGTCCATTCCAATCTCTCAGGTCTGGGTCCGTAGCCGTCGCTGTGAGAAGAACGCTAGTGAGGTCGATAAGACCACTTCGTGCCGCAAAAGCCATCAATGAGGGACCGCTGTGCCACTGATCTGCGTCGTCCTCGGCCAAACCGAAAAATGCTCTGCTTTCGCGGATAAGGTTTTGAAGAATATGCTTTGCTTGGTCTCGTAGCTGAAAATCGCCTAGGATGAGCGCGATGTTCCAAGAGCGAACAAGCGTTTTGACATGGTCATCCAATCTGATGGTATCTGTGTTTCGAAACAGGTTGTCCACCTGAAATTCTGCAAACTCGGTTGGACTGACTGTCCAATTCTAAACAGGTACGAAATCCCGTGTGCAGCCCTTCGTGCAGATTGGAAAGTTTGTTGCTCGATTGATCTCAGGGCCAATCATGATGACGTCGAAATATTCGTTATTCAGTCTCAGAATGACTTATTTACGAGAACCACGCGAATAACACAAATGATCGCCGTTCTTCACGCGTTTTGACGGCCGCGGAAAAGATACTTTGAACCTGTGATTGTTTCCTGGCAGAGAGGGGTTTACAGTGCGACAGTCAATAAATCCAGCTAGCATTCTCCAGTCTTGAGTTGTTGTCACTGAGGTTACTCTGCCAGGAACACACCCCTTTATCCGAATGACGGCTAGTTCTCCGTCATCACAGGCTGACACAGTAACATCATTGCCAAGCAGACACTTCACGAGCCGCTCCATCAATACCCTCTAGGGCAACTTATAGTTCGGCTCTAATTCAGTACCGCTGTGGTCCTCGGTGCTCATACCAAGAAGAGCATATATTTTGTCATGCCGATTTTTAGCCATCTGGCCGTGGTGTTGATCGACCAGCTCGCTGAGAGAGCATATCCCCAACGAGCACTTGTTTGATCGGACTGTTACTTGTTTTTGTTGGCGTAAGACTGCACCTCTCATCAGAAAGCTGACGTCGCAATATGGTATTGGCAAAAGGTGTTGAGCTCGTCCAATCGCAAACAGAAAGCATGGCCATCAATTTCAGCTGTGCCACATAACAAGGTGATTTGTCGAGCTCCTTTGGCTTCCTGAAGTGTCTACACCGACATGGTTATCAATCAGCTGCTACAGCATGTGCCAGATAATAAATACCCACATGTGACCAAACCAAGGCCTTCGCAATAGGCATGCCACAGCGCGTTGCACTTTCTTGTCGCTGAGACTAAATCTACTATCGTCATATTTCTAGATTT